GGGCCATCTACCCATGGATCGGGTTGTAGGAGCATTATGGCACTATGGTAGTATTTAGCAGCTGTTGACCTTGCGCCGCTCTCTACTGCTAATGCTGCGCAATCCATCAGATGTTTCCTGTATGGCTGACGGACGTGAACCTTGCACTTGATGATTTCGACAGCCTCCGAAATATGTGCAGCGGTATTATCCCTTGCTTTTACCTCGGTTCCATGATGCTTTAGTAGAGTCTGCGCAATAGCGAAATGCATTTGGGGTGTATTGCATTCTTTCAAGGATGCCGCTGCTTGGACATATCTGTCATGGGCAAACCGGAATCTATCATCGGTTTCGCTTTGTACAACGATACAAGCGTTGATCGCTGCTTGAAGCCCTGCCACTGCTTCCTGTTTGGAGTACTTGGTACGGTAGAGCGTGTCGTTCAGCCCGTAACCACCATCATCGACGGGGTCGAACGCGCCGTTTAAAAGTTGGCAGATTAGGTCGAATGAAAAAGTGCTACCTAAAAGAGCCGCCCAGGCCAAAATAGAACGCGATGCAGCTGGAAGCTCACTCAACCTGCGAGTGATGAAGTCGTTATTTAAGACATCGTAATTATCTTCACCTTTGAATTGCTCAAAGAGCCAATCTAGATTAAAGTCCCACCTATTCTTTTTATAGTCGTACCATATACATCTTTTACGGTAGCAAGCGCTCAACATCTCCCTCATGTAAAAGGGATTACCAGCTGTCTTGGATTGGATCACGCGAGCAAGATTGGCAACATCCTCCTGGGGTCGACATAATGTCGATGCTACGTACTGTAGGATCTCGTATTCGGTCAACGGTGACAGGACTATCCTAGTAATTCTTGGACCACCGGATTTGGGATGTTCTAAGGGTAGTTAGCTTGGATCGTTCGGGCAGGTAAGGGAGAACGTGGAATTTTTTTTACCTTCAGTGTCCGCAGGCTGGAGAATCTTTTGAACGGCGTCTGGTGATAATTCGTCGGGCCGGTAAGTTACTATTAGTACCATCTTGAGTCGAGCTGAGACCACCTGGGTAATTAACTCTAGAGACTCTTCGTCTGCAAACTGAAGATCATCGAGACATAAGCAGACGAAGTGGTGAGTTGTGAATATTCTTAGTATATCTAAGAACGTATTCATCAGGCGAATCGTCTTCGTAGATGCCCCGGCCCGTAGGAAGTCTTGCGAGCTCTGCGACGTTACACGCGGGCTCTGAGGGCGTGGTCTCCCCGGAGAGCTCACAGGAGATGAGCTGCGCCTGCTCATCGGGGTTCTACTGATTCGACCATTAGATAGGCCTGGCGTCGGTTGTGATGGAAGGGATGTTCGGTCTTGAGAACCGAGGAGGAATTCAGGGAGCCCAAGCAAATTATGGAGCATCGGCCATATTGGACGAACATAGTCCTTCAAGGCTCTATGAAGAGGCGTGTCCGTGTCGCTTTCACCCCATACCTGTTTGAATAGAGAAGACACTAATTTCAACAACGGTCCAAACGCTGTTCTCCTGGCCGCATCGAATTTTGCTGTTGCACAGTATCCTCTTCGCCTGGCATCGGCTAATACCTGCTGAACAAGAAAACTTTTGCCTAGGCCACCAGCGCCCTCAATAGTAACAACTTCGCAATAACCTCGCCGTCTGAACTTTGCCGAGCCTAACTGCCTTGAAAGGCTGGTAGAAGTTTCTGTGCCGCTATGGCGCGAAGAGGATTGGCGTTCACCAATAGCATCGAGAACGCTTTTAGACTCGAAGGTGACTGATTGATGCTTGTCCAATGGTTTGGATAACTTAGGAACGGTGTGGCATGAAGATATTGTGTCGCCAGAGGCGGAGACAGTCTGTGTATCTGTTCCGTTAACTGAAGACCGGACGGGACCTACTGATTGTTTTGTATCGGACAAGTTAGTTTGGGTGAAAGAGCCGCTTCGTCGGGTTCCCCCTTCAATGGAGCTTGCGCCTTCGCTTGAAACATCGGCGGTGTCGACGAGCTCGGTTGATAAGCCGGAACCGTCTGAGTAACGATTAGTAGCCGCAAGGCTAGCAATAGCTTGACCCCTCGCGACCCTTTCGAGCACTTTTACTAGTTCGGCATGCTCTTTCCGACGTCCAATCATAGCGGTAGGTAACATGAAGAACGATGAGATGTCCTTCGAAGCAATATGCCACTCCTTCAAAGTCATCCAGTCACCATTCCCCAGGAACTTCTGTATCATTTCTAAGTCATGGCGTAGACCGCTAGCTGAGTAATAACGGTCAGAAATGTTCTTAGACGTGCATTTTTGTATAATGCGACCAAGAACTTCAGGTACATCCGTTCGAATATTCGACACCAGTGGGATACGGCGATTTAGCACGCACTGGACGATATCTAAGGGTGTAGCGCCGGTGAAGACGGGTTGTTGAGTTAGGAGCATCCAGAATAATACACCTAATGAGTAAATGTCAGTCCTCGTATCAGGCTCTGCCGGCATGCGGCCAGTCTGTTCGGGGCTGATGTAAACTAATTTGTTCTTTGCCCCGAGTTCCTTAGAGAGTGTTGACCATCCAGTGCTAGTGAGCCCGTGTTCGAACGACCTTACCCCCGAGCCAAAGGATATTAGCTTTACCTTATTTGTCTCAATGTTGAAATGAAACGCATCCGCTCTGATTTCTCCGTGGACCATATTATGGCCGTGGTGCAATATCTCTAGACACTGGGTAGCGCCGATGGCAAAATCGAGAAAATGCATCAGGCTGATGGGAGTTGCTAGAGAGAAGTCATTTTTGCGATAGGCCTCAAACCGGTCTTCAACCTTCTTAGCATAATAGAAAGCCGGCCCCAGATCTAGAGCCTTGAAAAGATAATTCTCTCCGGGGTGCTCGTAAATGGCGACGATTATAGGCGCACGATCACCGGGTTGCGGATTCAGGCGAAGAAGGTCGATGGGCTTCACATTATGAACTCCATGCGGGTCAGCAGTGGCGATCAGATTCTTAGCTATGTGAAAGGTCCTCTCTTCGCGGAGGACATGGTAGGATATTCGCGCGACTATATGTCGCTCCTCGACGTTCGCTAGATCGGTAGCAAGGCTAGAGAAAGCAGGCGGGGAAGCCGACGAACGCTCGCTACTACCTTCGCTCTGGGAGAAAAAGCCGACATGAACGTCGCCAGGCGATATACGGCTCGAGGCTAGTTTGGAGATGGTGGACGGACTGCCTAGGTTCTGCAAAGGTGTTGTCGTGGTGGTTGAATAAGGCGATACAAATCTTGTGCCATATACGTGCCTATACAAAGAGGGTCCGCGTTAGACAGCTACTATTTACTACGCATGCGAGCTCTGAATCGCATTCGGGAAAAGGATACCAGTTGTCATAGCTTGAATGAAATGGCCTTCTTGATTCATCCCAGGTAAAGCCGCCTAACTGTCGGAGTCGTTCGAAGATCCTTGCTGGGGGATCGAGTTGGTCTTCCGGCATGACCAAGGATCCGTCCATGACGATGATATCTCGACATACAGAGGTAGGCCGGGCACGGCGGGGTTTATCGGGTAAAGAGTGACCAAGATGCCGCCGTCGCGACACACATGGTTTATCCGAGTCACCTTCAAAATCGAATGTCCTCGGGATGCTGCTTAGGATTTCTGTTTTCTGTTTAGGATTGCTAGAGCGTTGATCTCTCCGCCCGGAACTTTTGTTTAATTTGTTCCAGAAAATCAGGTGCACTAGTGTAAGGGTCCCTCATCCACCAGGTTTGTAAAGAATGTGGTGCTTGTCGCTTAAGTCCTAGGGACCGCTAGCATTCGAGCGGCCAGTTTGCTCTATTGTACATTGATATAATCCGAGATCCTATTATGAATTGGCCACAGTGTTGTACAAGAAAAACTCGTTTAATAAAAAGTAGTAGATGCAAGGAGAAAAGACTATTATTACATAGGTAGAGACTATGAGTAGTTGGATGACTAACGCTTATACCTACCTTCCTACATAGTACCTATATACCTAACTACCTACCTATATTCTGCCCGGATTTGCCAGGTTTGCCCTTTCCTGTGTCGCCTATATCCTGTACTGCCCTAACAAGAGTTACATAACTAACCCCTCTTTTACCACTGCAAATTTTCGGACTTAACGTAGTTTTTCAGTTACTGGAAAACATTTAGTCTACCTGCATTTTACGAAACCACCTGGGGCTTGCTGGGTATATACCAGTTTATTGGAGAGAGAGGAACGCCTTGCTGTGGGTGTGACGAAGTTGTGCAGCAGGAAAGGAAGGGCAAAAGTCTTGGCAGCGAATCCAAATTATCCATGTATTCTACCAACGCAAGGGGTTGATACAAGTGGCAGAGTGGCCATACTTGAATGTATGTAGTGTCATAGCTCTTAGTCCAGTGAACCTAATCCGGTCCATTTACGACTCTCTTTTCCACAACGTTTTCAAATGAGACGTATAGTAGTAATCTTATAGTATTACAAGCGAAGCTAGTATAGTATTATACAATAATGACACCATCGGTAATTTCTCATGTTTTACAACATTTTAGGTTTTAATTTTCAGGTAACAGGCATAAATTAACCGGTCAGAAACTCATTCAATAAACTTCAACATCTACTTTACCTTCATTTGAACACTACAAGGCTGACGGCAGATGATGACATGTTGTGTACCTCTTTTATCATATTAACTTCCTAATTAATACCTAAACCGATTGGCCGATTCTCACGTAAACATTAATAATTTTTGCATCGACGAATAGTTAGTTGTAAGCTCATAATTCTATTTCTATTCATTAAATCCTTTGGGCAACCTAGCAACATCGGCTTTTGGCGCCGTCTCGTTATTGCAAGATCAAGTCAGAATCGTTACAGTATTCCACCGCCGTCGCACTCGTCAAACATGAACAACTACACGCTATGTAGCTCCCAACGAAAAACTTTTTAGTTCTTCTAATATCTATTACCATAAAGTCAATAGAATGCGTGTGCCTCCGGGTCATTCCTCACATCTAGATAAACCCTTACTTCGAGCGCGAGGGTAGAGAAGTGCCGTTCTTCTTAGCAGCCAGAGGGCCTTGGTCAAGGCGACGCTCAGTGTTTTGACGGCTGTTGACGAAGTCAGGGTAGTTGAGAGTAAGCTCAACGGCACCGTTGACGATGTGGTCTGCGGCCTCAACACCCAACATAAATGAGTGGTCCTGGTTACCAACCTCGTATCGCCAGCTGCCGAAGCGACCACGGGAGTAGATGTCTAGGTCTTGAAGCTTGGGGAGAAGTTGCTTCAGGACACCCTCACGCTCGAGACTGGGTGTGGGGTAACCGTGATCGAACTTGCGGTGGTAGGTGGAGACAATCTCGTCTTCAGCCTTGATCATGTCAGTGTTGATCAGTCCCTGGATACAGTCCTTGAGCAGGTTTGCCTCGTCAACAGGCTTCAGGGACGATTGCGAAACCTCAAGCATGATAGACCAGTAGGGTCCCTCCTTGGGCTCTGTGCTTGTAGGCTTGCTGCCATCGGCAATTTGGATGGTGGGGAGCTTGACATCAGCCTCAGGCTGGTTGTAAGGCGAGTAGTTGGAGAAGATGGTGGCGCGGTAGAAGGGGCAGTTGTCCTCGGGGAAGTATAGCTACGATAGTCAGTTATAGTTCAATTCATGTCGCTTGTAAGATAGAATGACTTACCCAGCACTTATCGCCGATACGTTCTGGTCGCGCACCTCGGAGACCAACACCGATGACGTGAGTGGAAGAGTAGAATAGGCCCTTGCTCAGCGTAACCAGCTCCTGGTTGCCCATGGTCTCGACTAGTTGATCGACGTTCATGGTAGAGACAAGCTTATCATAGCCGATAGTAGTACCATCCTGGAGGGTAACGACCTTCTTGTTGGCATCGACCTTGGTGACCTCACCCTTCTTACCAAAGCGCTTCTTCTCGTCAGGAAGAGTGTTCGCGACAGCGATCCAGATACCACCAGTGCCATCACGAGCAGGGAAGCGGAAGGTGGCGTTGGGACCCCAGTTTCCGGCAACCTTGTTCAGAACGACGTTCTTCACCACGTTCTTGACGTCAGGGGCAGCGACACGCTCACCCAGCCATTGGCATTGCATCTAAATTACGGGTTAGAAATAGATACGAAAGACTAGCCTGTCTAAGAGAATAGCTTACCTTGGTGGTGGGAACAGCCCAGACCTTGTAGTTGTAGGGCCTCATGAACATGTTGGCAATACCGGAACCAGTCATGCGCATGATCCACTCGTCGAAGTCCTTAGGCTTCGTGTTTGAGACACGAACCTCGAGGGCAGCATCGATCAAGCCGTCGAGAGCTTCGACCTGGTCCTCCTTAGGCAGCATGGAGATGTTGTTCTGGAAAGGGTAAGGAACCCATAGGCCCTTGTAGCGGACATAGGAGATACGCTGGTGAGTATACCAGTCATCTTCCTTAGGGAGAGCCTCGTCGATGCAGTCGTCGAAGTACTTGTAGTGAGAGAAAATGACGTGGCCACCAACGTCGTAGAGCTATAGAGCAGAATTCAAGATTAGTTACTTGCTAGACACGACGAGCTCGAGGATAGTATAAACTTACGAAGCCCTCGGGAGTGACATCTGTAGAGGCAAGACCACCAGCCTTCTCGTTGGAGTCAATGATCAGCCATGAAGGACCGTTCTGTTACAAAAAGTTAGCTTAATATGCACAGTAGTTTGAAAGGCGGTGAAGACATACCAACTGGTGGAGGCGCTTCGCAGCACCTAGACCCGTAGGTCCAGCACCGATAACGAGAACGTCGACGTTACTACGAGAGAGTGAAGGTTAGTCAATTAGGCTTCACTAAAATATAATGCTCCTGGGAGTTATTTCTCCTAGTTATACATTGAACTAATAAACTTACATGTCTGCACACATCTTGTTCTTGGGGGGTTGTCTGGGTATAATTTCCAGATCAGGGCGGGGAAGTTTGACCAGGTCAAGAGAGGTCTTTCGAAGACAGAAATGTCTTTACAAGGCGAAAAGAACGGATGAGAGACTATCCAAGTCAATGAATGATGCAGGATAAAGTCCGTCTAACTCTATGTTATAACGCGAATGGATCGTGTAGCAGGCAAGGAGGAATCTCAAAGGGAAAAAAAACAAGAGTCGTAAGAGAGCAGCGTGGTGTTTTCTATAATATTTTGGAGGGGTTACTAGATAAACTAAAATTGTGGATGATACTTAGTGTCACCCTAAGCTGGGTGCAGGCTTGTGCGCCGCCCCACGCATGAAGTTAACCCCTGTCTCTCCGTCATGCAACTTGGCAACATTCATCCGCCCAATTGGATGGGGTCTGATACCAAATTCGGTAAAGATGGTACCTGCACCTGCATGTTACTCTGGATACATGCTATAAGTACCTTGCAAAAAAGTACCCGACTCGCTTTTATCAGGTATCATTATTGCTACCTAATAGAGGCATATCGAATAAAGAAAACAGAAAAGACCATGTGGAATTTTTACCTCATATTATATGCATAGAGTACAACATGGAGTATTCGAGCAATCGAGACTTTGTATAAAACGGTGTGGCTAAAATCAAAGATCCAAGATAAAGTTATTCGAGATCAATCTTTTTTTCCCCCCTCGCTATCTATATCCATCTCAAGACGGATTGTTCCAAGTACATAGGTAGCTGCAGGGACCAGAGGTAACGGGTTTCCCGTCGAACTCTCCTCCGCTATCATGATTCGCTTGAGTAGCACGAATTTTAGTATGTGTGTATGGAAATACCGCCTAGTTACCGCTAGTTTGCCTCCTTCTTAGGCGACCATTGACAAGTCGACAAGTCAGGGGTAAAGTTCAGGAGACTCTTCCCTACATACATACCTACATAATAAATTTCTCAAATAGGGGGGGATATGTTATGACGATCACTAGTCGCTGATCTATTAACTTACCATGCTAATCCATAACAGACATCACACACATACACACACATACGCACATAAACCCGCATGTGAAGAAAAAGGTAGGATGGCTGGATAGGAGCAAATTCGGGATGTGTGGCTGCAAATCGAGAGAATATTACCAACAAGTGAGGGTTGATTGAACACCGGGAAACCCCTGTTCGTAATCTTATAGTAAGATGAAGCTCATACCCGTCCCTTGTACGCGTCAACTTATCGAGCCTCCAAAAGTTATCGCGCACGACATTTTAGGCTGGACATGGACCTGAAATAGAATAGATACCTAGCATATGTGTGGTGTATGTATGTATGTATGTATGTACTGTAGATTTTCTATAGAGTCTTGGTGATACCACGTGTGCATGCAAGGCAAGATTGGTAATGGAAGCTAAGCATCTTTTACCGGTCAACAACACATACACATACACCGTTGTCATCAACCCCGACGTTTCAACCCCGACGTTGTCTTCCCCGGTGTTTTCTCCCCGGTGCATTATACCAAACTCCACAGTTGAGCTAGTTCCAATATATCAGGACAATTCTTTTGTGGTATGTGTGTAGTAGTGTATGTAGCATGAGCTCTTAGCGAGTCAGGCGGTGGGAACACTTATTATGTATAAGGAAGTACAAAAGAAAAAATTCTACTAGAGGCCAGCCAGCTCTAGAACCCCCGGCATCTAAGTTGGTGTTAAGACTATCTACGAAATAAAAGAACTAATATCGGAGAACTGTTCTTCTATGTATGCACGGCTTCCCACCAGTGCCACCACCCCTACCCTACGGTCTCTATCGGTCTACGCCATCTGGCCATGTAATCTGTGTATGTACATACATCTCCCACTGGCTTATCCACTCCTGTCACTTTGCGATTAACATGTTGCATTCGTCACCCAAATTGGGACTTGAAGATCGTTTAATTTCGATAAGGTCGTGTCCCGCCCATACCCAGGTCAATGGCTATTTCTAACCCCCATGTACCTATACATCAGCCCTTTGTCGATCTTCTTTTCCGCTCAATAGCACTACCAAGTTTGGCTGGTAAAAAGCGTATCCCTCCCTGCTCTCTCTCAACTTAGACTTCTAGTTGGAGCCTCAGGACCGGTTAGCTCCGCGAGATCGACGGTCAAGATTTGCAAACTCGCCCAAGCCCGCCGTCTCAAGTTTATATGTTGGCCCACTGGACCGCCTCGCGGCTCAAAAAGAAATATCTCCAAGTGGAAATACCCAAGTTTCACTTCCGCTGAAACCAAGTTCAGAATAGCTTCTTCCTGAGTATATGTATGTACATATATGGCTATCAACTAAAGGACTAGCTTTCAGCCGGTTCCTGTACATAAGAGATGATGATAGTCCGAACAGGGTGGGGAGACTAGATAATGTCGGACAGTTGAATATGCAGATATCTACTGTATTGATCTGATCTTTTACACTAGGTACGATGGCTCGATGGCTTAGCATTATTAGGGTGGTTACTATAAATATTCGTTACAAAATTATGGCGAACGTTTCTTATATAGACAGATAGGTACATGTAATATTTGTTTAACTATCCGATTTTGTATTTCGGATACGAAGTCAGCCGTAGCAGCGGTTGCATGCCTTCTACATGTAAGTATTCCATAGAGCTCCCGCCCGGAATCGAATCAGAAACAGCTGTACTTCGTACATGTAGGGCTTAAGCTCGTTACCAAACAGAGAAAGCCGGGGGCAGTCCTCTTACATCATACCATCATCTTGCATGATCCTGCTGTACTAAGCGAGGCATTAACTAGAAAATGGCATATATTTTACAAACTCTATGTGCTCCATGTTAATAATAATTATATTGACAACTGCAGGCATAATACACCGCGGATAGGCCCTTTTATGATCAAGGCTAGACAAGCCTCTAATTGCACGTGGCTAACAACGTTCAACGGCTAGCGTATCTCTATGTATGAGCACAGGCCTGAGCCCTGAGTCCTAAGGGCAAGCCTAATATATTAACGGCCAAAGCTGACCTGCAGTAGACGACGCCATAAAAAACGCTTATTTTTATCAGTAAAGAATCAACGAGGATAGGGGTCATAGGTCATATGTACTTAACCAATCCAAGCTATTTATCTGTAACATGAGCAACCACTTGCCCGGGACGCGGGATGCCGCTTAGCTATGCCACTCAGTAGACGGCAAGACATTGACTAAAACACATTTATCAACGAACAGGTATTTTCTTCCAAAAAAAATTAATAAAAATAAAAACCCGGGCAGATACGCGGCCGGCGTGATTCGCGGCGATGGAACGTTGAACATCTTGAATTGTGTCAAATCGAGAGCCTCAGGCCGTGATACGTGGCCTCGAAGTTTATATACATGCTTTTGCATCTCGTATTTTGGACCGAAGAGGAACTTGATGACGTTCGATACGAACAAAACCTTAGGTTTCCGCGCGACGAAGCGGCCAATTGACTAAATGGTGTGAAGGACCCCGCGTAGGTAAGCCTTATTATCTCTTTTTTTTCACGATAGCCTCTGATAACCCCTAGTCTATCCAGACTGACCCGTCAAAAAGCATGGTTGGAAATCGGAACTTTTCTGCTTTGTTTTTCGCGGTAACTACGTCACAGCGGAGTAGCGGCGGCGGCACAGTCTGTAAATTTTATCGATAGCCCGCCCTGATTTTAGTCTACGGACAAGCTTCAGATACCTTAATGACGAGCAGTAGATGAAACAAATCTTTTGGTGGATATTTTCCGGCTCGTCCGTAGTTTCTATGTATAGGTGATTTCTCTCCATGAAAAAAAAAAAAAAAAAAAAAAAAAACATCCCGCTTCCCTAGTCCATCATCCACCGACTAAATACTTACATGTACGTATAGAGACTCGTAGTGCGGTATGATATGAGCTGATAAAGTACGGATTACAAAACAGGAATAAGGAATATGTAGGAAGCCTAAAGCGTAACATACTCCCTAGACTCGACTTAATAACCAGTCACGAACTTGCAGAGCGCGAAGAATGCTATCTGTTATTAGACTTAAAATGATCTGGTATGTCTATCGCGAAGGTTGCAAGACCCTTTTCTTTTTAGAGTGGTTATTTTGAAACAAAAACTCTTTAATGTGAACCCACAACAGCAACCAAGTTCAAAAGCATTGCAATCTTCTAAAATTGTATTGGATGACCTGTTTCTGTGGCTGCCGTGGGGAGAGGGATAGGTATTCAAAAATGGACTCCAATGGCAAGCCAATGATAAAATGAGAGCCTCCTAAAACGACATCAGCGGCTGTAGATTGCAGGTTTTAGATATTTCCTCATCGTACGCTTATCCCTTTCGGGCAACACTACGCAATTATTAGCCCCTGACTCCCCTGGACGCAGGGAATTCCAGGGAATGAGCTTTAGTGGGGGTGGATTAGATTGTGGATTAGATTGTGATTTGTACCTGTACAATCACCCTATCTTTACCGGTACCACAACAGCTGCCACAGTAAAAAGGTATACAGCCCGAAAAGATGCCTGTAAGTGTTGCTTGTAGTGAACGGAACGCACTGATGATGCGACCGTGTTTGAAAGCGCTGATTCAATTGGGGCGGGTCTGGGGCTAAAATTGTGCGGGATAAGCTCTTGGGATCACAAATTGCCCCTACAAGGTACCGCATTACTAGGTACCGCTTGAAGGGTGGCTAGGCGTATGGATGTGCCTGGGTAGGCCTGTCTACCGTTAGAAGCACCACTCTGATTCTAAAAATTTATTAGCCGTACCATCTCTTTTTTTTTTCAATCTTCTCTCTTTTTGTCCATCCTCTTTTTTCTTGTCACCACTGCTCTTTCCCCCCTCCAGTTGTTGACGAATCTCTCCTCCGCACCACAAACAACTTCTTGTTTTGAAGTTTACGGAAGAGAGAAAACAAAAGTTGACAATTCGGCAACAATTGCGGAAACTTATAAACAGTTACGCCACCTCTCAAAATTCACCTAAATCTTTAATTGGTCTCAGCAGGCTTGGCCTTGTCGCTCATTCATCATCCGTGTCCTCTTCAATTCATTCTACCTTCTACCCCTTTCTTAGTCACATCGCACTAGCGAGATATTCAACCTTCACTTCAGACGTGAATAATCAATACAATGGCCGACGAAAAGATTCGTACCTCTGGTGAGGTTCCCCGACCGGAGCCAAAGGGCCCCATCTTGCCTACCACGAATCCCGAGGCCGACAAACCTCAGCCTCCCAAGTCGGCCATCCACCCGGCTCTATACGTCGCGTATGTCGAGTTCTCCCTCGAGTCAAGATAATTACGATTCAAAGTAAGGACGTGTAGCTAACAAGTTGCTACAGAGTATGGATCAGTCTTTCGTCGTCTGTCATTCTGTTCAACAAATGGATTCTCGACACTCTCGAATTCCGTAAGAGACCCTTGAGCGAATGTTGACTTAACTGCCGTAAATGGAGTCTAATAATATTCTAGGTTACCCCGTTATCTTGACCACCTATCACTTGACGTTCGCGACCATTGCGACACAGCTGATGGCGCGCTACACCACCCTCCTTGACGGTCGCAAGACTGTCAAGATGACTGGACGCGTCTACCTCCGCGCTATCGTTCCTATCGGTGTCTTCTTCAGCTTAAGTTTGATCTGCGGTAACTTGACCTACCTCTACCTCAGTGTCGCTTTCATTCAGATGATCAAGGTATGAATAATCAAGCAGGTGTGATTATGGAAGTATAAGGTTGCTGACGAAGGATTACGATAGGCCACCACCCCCGTTGCAGTCCTACTTTCCAGCTGGGCCATGGGTCTTGCACCCCCCAACCTCAAGCAGCTCCTCAACGTGTCTGCCATCGTTGTTGGTGTCATGATTGCCTCGTTCGGTGAGATCCGATTCGTCTGGATTGGTTTCTTCTACCAGTTGGGAGGTCTTATGTTCGAAGCTATCCGTCTCAACCTTGTTCAGGCCTTACTCAGCTCTGCCGAGTACAAGATGGACCCTCTAGTCTCTCTATACTACTTTGCACCCATCTGCGCTGCCATGAACGGTGCCGTTGCCCTCATTTGGGAGGTACCCAAGGTCTCTATCGCTGAAGTTTACCACGTCGGTCTCTTCACCTTCTTTTTGAACGGACTATGTGCCTTCCTTCTCAACGTCTCAGTTGTCTTCTTGGTAAGTTTCAACATATCATCGAAAATGAGTGTAGGTACTAATAAGTTGTATAGATTGGCAAGACCTCTGCTGTCATCATGACACTTTGCGGTGTCCTTAAGGATGTCATGCTTGTTTTAGCCTCTATGCTCATCTGGGGTACCCCTGTTTCCGGCCTCCAGGCTTTCGGTTACACCATTGCGCTTGGTGGTATGGTCTACTACAAGCTTGGTCTTGAGGCTATCAAGGGATATGCTGGTGAAGCTGGCCGACACTGGGCTGAGTTTGGTGCCACGCGCCCTGCTCTGCGCAAGGTAGTCGTCATCGGGGCAGCACTACTATTTGTGTTCATCCTCTTTGGTGGCTTGGCCCCCAACTACGCCTATGACCCGTCACAGTACCTTTCTGGTGCTGCTGAGAAGTTCGGCGTCTCCTCATGAGCGAATATGTGTCAACGAAACCTCTCCTTTCACCGTATGCCTTTGTAATCTTCTAGGTGGATGGGAGTTATAACTCGGGTTCTAATGAGAACAGGGTCTGATGGTGGAACGCTACGTGATGACCTAGTACGCGTTTCTCCTGATTTTTTCGGGTACATAATTGCACATTTTCCGCTTCATCTTCACAGGGGATGGTAGTAGTTGGAGAGATTTTTCTTTTACGCCGTGGACACTGATGAAAGGGTAGTCAAGGCGGTATTTTATTGTAACGGCTATAGATAGCAGACATGGTGTCAATTGCAAGGGTCGGGTTGCATCTGCTCGCATTACGACAGACAGGGCTAGTCTTCATGTAACTTAGAGAGCCTAGGAGGTATTAGACCTGAATGAAAATGAGACTAAATTTGCACGTTAATTAATAGTTTTTTATTGTTCTTATGTGGTCAAAGTGCTAGAGTCTCGAGTATAGAGTTGAGCATGGTTTTGAGCATAGGGAATATAGATTTAGGCTATTTAATTCTGGCCAGCAAGAGGGGTGGTAAAATGTAGTACAATTAATGGTAGAATTCCCTTGCAGTGTCGAAGTCTTAGGCCATAAAAATGGGAAAAGGGCTCCGAGGAGTCTACTAAGATATGACTACAATTATCCTGTGTTGCCATATGAAACAGTTTCGATCCGTTGGTGATGGAATCTTATATACTCGCGACTCCCAGTAACCATCCAACCTACGTGCAACTCGGATACTAATCCCAGAGTACTAAGCCCAGAGACTCGGGGTGTAGTACAGACGGGCGGGCGGGCTGGCTCGGTCAGTCTCAAGTTGATGAGTTTGGAAATCAATCACTGGGGATCCGCAAGCGAAAGTGGCACCAATTAGTCACTCATGGTACGGCCGAGACGTAGAGGTTTCATTCATCAGATGTGTGTTCATTTTTCATGTTTCTGAATTCAGAGCAAGACCCTTTGAGGCTTCCTAATGCCATTGATGATGCGATTTACATCCCAGACCGAACCCCCTTATGACCGAACGACGGAAGTATGCAGACGAAAGGATTAGAATTCTGCGAAGGGGAGTTAGTATTGTTTATATACCTAGGTAAGTTAAGTAGAGGGAAGAGGGGACACGTACTTAGGGGTGTGAAGAACCATCTGTTCTTGCCGCTCGTGTAGCGCTCCTCGAGGACCTTCTTGACGTTCTTCTTGGCGTCCTCGCGCTGGCTGACCTCCTTGAAGGTCTCGCCGGAAACGACGCCCTTAAGGCCCTCGAGCTCGAGGGTGTATCGTGTGGGCATCAAGTGGTTGTAGTTGATGGCCTTGATGAAAGGCTTGATCTTGGATCGCTTGTCCTGTCGCGACTTGGACATGCGTCGGGTGATCTTAGAAGGGTAGCGCTCGATGCCTGCGACTAGGGCGTGGCCGTAGGGGTGTGCCTTGTTGCCGCTGTCGACGGGCTGGATGATGACAACCTGGAGAGTGGATTCCGTTAGAATAGTGTTCCTAATTTTTCTTTCCGACTATATATATATATAAATATATCGATGTAGTGTAAAATCATAAGGGACCGTATATATAGGTATGTTTGTGCTTATACAATCATTCCGACGCGGCTTCTCGAAGATCGTAATTGTGCCAAATTCAATCCACCATTATCCAACAAAGTCTTTAAATTCTTCAAATAACAAAATCTATTTTTTTTGTTTCTTCTTTCGTCTAGTAACATACCTTCTTTCCGGCATATCGGCCACGGGTGATAATGGCTACTCGGCCAACCTTTAGGAACTTCATCTTGTCGGCTCCGGTGTCGTCGTTTGTCGAAAAGGGAAGTCGAGGTGTTGTCGGGTGGGTTGGCGAATTGGTCGATTGAGAATGAATTCGATAATAGTAAAGGTTGGTTTGCGATGGGCTAAGAAAATCGAAAATGTGCCTGAGAAAATTAAGCGAAGAAAGGGTTCATTTAGTTGATTGGCTTGATTGTGTGGGGTGGGGCTTTTCGGGTTTACTTTACGTGGTCTAAGCTTTTTAAAGCAGTTAAAAGTGGGGTATGAATTGAAAGCTCAAGAGGCCTTTTTTTATATCAAGAGTTTTATTCATATACTCATACCTTACTCATACACCCATCCATATACTAGCCACATATATAAAGGACGATTAACTAGCCAAAAATAAGTTTATACTGTAAGATTCGTTTAAATGGCTCCCCCAACATATATTATCTCCCGCGTAGCGGACCCTATCTTTGCCGTCGTGATTGGACTCGGAGCAGCAGCTACAAGAATTAACCGTGAAGGCAAGGAGAAGGGCAAAACGACACAGCAAACAGTCGAAGCCGGGAAGAGGTATATATGTCTCATATAATACATAGTAAAATGAGCATTCGTTTCTAATTGAGTTTTTCATTTAGACGAGTCAGTAATCTGTTCAGCAAACAAGCATAATAATACCCTTATCGAACAGTGGACTACCATACCTCCCTCTTACGTCTTATTAGCAGAGGCTTGTGGTTTTTAGAATGTTGTTCACACAATTCTATCGTGGGTGTGTTTATCACTAAGTGATGATACATTCTATATACTCTCAGAGTCTTGGTTTCTGAAGCGTCGCTATGACTATCGTACCAACCAACTAGATTCGAGTTTAATATAGCTTCCCCTACACCATCCTCGGTCTTTATATATGTACTGGCTAAGGAGCAAGCAATTAAAGAAGTTCATACTCGATAGTGGTGAACAGGACTAAAGAATTCGGCATCATATTTATCATTATTAATAGGTTTCAGTCAGATCAACTCTTTCAATAACCGACAACTGTTTTCTGACCGAGTTATTCAACGGCTCGTTGAAAATTAACCAAATAGCTTGGTTACGAAGCATATGCGGGGCCATATTCCTTCTTCATGGCCTCCCTCACCATCTGACCGCAAAGCTTGGCTGTGGGATTAGTACTCACTGCCAGAGCTTTCGCAATATCGTTTCCGTATCTTCCTCCCGAGGAAAAATCTCTCGATGCCGCCTCTTCGAAGTCGTTCTTTGTCCAGCCTTCCTCCTTTCTTCCGACAATGTTGATTTTACTGCCAGCCTGAAAGGACTTCGAAGTCATATAATAGATCGCTGCTCGTTGGGTGTGTGCGAGTGACAAAGTTTTCCCGGCTTGTGGTGATATGGCTGCGAATATGCTCCTTGGAGTCAACAGGGAAATGGCCTGGTCTAGATCGGAAAGAGCCAAGTCTGCTGCTTGAGATTTCTCGAGCTCGTCAACCTCACTTAACAACCCTCTTGAGGCCTGATCACCAGATAACAGCAGTGCATCTCCGTACAGCCTCCTGAAGACCTGTGCTCTATTATTTCGAGCGCTGGCGTATTTTGGGTATTCTGTTATGAGTTCCCCGAGTTTAGACAAGCATTGTCGATATTCCTGTATCGGCTCCGCTGTTGGTGCTGGCCGCAAACCGGCCAGTTGCATCTCAAGCTGCTGCATAGCCAGTACGATATCCCGCTCTCTCCGAGAAACACGGTCATAAACAGATGTATCCGCTATATTCGGATCCTTGGGTAGTGTTGCATCTACAAGAACGGCCGTCGTTGGATTTGACTCTGGGTCCTTAATCTTCTCGAGGACGTTGAAGTCTCGGCGGCTTAGGGAGCTTGTCGCCATATTGAGTATTTTTAGGCCGAAGATATCGTGATGACGAATGAGTGCTAAGGTGCTTCTGGGCGGATTGCGATGTGGGAATAGAAACAGCTATACGGCAGATATAATGTGGTCATACAATATATCGAGAAATCTTAACTGGAATGGCCTCGAATAAATGGAATAGGCGATACAGCAGAGATGCATGTAGGGTGGCTCGGCTTGATCAATGATAAACCAGTACTCAAGCCTTAGCTCTGTACTCCCTTATCATGCGTTCAAACATCGTCGTTTCTCCACTTCGGTACCCAATACAATGCCGAAGATTACTGCTACCTTCCACGAACCTTCTTCACCTGCAGTACCTAAGGTCAGCGAGATAAGGACATACATTCTTCCCCTTCTAGCCGTCCCAAACCATCTCGCCTCATTGGACGTACAGGCAATGGGTTGTGTCGGATAACTACGCGTGGCCCTGGAGGATGAACTACGGGGAAGCGGCTAGCTTCGGCAGTCTGACGTCTTTGTTTCCGCAGCCCCCGAATTTGGGTTGAGAGGCTCCACGGCCCTATCACGTCGAGCGTATCGGTAAGCCAGCTTTCGCAAATGCCCGTCTGACGACCCTTTCCTAGTAATGGTTGTCCGGGACGTTCCTTGCCGTATAAGCTGGGGCCGGCATACGGTAAGGTGTGCGGAATTTGTCCCGACCCAGAGTCCCTGGCCTATCCCCCTTTAACCGCTATATTGTTAGGACCAGAGGGTATGTAGGGATAGACGGAAAGGTTAGGTAAGATGATATTGAAGATCTCTCATATGTGTATTTCTATCTCTTAAGGTTTCCTCTTTCTGGATCTCGTATTCAAGATTATATTACACATAACTATCGGTACTTACATAGCTAGTTTACTCTCTCCTTGCTTAGTTACCTATACTATATCTATTTACCATCCTAAGTAAACCCCATAGAGTATAAACCAATCAACCAAGTCACACAAATATGGCCCCCTCCGCGATCTCAGAATCTCCTCCTAGGTACTCCCCGAATGCAGACGAGTACGCCGTACAGGCTGGCGTGCCCAACTTTCAGGGTTACGATCACATCACTTGGTGGGTAGGCAACGCAAAGCAGGCCGCGTCGTATTACACAACGCTCTTCGGCTTCGAGACGGTGGCGTACCGTGGTCTAGAGACCGGTAGCCGGTACTTCACATCGCACGTCGTGGCCTGCGGGGACGTTCGCTTCGTGTTCACATCGCCTATCCGCTCATATGCTTATCTACCTAAAGATGAGCCTGCCACAGAAGATGAGCGGAAGCAGCTCAAGGAGATGCACGACCACCTCGAGAGACACGGCGATGCGGTCCGAGACGTCGCCTTTGAAGTTGATAGTGTGGAGGGCGTATACAACCACGCCGTAGAACAAGGCGCCGTCTCCGTCCAGCCCCCCACGCTCCACCGTGACAAGCAGCACGGCGACGTACTAACAGCCGTGATCCGGACCTACGGCGACACAACACATACTCTGATCTCACGACGGAACTACACAGGCCCTTTCCTCCCTGGTTTCCAAGCGCGCTCATCCCCACCCTCTAGCACAATCCTCCCGCGCGTCGACCTCGCCCGCATCGACCACTGCGTCGGCAACCAGTCGTGGGACGACATGGTAGCCGCCTGCGAGTTCTACGAGCGGTGCCTGTCGTTCCACCGGTTCTGGTCCGTCGACGACAGCCAGATATGCACCGAGTTCAGCGCGCTGCGCAGCATCGTGATGAGCAGCGCCAACGACGTGGTCAAGATGCCCATCAACGAGCCCGCGCCCGGCAAGAAGAAGTCGCAGATCGAGGAGTTCGTCGTCTTCAACTCGGGCCCCGGAGTCCAGCACATCGCGCTGCTGACCCACGACATCGTGGCCGCGGTCACGGCTATGCGCGCCAGAGGCGTCGAGTTCATCGCCGTCCCGGATACCTACTATACGACTATGAAGGAGCGCATGCGCACGGAGAAGAGAGGCTGGGAGCTCCAAGAGGACTTCGAGACCCTGCAGAAGCTCAGCATCTTGATCGATTACGACGAGGGCGGCTACCTGCTACAGCTATTTACCAAGCCGCTTATGGACCGGCCGACGGTATTCGTAGAGATCATCCAGCGGCACGATTTCAGCGGGTTCGGTGCCGGGAATTTCAAGAGCCTGTTTGAGGCTATCGAGCGGGAACAGGCTCAGAGGGGGAACTTGTAAGTTGGAGTTAGAAGAGGATGGGGAGGGCGCATGTATGATATAACCTAATACTTAACGAGACCATGGCATGAATAACAGCAGCGAGATTGATTCATTGACTAACTGTACGTTGCATCATCGACGGATGAAGGATGGGATGGAATGGGATGGGATGGTTTGGAGACGGCGATGCTATAACTTTGTATATGTAGCTACTATAAAGCCATCTCTGTAAATAGAATAGTTATAGCTAACTAACTAGCTAGCTAGCTAATCTTCTGTTCTTCGTTCCATTCGGATGTCCTCTATACTCCTCTTCCTCCCCTCCCCCCTCCCTACCTCAGCTAAGCGCACGAAGCGCCCTCTCTATACGAAAAAAAAAAAAAAAAAGAACCGCGTCCTCGAATGAGTCTGGTGCAAATCCCCTATCCAGTAATGATAAGTATAAGTAGTAGTAGCAGTAGTAGCAGTACTATTATGCGGCCCCGCCAACGCCCCCTTTTTTTCCCCATGCAACAACAATAATAGTCGGTCATATGCTAGAAGGAACGGCATTCCATCGAAAAAAAAAATCCAGCCCTTAAGCAAGCAAACAAGTAGGTAATAGACTACGCCAACCTTGTGATATATGATCTATCTCGCACTACGCGAATTTCCTGTTAAGCCCATCCAAGGATTTACGAATCGATCTCCATAGCGCCGTTACTAATACCACCACCACCGCCGCCGCCGCCGGGATCGTTATCCCGGGCGCCTCGAGTATCGCTCTGGCATCCGGGGCAATTATGCAGGACCTCGTGAGCGAACAGATCGCAATCGATGCAGAAGTGATTCCTGCAGACCTCGCACGCGTACCTACCAGACTCGCTGAGACCCCTCGGCGGCAGCGGTTTTGCGGCATTGATCTTCTCCTTGCCCTTGACCGAGATTTTGGTCTTGGCAGGCTCGGGAAACGGGGTCAGACACGAGTAGCAGGCCTTGGAGCGCTTGGCTTCGGTCCATGGTACTTCGACCCAGTTGCGTAGTGGGAATAGGTGGTGGTATGATCGGGCCAGATGTGTGGATAAGATGAGTGTGAGTCCGCAGCCGGGACACTCGGCGGGTAGTCTGCAGACACGCGATCCGCAGCGGGTGCAGCCGTAGCCTTCGCGCGTTGGCCGGTTGTGGCACGCGCAGTAATGGGTATTGCCGCCGACCGCGAGCGTCCTCGAGGGGAAGCCCATCATGAGCAGGCTGGCGTTGCTCTGCTCTTGCGTACGCGTGACGGGGGGCGTTGTTATTGCTATGAGTAAATCTCTAAAATGCTCCTCGTGTAAAGCTATACTATAGCTGGAGTTCTCCCCTCCATTGGTTTTCGAGCAGAGTTCGTCGCAGATAGCTACTTGTGCGGCGAGGCCTACTATAGATACGCGTATCCTATCGGCGACCAGAGCACTAATGGTCTCATGTATGTCTCCCGGATCGCTAGACATCAAGGCGCCGTAGACTATCACGACCTCTCTCGTTCCATGTGATGGTGTGTGGCTATACCCAAAAAAATCGTCAGTCATTCCGCTTCCTTCATCCTTTCCGATTAAGCTGTAGAAACCCACAATAGAGCACCCCTGCACATCTCCAGGGCATTTTGCAGACTTGGGTTTCCCTGAGGGTCCTGCTTGACCCAACCCTGTAACTTCTCTAGGTGGTCTGTTGGATTTCCGCTCATGTCGCTTATCCTAACTCCGACGCCGTCTCGCATTCCTATGATCGCTAGCTGAGAGATAGGGTTCTGCTCAAAGTATTCTCTCACGAATTGGGAGGCGTAAGCCATGGTCAGTTCGTACCTGCTAGGCAGCAGGTCCTTCTCGAGCATGGCGAAGGACATATCTAAAACTAGAACAAGGTGTCGTATGATACCGCGTTGTAGGGGCGTGGTATCCTTAAGCAGTCGCGCCCGCTTCTCCGCCTCGGCACGACCCTCGATCGCTCCCGTGAGCGTACCGTCGGCATCTTCAACGACTGTGTCCCACGACCGTTGAATATCTTCCCAGGCGGCCTTCGCGCCTTTCCGAGTACTCTTCTTGCTTTTATCGGTCCGATTCCTCGATCGCGTATCGTTTCGGGTACTGGATGTTACCTGATGATCGCCGAACTCGTCATCAGAGGCATCATCAGCCTGGAATTCGCCATCGGAGTCGGCCATGGTCTAATCGCGCTCTGAATTGGAGTTCGTGCTTGTACTGTTCGGATTTTGAAGGGATGGTAAGAATTAAGTGGGTAACGTGTCCTCCGTGTCGGGAGGTATCGTATTATTAAATTAGAAAAGAAGGGAAGAAAGGAAGGGAGACCTAAGCTCTGAACGTAGGTAGATAGGCAGCAGGGGGTTTCCTATAATACCTTAAGAGCATTGTTGAAGGGCGTTCTGAAGAGTAGCATATCCCTGTGAATGATATGATAGTTCTTGATATAGCGCTATAGAGAGGAAGTATTGCGATAATCCTAGAGGACCTAGAGTAAAATAAATAAAGAGAAGTTGTTAGTAATAGAGAGGTTAAGAAGACGAGGCTGTTACTCTTTCTTTGTTGAAATGCTATTGCCGAAAATACACAGCCTTGTATTTAGCTCTTTGAATCTAAGCCAATCAGAAAAGCTCTAGATAATAGGTTCATGTCTAACATTACATTTAGAGTATTACAAGTGGGGCACACATGTTCATGCTACTTCTACACTACATACAATACATGTAGACAACGCCAATTCACTCACGTCATGCAGCATGAAAAAAAACCCCCTCGAAAAGAAAAAAAAACTTTCACTAACGTGGCTCGTTAAGCTTGGAATTATTCAACTGTACCATACGACCTCATATACATTAGTCGCACATATCCGGGGTATACTATCAACCATGCCTTTAAGCTCTCCGCCAACTGGCGAATGGCACATATGCCACCCTATGTATGAATATCACATCTCTCCTCCCTCCTCCCTCCTCCAAGCCTACTTGCGTCGCTTCGTATTGTGCATGCGACCGTGCTTTTCAGCCCACCCTTGCTTAAGATAACTAGGATTTCTACGTGCATTAAATTTTCAACGGTATTTTTTGTTATTGCTGTTCCCTGCAAAATGACATATTTGCCGACGGGAAACAGCGAAGGAATGAAAAGAAGAGAACAAGAACGGGTATATTGGTGAACCTAAACGCCGACGCCGTAGTAAAATGAGAGAAAAAGAATTAAGGGTAGCCTGTGGGTTGACTAGCAATCGGCCAGTCGTCTTCGGTAATGCTCGACCAGAATACCCAGATCATAATAACCGAGAGTAGAGTGAAGAGCGTCTCAAATAACGCACCGTCGATCTTGCCACTAGTTCCGTTGCAAATGTATGGACTGATGACGTAGTTGAAGACCTGGCCTATCGCGAATAGAATAGCAGCGCCTGCGAGGTATATCATGGGTCGAATCTCACCCAAGATTCTGAGGACGAGAACGGCTTCCAAAACAAAGAAGGCCACGAGGAAAACAAGCGGGGCAAGCTGGTAGAGTACGTAAAGTGCGATGTTTCGGTAATGTTCGTCGGCCCTGGTAACAAATTCGTTGGTCCAGTGAAATCCCGTGTCGAGCGTGATATAACCAGTACCGACAAAGAGGATGGCGCCAGAGAGGAACATGAGTCCCATGGAAACTGGTGTACCGTCATCAAGGATCTGATATCCTACGATAGCATTAAGTAGTAGAATCCATGTTGTCGCGATGATCATTCCGATGTGGATTCCGGTGAAGGCCTAAAGTAATTAAGTTAGCTTCGCTAGCACCTACTATCAATTTTGTAGAGATATTACGTACGATCCGGACTGTTGCATTAAGAGGAAACTCCCCAACTGTGAATATTTCGCATATCTCGATTATGATAAAACCGATGAGGAATAATTGCATCTCCCTATAGGTAATTATGTCAGTTAAATGGTCTGCAAAGTGAAAGTACTCGACACGGACCTCCGGCCAACTGCAGCCTTCTTTCTCTCTGAACGCAACAATAGCAGTATTGAAATGACAATGGCGATACCGCAAAGCAATATAGACCCTACTCTTTGTCAGCGAGAATTCATCTCATTTCGTATTAGCTAGACGAACCTAGATTTCCCAAGTAGCGATCACCAGATAGAGGGATGCCTTGTAGCTCGCAACCACCCCATCCGCCTCGTTGGTCATGACTCTCTGAGAGAACCTAATTCGTGTGTTAGCGACCTCGGGTGTTTGGCGGGATATTGCATAGCCGTGTCACTAAGCGGACGTACATTGCAGACCGGTAAAGTCGAATCGCGGCAAAACGCCTGAATAACATAGTGATGTTAGCATGGCTCGTGAGAATAATGAGAGAATATTGTCCATAATCTGGTCTGAGGAAAACATACGTCGAAATTACCAAAATTTGTTGACCCCATTTGCGTTGCGGCGCGAGGGAACCGCGCAAAGATAGATGGTTGAACGAGGTAGAGATAGTTTGTCGGAGTACGGGACTTGAGATGAATAATGCTTTACTTTCTTAGTTTGTCGATATAATGATATCCGAACGTGCACAGGTCCGTGATAAGCTTAACCGACGCCGTATTCTGAATTGGAATATTATGGGCAGAGATTGCTGTGGATCTTTGCGCCAGATAGAACGCAGCCTGACTCGCGTTTGCTCTCAAATTCGATTCAGTCTGGGGCTGGAAATGAGACCAAGGCTGGATCAAGGCTGGATCAAGGCTGGGACGGTTATGATGTAGTCCGATTATTCCCCCACAAACTCCCTTCCTCTCCAATTATGGTATCTCGAACCTAATCGTGGTAATTCTTGTTTTCCAAGAAAGTGAATTGATGTGTTTTTTTTTGTGTGTGATCCTCTATGGGGAGAGGGATTAGATGATTAGATGGAAGAGAGAGGAAATGAGTGCATGCAGCTTGCGAGGTTCGGGGCCAAGTTGCACGTTAGTGTGATTGATCTTGCTAGGCCAACCTTGGGGATCCCCTGGCGCCTTCTACAACGAGAGAGACGAAGCTACCCTGTGTAGGTAATGGCGTAGTAGATTTGGTAAGTAATCTATCGTAAGAGAGTAGGCAAGGAAGGTAAGAATCGATTCTGGTTGGTAGAAATTAGGAACAGCGGGTCTCCTTTAAATTGTCCCAAACCTATTTTGGTCACTGGAGGTCTTATTGTTCCTGAGAAAAGAGGCAGGAACAACGCGATTCGGCATACATTATGAACAGGGATAAGAAATCTGGTTTGTCTGGGTTTTGCAAGGGGGGGCCGGCCAAATTTCAATTTTACACCTTTGCAACTAGTTCGCGCCAAAACTCTCACCATCAGTTTAATCCCATCACAATATGAGGTACGAGCGTCAGAATATCGTTAAGTTCGAAAGGCTAGGTACTGCCTATAGTTTTGTATAAGTTTGGAGGGAACCCAATAACCTCCCTGACGTGCCTTACCGTAACATAGCAGACGAGAAAAAAAATGTGTTCACCAACCGGAGGACCAGATCAGCGCGATGTCTTGCATAAAAATAAAAAAAGGCTGTACATCCTTCATGGAATGGCTTAGAAAGCTACGTGTGGGAACTAGTCTAAGGGATCCATTAGCCTGTAAGTAATTTGGATTGGATCATCTTCATGCGTGATGAACTGTATTGTAGCCTCTCGAGATAAGAAGGTTTGTTGTCCGCCCACTTACAGACGACAACCTTTATCTCATTAGCTGTGCTGTCTGTACCTCACGTCCCATTGCCACATCTTCATTAATATGTTCTGCTGTGATTGTTGAGAAGGTATTCGTAGCGTTTCTCGAGGATCATTGATACTCGTTGTCTAGTCAGCTTAGCCAAGCCTTCGCATAGGATATTGTATGTCGTGAACTTGGTTTATGTACGGATCCCTACAGATCCGTACCTACAAGCATGACGAAAGGGCTTCTGTGTACCTAGGTACCTCAATATGGTTGCTTATGATACCTTTATTTTGCGCTGCGTCCCTCTCTAGGCCAATGTTACCACTACCCGCCGCCGACCCTTGGTTCTTTATGCAATCTTGGATGAATTCGCTTACGGTCCATTTGCCAGAAACGCACATACATAGACGCCTTACATGTGGATCAAGCGCATCAACCACTGACTGGCTTGATAGTGATTTGACGATATTGTATTGTATCTGATGAGAGCCGCTCTAAGACATGGCATCCTATAAGAATGTATTGTGCAATGCTTATAAAATTGAGTACAACCCACCTAATGAGCTAGGTAGTTAGAAAGCATTGTTCTGTCTTGGATTGCCCTCCCTGGGTTCATAAGCCACTTAGAGCGCCGCAACCATCATGTCTTTAAGAGTCCCATGCCGGTCGTACTCTACCGCTCGCCACGGAAGTGGAACCTAAGTAGGTATCGTGATGGCATTTGAGTTTCAATATCCGCGTCTTTGGGATTCGGGGTGTTATCGAGGCGGCAGCACGCATGGTGAGATAGTCTGACAGGGAATTTCAACGTTTCAGCCACATTTCTTCATACTTCTCAGGCCGCGATATCCGACGCATCGACATCAGTGGTCAATGGTGGTGATGCTCAGCCCATTCTTAATTTGGACATGTTTGCCATCCAACCAGTTAATGCTCGAGGATAGACTTTTCCAAGATAATATCAAGTAGGTTTTCCAAACCAGAGATTTGGGATGGTGAATGTATAACTTGAATGTATATAAGTAAGCGATGAGCTTCATCGGAGCTTCCAGATACTCCGGCGAAGTAAGCTTAGGTCCATTATAGTATTTGATTAATGGAGGTTGTACTTCATATTCGAAAGAGCTATCAAGTCTCGAACAATGCCACGACTGAGCAACTGCTCTCAGTAGTGTAACGCCGATTCGATAAGCGTAGCATAGCCTGAACTTACTATAAATAATAACGTTTGCTAGAATAAGCCCTAAAGGTGGGTTTTCTGAACATCATGGCCCAAGCTTAAATATATATGTCTGTGTTACGAGATGGAGATGTCGATGAGATTAAAAGTGGTGAGTCGAGATGCGGACTAGGTTAGTAAGTATATATTAGCCCTTAAGAGCTTTAGAAATACCCCAGTATATTCACTCTCCACGTGCGTGCGTGCGTGCAGTTAAGGACTCTTTGGCGAGGGGGGATTGAGGGGAACCGAGGGGAAACTGGATGATCAGCCTAGGCTGTTAGGGTTCTACAGTAAAAAAGACCTCGTGATCCAAGCGTTCCCCAATATCTAAGTAGCAATCTGAGACATTGGTAGAACTGGGAAAGGGTTCATTCTAAAGAGGGATGTTTTCTGGGGTGTTGCATCCTCAAGTGACATTTTGTGTTGACCGCCTGGGGAAGCAGTATTTCAAGCTATGATGCCATCGTGGGTCTGTTTGCATTCTGATGCATTCTGATGCATACTGGAGCCGCCATACCCAGACGGCTGAATATGCAACGAGTCAACACCTGACCCGACTGGTGCTCTTTGATCCTCTGCATATCGGTTACTTCATTCGCTGAATTGAGATAAGAGGATTTAACATGTGTTGTAGAATATCGTATGCGTCTTCCCAAAGGGGGTCTGATTTGCGTAGCTTGGCTTTCCAAATAGAAAGATGATCCCCGTTAGAACAAGAAAGCCTGATATTGAACCTAGACTCTCTAAGACGTATCATGTGACGACCATCTTTTCTACCTACCTAACGAATTGAGTTGTGAAATAGCTCGGACGAAGACGTAGCCGTTTATCTAGAGCTGTACGTGGTATTCGACAATAGGTAGCTTACCTAGATTTTATATCATCTAAAAGTCATGTTAAAGGTGATTCTAGGCTATCCGGCACCTCAAAATACGAATTGTCATGGCGTACAAAGCACAGTTGTTTTTGTGTAAAGAATACGGTATAGTACAAGTGGTCGAATAGGTCATTATCTGTAATCAAATACGGTACAGTACAGGTTAGTACAGGTTTACAGCGTCTGTTGTAAGACTCTGTGGGGGGTTTCTTACCCCACACCAAGAACTGCACCTACCCTGAAACCTCCAAGGCTACCGTCGCAATTACCGCAGAAAAGAAAGGCTGCTGTACAGTGTCCAAATAGACGGAGTACATATTTATAAAGGCTAAGACGCCTAAGATCAGTAAGATCAGCGGTTTGTCTTCTTGCTCCCTGAACTTTTGAAAATAGGGGATTGCAGGTAGGATTTATCGATCTGTCCCTCTATTCCGAAGAGCCAGGTTTTTCTGACTTTTTCTTTTTTTTTCATTCTTTTTTTTTTTCTCAATCGCTTGTCTCAATAATTATACACTGAATTATCGATTTCTACATACTTGTCTCTCCCGCCTCTTAGTTATTATTCGACCAAAACACCAATTCTCGTTACGGTTTTTTTTTATTGATATTGCACTGAAGCACGACTCCGTTCTCGGGATAGGTACTGTACTTTTGGTCGCAACTTGTTCTTTGTACCTACAGTGCGTGGTACCTTGTTTAGACCAGATTCAGCGTTGCATGTGTCTTGTGCTTGTTGATCCACCTACCTGCGTTGCTGGTCGAAAACTTGTCGACGCCTTTCGTCACTCGTCAGGCCCGGATGACACTGAATCTTGGGGGCCTGTCTTATATACTCACTCCACCCTTTCCGCATTCCCCAACTCAATTCCAATCGATACTATCACCGCAGGAGGGCGCTGCTGCTTGACAGCCCCAACAATTCCAAAATTCCTTCACCAAAATCAAATCGTCTTCCCTCAAACATTCCTCTGAGGACCTTAACCAATCGATCCGAGCACGGTGCCCAATCGACGTCATTGCTGGCCGGTCACCGAGATCAGCACTCTCACGAGAGACGCTCCTCCGACTCTGTCGACTCCGACTCCTGGACTGATACCGGTGATATCGCAGAGCAGTTGGCAGATGAGGAGGATCCTTTGCGGAAGACTCTCGCCGATACCTCCGTGAACGAGGACCTATTCTCGGGGGTTCTGAAACGCCATCCTAAGCACAAACGCGTCCAGTTTAGAAATTCCGTCTCTGAGCATAGCAATTATCGCTCTTCTAGATCCCTCTCTAGGACTATCGATAAAGAAGCGATCGAGGTTCCCGAAGTCCCTCCACGGCGTCTCTCAAGAGCAGAGCGTTTCATAGCCGCCATCATGCCAGGTGCCGGGATACACGGCCTTACGGGCAAGGCCCTCATGTTCGCATTACGCGTTCCCAAGCGTCCGAAGCAAGACGTGCTAACCATGTTCACAGCTATTTTACGAGTATATTCGTCTCGTTAGGTGTTTTCCTATTTGGATATGACCAAGGAGTTATGTCGGGTATCATCACGTAAGAGCTTGGCAATTATTATAGTTCAGCTAACCTCATCATCTTATCTTCTAACAATGTTATCGTAGGGGCCCCTTCTTTAGAGATTACTTTAAGAATCCCTCGAAAGCAGAGATCGGTACGATGGTTGCTATCCTCGAGATTGGTGCCCTAGTATCATCGTTAATAGTGGGAAGAGTCGGCGATATCATTGGCCGACGAAGAACAATTCTATATGGCTCTATGATATTCTTCGTCGGTGGCGCTTTACAGTCTTTCGCTGCCAACATGCCCATGATGATGTTGGGCAGAATCATTGCAGGTCTGGGTGTTGGTTCCTTATCAACCATTGTGCCTGTCTACCAGTCCGAAATCTCTCCCCCTCACAACAGGGGTAAACTGGCCTGCATCGAGTTTTCAGGTAACATTATTGGTTACACGACATCCGTTTGGGTTGATTACTTCTGCGGCTACATCGAAAGCGATATGTCGTGGCGCATTCCTTTACTAATGCAGTGCGTGATGGGAGCCCTGCTGGGTTTCGGTAGTTTAGTCATTGTTGAATCTCCAAGGTAATATTTTCTCTTTCATTTTGAGTTGCTTGCGTTGACAATCATAGATGGCTACTCGACAATGATCACGATGAGGAGGGTATTGTTGTTATCGCTAATCTGTATGGCGGCGGTGATATTCACAACCCAAAGGCAAGAGAGGAATATCGAGAAATTAAGATGAATGTTCTACTCCAACGCATGGAAGGCGAGCGATCTTACTCGGAGATGTTCCGACGTTACAAGACCCGGGTCTTCATTGCCATGTCCGCGCAAGCTCTAGCCCAACTCAACGGCATCAACGTCATCTCGTACTATGCACCATATGTCTTCGAATCTGGTGGTTGGATTGGTCACGATGCGGTCAAGATGACTGGTATCAATGGTATAACATACTTCCTTTCAACAATCCCACCGTGGTATATAGTGGATCGATGGGGACGTCGGGTTATTCTTCTAACAGGTGCCGTCGCAATGGCAATATCTTTATCCCTGGTGTCATACTTTATCTACCTAGATGTCGAGGCAACGAAAACATTGGTGGTCGTTTTCGTCATGGTATACAACGCCGCATTCGGTTACTCATGGGGACCTATTCCTTGGCTTTACCCACCAGAGATCCTACCACTTAGCATTCGATCAAAGGGGGCAAGTTTATCAACTGCTTCCAACTGGGCTTTCAACTGGTTGGTGGGCGAAATGACCCCTATTCTCCAAGAGTGGATCAAGTGGCGACTATACCTGGTGCATGCATTCTTCTGTGTGGTCAGTTTTGTAGTGGGTAAGTATAGTTTCTTCTGCCTCATTGTCAACGTCGCTAACTAGAAGTAGTGTACTTCATATATCCCGAGACTTGCGGTGTACGATTAGAAGATATGGACTCGCTCTTTGGAGATGCTAGCACAGCAGTCGGAACCCCTGGCGTGAGGTCTGAGACCGGCTCTCTAGTTAGGGCCGGATCTCCCGTCCCCTCGCTCGACCTTCGAGGACGGCCACTTGGTTCGGACGCTAATATCCCCTCAATGGACATTGACCCTCCTGTGCTCAACATCGTAGATGGAAAGCCGCAGCTACGGTCTGAAAGTCAAAGTTCACGAGGGCGGGTAGGCGAATGGCTAACTAGGATGGTTGGGCAAAATCGTGGAGGTAGCAGCAGCCCAGCCGGAGGAGGCAGATACGCGCCATTAGACCAGCGAGATGACTAAATTCATGAGACAGCGAGTATTGAATTTGTGACGGGAGACTACTAGACTCTGATTCATATAGACGGCGCGGTGGAAATCCCAGCGGCTACGACGGCCGTATTCCAGCATTATTGTAAAGTGTTTGCATTGGGTTATCCGGCGCATGCGGGGCCCCCTACGACGAGTGACAGAGACGGAAGAGAAATGGAGATATGAGTTTCGTAATATATTGTGATGGGGGGGACTTTCTTTCGTATAACCGGCCGAGCCACAATGAACTAGGGCCGTCGGCCGAGACATGATATCTACCAGTGCTCAGGATGAAGATTATGAGCTTTAAACACTCGAGGGAGTCAGTTCAGGTTAATATTGAACGCGAAATCACCAACGAGCTATTTGTAGTGACCCTTGATGACACGAAATTCTACGAGCCAACCCTCAATTGCGCGCCTCTACTAAGCTATGGTTATGGTTTCTCCTGAGCATATTGGTCGAGTTTGGATAATAAATATGTAGTACGCAGGCGGAAAGGTTCTATGATATTTTCATTAAACTACCTAAACTAGATCAATAGTATATCTGATTGTGAAGTTAGGAACTACATGGGCTCAATTCGATGTTACCATATGTGTATATTAAATACCTAGGTACCCAGGTAGATATCATAAAGTCAATCACATGTTTGTCGGCTAGAGATGCAGTTGTCTTCTAGAATACCTGTGGACTCGATCTCGAAACAGATCGTAATATCGGAGCTAGCTAAGGACCGACAAAGTGGGATAACTGGGTAGGTAGGTAGGTATGTGTTACTTACATAATTTCAAAGTATCATCGTACGCGCGTGTCAGATTGATGAAACATTACCTAAAGTACATTACATACCTGTAAGCAAGCACCTGCACCTGGGCAAGTAAAGTGTCCTTAAAGAGACACGCAGTAGGTACATAGAACAGGTACATGTATAGTAGGATGATGCTAAATAAAGCTAGCTGTACAGGGGGACAAGGGGGGGAAACATTTTAGCGTATCCCTATCCAGGCTGTCCTTCACCTTTTTTAAATCGGTTCAGCTGAAGCAGGAAAAAAATGTGAGTGGAAGATTGGAAAGTGCCAACTGAAAGCCGGACTGCGGCTAGGGTATCCCGTATTTTTGTATTTTGTGTTATCACTATCGTACAAGCCACGCAACCTCTCCTTTCACCTTTCACCTTTCTCTTAACTTGCTTTTCTTTCGAGGATCAAGTCTTTTCCCATTGTATTCTCTCCCGCGGTCAAGATTTTAATTCCGTCCTTTTTTTGTGTGGGAGAATGTTCTACGTTTGTTGTCTTTGACCGAATTTAATCTGTTCTCTTCAGGACCCTCATTTTCTTAACCCTTTTCTTTTTTTTTCTCTTTTCCGGAAGCCCTCTTTCACACCAAACCCCTAACACTCGTTCCACTATCTACTCCCCCCTCCCATTTCCACCTTTCTCCTTGGAGAACAGGGCCGAGAGATAGTCTACAATCATGGCCGATAACAAGGCCGCAGTCGCGTCTGGCGCTGATCCCGCCGGCGATGCCGCTCGCCGACGTATCGTACCCGGGACCACTGCCCCAGGAGCTCCAGCGCAGCCGGAGATCGACGAGAAGAAGATACATGGAAAGAAGAAGGTATAGACATGATTACATGCAGCAAGTCTTTGTTGGACCACTAGCTGACTTTGATGTGTTTAGGAGTCTTCATTCCTCGATGTACTCGACCAGTGGGAATTCATCATTGCGCCTATAATCTTCACTGCCTTTGCCTTCTTCACACGTCTATGGAAAATTGGTCTTAGCCCAATTGTCACTTGGGATGTGAGTTTAATGGTCATTATGTAGTTTTAGAATGTCTGCTAACAGCCTCAAAGGAAGCTCAGTTCGTCAAACCTCACATTCGCTCTTTCACCGCAACGCTAACTCGTGCCCCTTTATAGCTTCGGCAAATTCGGATCCCACTACATTAAACGTGAACTATTCTTCGATGTGTTAGTACGACCAGAACCCTCGGTTGGAATATTGTTTTTAATACGTGGAATAGGCACCCTCCCCTTGGTAAAATTCTTGTTGGTCTCTCCGGAGTTCTAGCAGGTTACAATGGGTCTTTCGAGTTCAAGTCTGGCGAGACATACCCCGAGGAGCTTGACTATACCTTCATGCGAGCTTTTAATGCCTTCTGGGGAATATTATGTGTGCCATTGGCTTACTACACTGCTAGAGAGCTGCAGCTAAGACGACCTGCCGTCTGGCTAGTTACGCTGATGGTTCTGTGTGAAAACTCGTACACGACTATCAGCCGATTCATCCTGCTCGACTCTATGCTCCTATTCGGCACCGTCTCTACTGTCTTCTGTTGGGCCAAATTTCATCGCCAGCAAAAATACAGCTTCGAGCCTGAATGGTTCTTCTGGCTATTTATGACGGGGTTAAGCTTAGGATTCGTATGCAGTATCAAACTCGTTGGCCTCTTCGTCACGGCTCTCGTTGGCATCTACACAATCGAAGACCTTTGGAACAAGTTCGGTAACACTAAGATGCCAGTCGTGGTACTCGCTAGCCATTTTACTGCCCGAGTCGTCGGTCTAATCGTCATTCCGCTTCTCGTCTACATGTTCTCCTTCGCGCTTCATTTTGCGATCTTGACCAAGAGTGGCCCTGGAGATGCGCAGATGAGCTCCCTCTTCCAAGCCAACCTGGAAGGAAGTGAGATTGGACGGAACTCTCCCCTGGAGGTTGCATTTGGCTCTAAGGTGACACTTAAGAATATGGGGTACGGTGGTGGTCTACTCCACAGTCACGTCCAGAGTGAGTATTTGACGTTTCATCGTGCTGTCTAATTTATGCTAAACTATCATAAGCGTTCCCCGAGGGGTCTACTCAACAACAAGTTACTTGCTACCACCACAAAGATGCCAACAACGAATGGTGGTTCTACCCTAACCGTAGCGACCGCGACTATAACCCGGAGGAAGAGCCCCGATTCATCGGAAACGGCGATGTCATCCGCTTGATTCACGCTCAGACTGGACGAAACCTCCACACCCATGATATCTCTGCCCCTATTACCAAGAGCCAGAAGGAAGTGTCCTGCTACGGTAATCTTACTATTGGTGATGATAAGGACCACTGGCAAGTCGAAATCGTCAAGGACGTGTCTTCCCGCGATAAGAGCCGTGTACGAACTTTGACTACTGCTTTCAGACTTCGGAATCCAGTTATGGGCTGTTATCTCCGAGCTGCTAACGTTAATCTTCCACAATGGGGTTTCAAGCAGATCGAAGTGACTTGCGATAAGAGCAATAACCCTCGTGATACTTTCACCCACTGGAATGTTGAGGCCCATACCAACGAGAAGCGTAAGTCCTACCACGTAGATGTCTGGATATCCAATTATTAACCAAGTCACAGTTCCTCCGGGAGACCCCGGCAAGTATAAGTCGCCATTCTTCCACGACTTCATCCACTTGAACGTTGCTATGATGACATCCAACAATGCCTTGGTGCCCGACCCTGATAAGCAAGACGACCTGGCTTCTCAGTGGTGGCAGTGGCCTATCTTGAACGTCGGTCTGCGTATGTGTGGATGGGACGATAAAATTGTCAAGTACTTCCTTCTCGGTAACCCCTTTGTTTACTGGGCCTCGACGGTTTCTCTAGGTGCCGTCGGTTTAGTTACCGTTTGGTACATCCTCCGATGGCGACGAGGTTTCACCGATCTTACCCAAGATGATATTGATCATATCCACTACGCTGGGCTTTACCCCATCCTGGGATGGTTCCTTCACTACCTTCCCTTCGTTATCATGGCCCGAGTTACCTATGTTCACCATTACTACCCAGCATTGTACTTTGCGATCCTAAGTTTAGGATTTCTAGTCGACTGGCTTTTGAGGAACCAGAAGAAGGTGATTCAGTACAGCGTCTACGGGATCCTATACGCCACCATCATCGGCCTTTACATCTTCTTCATCCCCATCTGCTGGGGCATGACGGGCAGCAACCAAAAGTACAAGTATATGAAATGGTTCGACTCTTGGCGTATCTCTGATTAAGGGCCGGATCAAATATAGGAGACGAAGAGACGAACCGAGGTTAGGGCAGGCTGTTTAGCCTCGGGTGTTATTCATATAGAACATGGCCATCCGGACTACCCGGTTATAAGAGCCATCGATAAATCTCCATCTCCTCTATTTCCTGGGTTGTTTGATGTAACGATATGAAGGGAAACTTGCATGAAAGGGAATTAGAGAGTGGAGTTCACGGTGGTAACGTGGATGAGGCATACTGGGAAACAAAAAAAGAATACTCATCAGCAACATACCGCTTTCTAATACAACGCCTTTTCCTTTTCTTTCAAGAAATATTTGGTCTTCCGTAGTAGATCACGATGTTTGATGAAGGTGTTTAGAAACAGTTCCAGTGAAGTGCCATCTTATGTAGTTGATGTTTTAAAGTAGACATTACGTAGGGTATCATCGAATGCGTATGCGATGCCTCCAGCGTGTGCAAGTATATGTACAGTACAGTCGCAAACCCGGACCCGACCTTTAGATAGACGGTCTAGTCCTCCTGGTCAAACTCTCCTATGTCTGACATGGGAGCTGCCGATACACGTAACCCAAATTGTTAATTCCTTTCCATTTCTTTCTTTCCTTCTTATATTATCTGATCCGAGCAACTAACTAACTAACAACAACCGCCCGTCATACCCCTACCCGCGTCGGCAGATAACCGGACGTTCTTGGCGCCGCCGGGCCCAGGGCCCTTGACGCCGGAGCGGCGATCGTTAAGGTCGTACTTGCCGGCGTTGATGTTCTCGAAGATGCGCTCGGCGACGCGCATAAAGGCGTCCTCGACGTTCTCGCCGGATTTGGCCGAGGTCTCGACGTACTGCAGGACGCCGTTGGTACGGGCCCAGTCGGTGGCTTCTTGGGTCGTCACTTCGCGCTTGCTAGGGGTGGTGTTTTCGTCTTCCGAGGCGGGCTGCGCTTGGTCGAGCTTGTTCCCGACTAGGATCACGACGATGTCGGGGTCGGCGATCGCGCGCAGGTCGTTGAGCCAGTCGGTTACGTGGGCGAATGTCGATCGCCGGGTTATGTCGAAGACGAGGAGGGCGCCGGAGGCGCCGCGGAAGTAGGACCGGGTTACGGATTTATACTAGAGAGGACGGGGGAGAGGGTTAGTGGGTTGCTTGTTTGTCTGTCTGTTTATTTGTTTGCTTGCGCTGGGTATAAGTGGTGGGGGAGTTGTTCGTTATTCGACAACTTGCAAAGCTCTCGAACTTTTCGTTCCAATGCTAGATGGGATGGGATGGGATGGGTTGCGTAGTACGCACCGTTTCTTGTCCCGCCGTGTCCCAAAGGGAAAGTTTCATGTGCTTTTGCGGCGGGGAGGCGCGCGGGGGTTCGGGAAGGCCGCCGTCGGCCGCGGAGGATGTGGACGAGCGTTTGGAATGCGGCGGGCCAACCGGGACGATCCTAGAGCCGAATTCCACGCCGATGGTGACGTCGTGCTGCGGGCTAAAGCGCCCCTCGCAGAGCCGGATCGTGAGCGACGACTTACCGCATCCCGAGTCCCCGATGCAGACGAGCTTGGCGATGTAGTCCCAGGGCGGGGAAGACATTACAACAAAGGTTGCAAATCGGAAAGGAAACGAGACGAGACGAAACGAAACGAGATAGGGGGTTTGTCGTTACGATTAGTCACAAGACCTGAACCGGCGTATTGGAAGTAGAAAGAGAGAGGACGGCGCTTCGTTGTAAGCCGGATGTGTTTTCTTTACTACGCCAAGGGAAAGAAAAACCTAGGCGCTATCAAGAATTAGTTTTAATAGTTTTAGCTAAGGGTAATTAAGGGCACAAGACAAAACAAGACTATAGTATAAACACGTGGAGAGAAATTAGAGACAAGTCGCTTAAGAATAGATTTACCTTACATAGGTACATAAAGGTAAGGGGGTGTAGGTGTAAGTGTAAGTGTAAGCTTTGAGGATAAAGAAAGGTGATTAAGTTATCATGCAAGTGATGAAGGCATAATGTACTAAGTTAGGTTAGTAGGAGGTAGTTTAGGTAGTTTAGGTAGGTTAGGATGTATGTAGTGTAAATGTTCAAGACCAAAAACGGTATACGGCATACGGCATAATTCCATTTCGATGATGTCGCCTAGGATCAGCTTTAAACCCGCCTAAACGTTCCGTCTGCGGGTCAGGCAAGCTTTCTCCCCAGCCTATCCCTAGCCTATCGATAATGTACGCCGATGGGTGCGATAGATGCTAACTCAGGTACGATATGTACCTCCTAACCAGGTAGCTTACAAGGCTCTTTATTAACAGGGGGGGTTCGACATCGGTACTTGGGAGGGCTGGAGCACCTGGGCAGCGCCGATAGCGCCTGATTTAGGGTGGATGACCTCACCTTGTTAGACACCTGGTATTCTATTAAAGGCTCGTGACTAAAACTTGCACCATATGTCTACATTTCATAAGAGGTCATATCGGCCAATGGAAGAGTTAGTGACTTTTCTTTTTCTTTTTTCTTTTTTTCCTACGGACATATTTGGCACAAGATCTATATTAGTAGTTATTATTATCGAAATGATTCGTCGTACAATACCTCTTAGGCAACTATGCTAGTTACGCATCTGATTGTCTATCTTATCTTCGATAAGCTGGTTTAAGTCAAATCCAAGTGGTTGGATGGATAGGTAGGTAACTGCAGTGTCCCTTTAGCAATAAGTTGGTGGGACTTGTTACGCCGCGACGCAGGCAACGCAGACAACGCTTACCCGCTATTCCACTTTGACCGCTTCCGTAATAGATTTATTTCTAGCAGGACTAAGTCCGGATAAGCGGGCAGTTGTATGTACTACCTACCTGGTAATCGCACCTACCTTAGGAGGTACCTAAACATTTCACATTTCAAACTACTAATAGATGCTAAATGAGCATTGGACGCCTGCATGTGAACAATCCGGGAGTCATCCATCAATCCATCCATCTGCATCACTTCTCAACGACGCTGCTGCTGCCGTCGAACCCCCAACAGCTTCTATTAATTCAATTTTACCGTATACTTCTTCAAACCCCCATTCTTCCCACAGTCCAATATTCAAATTCCATGTTTATCTAGTACCTTAGTTTTTTCCTTTATTGATGGGTTAAATCATCCCGGGTTCTTAGTTTATCATAAGCATTCAAGAAAGTCGTATTGTTTGCATCACCGTGCCATCGTCACCGCTGATTAATTTGCTTTTTTTTTTCTCCTCAAATCCCGCCCAACTCTACCCGACGTTCCTCATCTTCATCCTATCTTCATCGTAATCTGCGGGAGTCTACCCCCTCCTGCGCTTTGATCGAACATGTTCTCAGAATGTAAGTTGTGCTTCTGCCTATTGACTTACAGGCTAAGTCTAACGCCTTGGCCCAAGATGCGTCTAGGTTCCTAGCCCAGTCGCAGTCCCGGCTATCCAATTTCGGTCAGCCGGATACCAACAACGAATTCTCGAACCGACAACAACAGACGACACCAGGTCGATTCTCAGGTAGACATCCCGCACGGTCTTCGTACCAGACTCGACTAGGGAATCCTTATCAACCATCGAATTCGCGGTTCGGAGGCTTCTCGAGGTATAATACTACCTCAGATGCCCCGCTCTTTCACAGTGCCTTAAACGAGTACCGAGAAGACGAGGATGAGGATGATGCGAGAGAAGCTGCGGATCTTCGAGCTTTGCAGCGGTCGCGTCGAGTTTTTGTTTCGAGTCGCCTAGAGGAGAGCTCGGCTTCGGAGAACGATGACCTTCGCGCCTCGTCCGAGCACAATGAGAGTGACTCGTACGGGAACCTATACTCGAGCGCTCGTCCCATAGGTGGTATCAAGAGCAGTTGGAACGGGGAGTCAAGCTTCAAGGACAGACATTCAAAGCGCGAGGTGGTCAAAGATCCAGACGAGCCGGGTAGCCCCCAGCATCAGCGGCAGAACTCCGATACGGATGAGAGTGGAAAGATGGTTGATATCGGCCTGGAGTCAACGGTGTTAGATAATGAGGTACCTGATGATCTCTTACAAGAGACTCCTACAGACTCAGCACCACCAGCATTCCAACAGTTCAAGTCTGGGTCGGGTGGTCCGAAGGGTGTAGCCGGACGGAGAGGCTCGAATCTGGAGCATGATCAGCGTCTAATGCGACAGGCTATAGCGGAAGAGGACGAGACGGAGGAAGAAGAGCGGAACGAGATTCCTGCACCTACGCCTACGCGAATGTATGGCGAGATCTTTGTGCATGACCAATTTTTCGCATGGATCTACCTTATAGCCATCGCTTCCCTTTTTGCGACCTTCGTATTAGTCTGGTTGCATACCTCCGTACCGAATAGGAAGATTGGTGACACTATATACACGACACTCCATTCGTCTTTTTATCTCCTGGCTGTAGATACGTTAGTCTCAATCATCGTCGCCCTGGTTTGGATGGCAGCGTTACGGTCTTTTGTTCAGCCCTTAGCTCTGCTCATCCTACTGGGCGTCCCGATCGTCCTCTTCTCATTTTCGTTGTATCCGATGATTTCCAGCTTCCAGGGACCAGATCACGGATCGCGAGTACAGGACGTGGTAATGAGATATGCGGCCATCATTCCGGGGGGCTGCGCGATCGTTTGGGTATGGTTATTATATAAGGGACGTCACGAAATACAAAAGGCGGTTGACATATTGGACTTCTCTAGTCGCATTCTTGCGGCCAACCCGGCGCTGGTACTTCTAGGGCTCGGCTCGCTAAGCTTTGTTGTTGGGTGGACGTGGATATGGCTATGGATGTTCACAAGAATCTTCCTTGGGGGATACTTTTCTAAGTCACTTTCAGCCTTCGTCATCGGCACTGCGACATGGTGGTTAGCGGTCTTTTTCTTCCTCATGTACGTTTGGACTCTCTCCGTTATGAGCGGAGTTGTTCGCGCTACTACCGGAGGTACCGTTTCGAACTGGTATTTTTTCCGCAACAATCAGTCGTCTGCCTCGTCGAATGCGATTGTCAAAGGAGCGCTAGGACACTCAACGACTACGGTATTTGGTACTATTTGTGCCTCGACCCTACTATCCTTGGCAGTCCGAATTCCCATTCTAATCTTACCTCGTCGGATCTCGAGCATCTTCGAGTTTATAGGATGGCGACTGGCCCCCCGCCCGGTGTCAGTCCTAACCAACCCTCTAGCATTAACATATGCGTCGATTCACTCTTTACCCCTAATGGAATCGGCGTCACAGCTTAGTAGGATACAGTTCCTTGCAACGGGACCCACTACAACTCTTACACCGAGCGCGTTCTCCCGACGTGGGCAGTCGTCAGCATCGTTAATGCCCTACAGGATGGCAAAGATGCTTCTCCATGCCGCACGATTCGTCATGTCAACAGCTCTGGGTTTTGCGGCATGGGTTATGACGGCACGGCAGTTACAGGTTCAAATACCAGAGGGTCACGGTATCAGAGGGAGCGCCTATGCGTATGTAGTTGGTATGGTGGCTAGCATGATCGGTTGGGGCGTGTTGGGGGCAATGGAAGGTATTCTTTCAGGCATTCTCGACGGTGTTCTTATCTGCTACGCTAGCGAAAGGCGGCTGGGTAGCGAGCGGGCGACTTACTGCATCGAGGCGGCACGATTATTCGAGGAGAGGAGATATGACGAAAGGGATATGGTTTAATGGTATTTTCTAACTACACACATTGCACTTTGAGCTTCGGCGTTAGCGTTAGGCCGCCAACGATGGCGGATAGGAGTCACGAGATTGGACATGCTAGAATTAAAGACTACGGGGAGTATTTCGCTACATAGCTATTATGTTGGCGGTGCGCTTCATGTCGCTACTTATAACATCGTTGGGTCTGTTTGTCGAGGAGCGGTGGGTTTCGCATTCGTCTTGACTAGCCAAAACTGGTTCACAAAAAGCCAGAGCACTGGGGACTCGTCCAACGATAAATGAGAATGGTAGAATATTAAAACCGAGCGCTGCCTCTTTATAAGACTCTTGTTAGGCCGTCGAAAATGTGAGCGTCTTATTGCACTTCTACCTGCTCATCCTTCTTTTCTCCTAAACCACAACTCTTAAATAATAACTACCTAAAATAAGTAATATCATGCTTACTTGCTAGCTAATGCGACGACATCATGGCTATCAAAAGCGAGGTGGACGAGCAACCTCGCGAGGGGACTCCCAAGCATGTCGTCAGGCCTATCTTGCTGAGACCCCAACCTGAGTCTATTTCATGGAAGGGTATGATGTCCCAGACAGGTAAGTGTACATACCTACATATTTAGTCCTCTGCGATCTATTCGTCGTCTTGTTGTTTTGGATGGAGAACTGATTGATTAATAGATGATTCGAGGGGATCGGCTGAGGAACAGCGCAATACTACCGAAGACGTTAAAAACGAAGACGGCGAGTGGGAAGTTATTTCTCCACGTGAGGTCAATAACTGTAAGGATATTAATGTCCTTATTTCTATCTTGCTTTCGCTAGTAGTTATTCCTATACTTACTAGTTACCTATTATCGCTTCTGTCTGTCTATCCCTTGCCCGAGAAAATCAAGCTTCCCATCTCGTCCTCTCTCTACTTTCCGTCTTTGTCCATCTCCCAACTCACAAGAGAGCAACCCTTCCATACCGGCGTATATCAGATAGTCAACAGTCAAAAGTCAAGCGTCAAGAGTTCTAACCAGTCAACCACGTCAAGGCTCCTCCGACTACTACGGCAACTACGTCAAGGAGCGCCCCGTCGAACAGGGCGAATGGCTCGCCGTAAGCAAAGTCACCGTCCCGCAGTCCACAGCGGAGTGGTTCAAACACTCATCGTCGTCGTCGTCGGCTACTACCAAAGGCAAGCGTACCGTTATTGCTACCAGCACCGGCTGCGTCAAGGGCTGGGTAAACGGCATGCAGAAACGTCTACATCCTAAGAAAAATAAGAATAAGAAGAAGAATAAGAAGCATAGTGCTTCGTCCGAGCAGAGCATCGGCGACGAGGCGTACGTCAAAATCGCTACCGACGGCGAGTCCTCCGATACTGATACCGGCCCCGGCCCCGACGCCCGGTTGCTCCAGAGACGTCCCGATACGCCGCGGCCGCGCGAGTTGCGGCCGGTGCCCCGGGCCGATGGTCGCTGGGTTGGGGGGTTCCGGGACGCGGCGAGACCGCGGGAGTCGAGCTGTAGGGGTTTTTCTCTGCCGATGACGGAGTAGTTGATTTAGTGGATGGGTGGATGGGTGGGTGGTGTATGGGGTGTAGGTTTGTGGGATTTTGGTCTACTTGCTACTTACCTATATGCCTAGACTATCTAACCTATACATTATGCCTGAGATTGGAAGGTCTATCTATCTATTAATATATTTAGGGGCGGTAGCGGGTAGGCAACGGAATAGGTAATGGGGATATACTCTAGATATGGTTCTTCTGGGAACTGGGTTGCTGGGTTACTGGGAGTTGGAGTTATTCAATGTATTATTGGATACTTGGCCATAGTCTGGAGTAGATGGGTGGTTTTTTCTTTTTCTTTTTTAAAATAACTAGTTAATAATAATAGTTGCCCCCCCTTAACAGAAATGGCTAGAAATGGCCGAGTTTCATGTGAGTATCGAATGAATCCACTTCGCTCTACTACACGAGCGTAAGAGGTAACCAAGTAAGTCATAAACTACCGAGGTATTTAGACTAAGCCTCGTGTTGTTACTATCGTGGCTCGGAACTCGCAATTCGTAAGCTGGCTGGCTAACCTTACTCAAATACCTATGCGAAGTGACTTACTACAAGCTATGTAGTTAGTTGAAGCAGGGACCCGTGACATTGTCATTGTTGGTGCTGGTGTCGTCAGCTTGGTCCTCTGCAAGATATCGTCTAAGAGAAAGAGCTCAGCCACAATTTGTTTGTATGGTGATTGGTTGTATTGAAGTGAGGTCTCCAGTAAGAGAAAAGGGATCCGGGGGGGGGGGCAAATAAGAAGTCACTACCTATCGGTTACACAATCGACTTGGGGAAGCTAATATGTAGGTACTTATAAGTACAAAGAATAGAAACGATTATCGGCTTTACAGTTGCCGAAACTGCGAAGTTGGAGCTAATTAGAGCTAATTGGGGGCAGTGCTTAAGAGTTATACACTCCCTCAAGTACAATTGTGTCTAACGGGTATGTCATATCAATGTACCTTTTAATTTATATGTACCTACATACATAGGTAGGTATGTATATCGCCTCGACTCGTCGAATCATCTATCCGTAGTAGAATCTAGAAACGCATTTCGACAGGAAACCGCAGTAGCCACCCTGCATAGTTTGTTACTATTTATTCTCATTAGCTGACGAAAGACTTCCTGCAGTAACACCATCTAACTTATTTCTCTCACGAAGCAACCCTAAATTAAATACTTGCATCTATCTCTACGAAAACATCCATACATTTACTTATTCTTCTTCTCCTTCGCAACATTAAAACCCCCTCCTTACCCTATCATAAGGACCCCGCTTCCTTGTGCAAGTAGATCGATCAACCGATCAACCAAACACTTCACACCTCCATATTAATAATATAGACAAATCAACTTCAATTTCTACACGCATGGCTGATTTCGCTGCTCCTTCCGGCCCGCCGCCTCCCAAGGTCCCCGATGGTTGGGTCGCCCGCTGGAACGACCAATACCACGAATGGTGAGTCCCTATCTAAGTCCCCATCCTCTAGCGTCTCGTCAAACCGCCATCTTCTGACCCTCTCTGCTTCCTCTAGGTTCTACGTTAATACCTACACCAAGAAATCCCAATGGGACAGACCTACCGAGCCAGCCGTAGACCCTAACCGCCACAATGACGGCGCGCCCCCCGGTCCTCCTCCGGGCTACACGCCGGGCTCCGGTCCCTCGCCCACCGACTCTAAGAACAACCCCTTCGTGAACGAGACGACGAAGCCTGGGTATGGATCTAGCTCGCATGTGGACGAGGACGCAGACGCTCGGTTGGCCCGTCAGCTACAGGAGGAAGAGAACGCGCGCTCTAGAGGTGCCGCCCAGTCCTATGCCAACACGCCCACACCGCCCCAGGGCTACTCGCCATATCCCGATCAGCTACCTCCGCGCTCATCCGGTGGCAGCAATCCCGCCGACAAAGCAAAGGGTCTGTTCGGCAAGTTCTTCGGCAGCGGCAAGAACAAGCCACACGCCGGGTACCCGGGCCAGCAGCAATACGGCGGGCAGTCACAATACAGCCCGCAGCCCCAACAACCCTACGGCGGATACGGTTCTCCGCCTCCCCAGCAAGGGTACTACAACGGTCCTCCACAGCAGCAGCAGCAGTACGGCGGCTACGGCCCGCCTCCAGGCCAGTATGGCGGATACCCTCCCCAAGGCGGCTATCCTCCGCAGGGCGGGTACTACGGGCAGCAGCAACCGCCTAAGAAGAGCGGAGGTGGTATGGGTATGGCGGGAGGCGCGGCGCTGGGTCTAGGTGCGGGAGTGTTGGGCGGCGTGCTGATTGCGGATGCGATCAATGATGAGCAGCAGGAGGCGTATCAGGAGGGGTACCAGGACGGCAACGATGGCGGCGATTACGGCGGTGGCGACTTTGGTGGAGATTTCTAGACGCTGCGCTGTGCTGCGTTGCGCGGTATGTTTTAAAGCAAATTAAGCATACATCGAATGTCTTTTTTCGCGTTTGTTTTAATTATCAGCTCGGGTGAGGGACGAGAATAGGAGGGTTATGCGGCTCGGATAAGACAGACAGAGGCAGACAGACAAGACTCATATTAGGCATGAGGAGGCGTTGATTATGAATGACAGCAAGAATAAGAGTAAGGACAATATCGAGAAAGGGGGGGGATAGAGAGAGAACTTGGAGTCGAGATCGACTCGATCTGATCCTGGGGTCTGGTACATATCATAGGTTTTGCAGCAATAGCGCAGAAAGAACGCTCGTTCTAGGTGCTTAGGTGTAGCAATGCGATGGCAATTTAATCCCTACAAGTAAACGAATTCGAAAGTTAAGGCGTCTCGTCTTTGTAATAGGCATTATCACTATCCTCTACTATTTTCTAACTGTCTTAAATATTTCTGCATGTTTATATTATTATACCCTTGCTCTTCGCACCTACGTCTTGCGCACTTATCTACCTCTTCCCACCTTTAGACGATGACGACGACGCCGGCTCCGGGTCGTCCTTCTTGGTGCCCTGGCCGGCGAGGTACGCGGCCATGTCGAAGTTGCCCATGGGGTTGGCGCCGGGCTGGCCGCCGCCGCCGCCCATTAGACTGCTCATCGGGTTGCTCTTCTGCTGCTCTTCCCATTCGGCGCGCATTTCGGGGTCCACTGTGTAGTTGTTAGTTAGTTGGGCGGTTGGGGGGGGGTTTGTGATTGAGAGAAAGGGAAGGGGAAGGGAAGAGGGGGGAAAGGGGTTGGGAAGGAGGAAGATTGGACTTACTGTTCTCGATTAGCTTCGGCATGCCGATGAATAGAACCATGCTGACGAGGCCCATGAGGATCATGGGGTTCTTGAGGATGCTGAGGATGGAGACTGTTTGATGGGTGTTTGTTAGCTTTGGTTTAATGGCATGTAAGTATGAATGATAATTTCTTTTTTCGCTTCGTTTCATTTCTTCTTCTTCTTCTTCTTCACTTGTCGGGGGGGGGAGGGGGTTGCTCTTGTGGTTTAGGATGTTCTCCAACAACGGCAATAAGAATAGAAGGGTAGGAGGGGAGGGAGATGAGAAAACAGCAAAACGGAACGGAATACTCACAAGATCCCCTCTCGACAAAATACTCCTTCGGCCCCAGCACCCTCACCGCGAACCCGCTACCGCTGCGCGGCGCCTCCTGGCCCTTGTTATCCCAATCGTTGCCGCGGTACGTCTCCCAGGCGCGCACCGCCAGCCGACCACCTTCTTCTTCTCCCGCGTCCCCTTCGTCCGCGGGCGTATGGGCCAGCACGTCGATCCTCAGGGGCGCGAAGGCGTGCGTCCCGCTGTGCACGTCGGCCAGGTACGACCCGGGCGTCACGTTCCGGAAGACGAAGGAGCCGGCGGCGGTGAGGGGCGCGTGGTAGCCGGCGCGCAGGGCGGATAGGGTTGCGTGCGTGGTGGATGGGAGGACGTGCGGGTTTGGGAGGGGCTGCGAGGACGGGATCCAGAGGGTTATGGTTGTTTGAGGTTGAGATTGAGATTGAGGTTTAGAGGAGGAGGCGGCGGAGGAGCCGGCGAAGGTGGAGAGGACGCCGAGGAGGGCGGTTGAGAGGGATATTTGCATTTTTGGCTAATTAACGGCTTTTATGGTGGTGTGTATTTGTGTACAGCTTAATGCAAGAGTTGGCGGTTGGGAGTTGATTTGGAAGTTGGTTTAGGTAGTTGGTCTTGAAGCTGTGGAATTTCGAAGGCTATGATGATGATAGTTCTTGCGTTGTGAAGTACAAGGTACGTACCTCGATATATGTAATATGTGGGGACATGTCGTTGGGGAAGGATCTTGGCGTTAGCTATAGGAAAGTATAGCACTAGCTTATACATATGTTAGGGAAGTCTCCAGTTGTTAAATCTAACATGGGAAACTACTCGTTTCTCTTTTAAATATTTTAATAAATAAACCAAGTTTGAATGTTGTTTTTCAAATGTTTTATTAATCCTTTACTCTTGCAGTTATAATGTATATGAATATGTGACTTGTCAACGTCAGACCACAGCAATATCATCTCTCCAATGAAACATTCAACTTAACTTCTCTTCTTACTAAAAAGAGAGACTTATTTATAATTTAGATGGGGGTATATATTCTACTCAAAAGGCCTTTTCACATGTTTAACCTAGACCACTGTTGGTGCTTCCTTCTGCTTAGTCTCACCTCCAGATCCTGCCTCTTCTCCCTTCGTTGTCGCAGCTGAAGCCTTCTTGAAAGACTGTTCAAAGTCGGCAATAATATCGTCGATATGCTCCGTACCAACTGAAATACGGATCAGATCCTCAGTCGTTCCGGAAGCGATCTTTTCTTCATCTGATAGCTGTTCGTGTGTCGTAGTCCAGGGGTGGATAGCTAGAGTCTTAGAATCTCCAACGTTGGCGAGGTTGGAAATCAGCTTGAAGCCGTCAACGATTTGGCTACCAGCAGCGCCACCGCCCTTGACGCCAAAGCTGAGGACACCACCGAAACCCCTCTTCAAATACTTCTTAGCCAACTCGTGGCTAGGATGGTTCTCCAATCCGGGGTACGATACCCAGCTCACGTAGGGGCTGGACTCTAAGTACTTTGCGAGTGCAAGCGCGTTCTGCGCATGCCTCTCAGCCCTCAAGCTCAGCGTCTCGATACCGAGGATGAGTTGTTGAGCAGCAAAGGGGTTTAAAGAAGAGCCTAGATCACGTAGGATCTCAACTCTCACGCGGATAGCAAAAGCAATAGGTCCGAATGTCTCCCAGAACTTGAGGCCGTGGTATCCCTCTGACGGCTCAACAAACTGGGGGAACCGGGCCGCGTTCTTGCCCCAGTCGAACTTCCCACTATCAACAACGACGCCAGCAATAGTTGTTCCGTGACCACCAATCCACTTGGTCGCCGAGTGGACAACGATGTCTGCGCCGTGCTCGATGGGCCTGACGAAGTAGCCTCCAGCTCCGAAAGTGTTGTCCACCTATTCACGTTCGCATTTAGTATATCTTAACATTGTAAGAGATTCAAGCTACTTACCACTACGGGGACACCTTTCTCGTGCGCAACCTTGGCAATGGCCTCAAAGTCTGGGACGTTATACCGGGGGTTACCAATACTCTCGATATATACGGCCTTGGTCTTATCATCGATAGCTGCGGCAAATTCCTCAGGCTTGTCGCTCTCGATGAACTTGGTCTTGATTCCGAGCCGCGCAATAAAAACCTTCAATTGGTTGTATGTACCACCGTAGAGGCTGGGAGTCGCAACAATATTGTCGCCGGCGTGAGCGAGGGCGGCGATAGCCATGAATTGGGCAGCCTGGCCAGACGAAGCTGCGACCGCGGCCACTCCGCCTTCCAGAGCAGCGATACGCTTCTCGAATACATCGACAGTAGGCTAAAGAGGCTAGATTAGTATATGTTCAAATTACTGAGCAAAATTAGATAGCTACTACTGACGTTCATGAGCCGGCTGTATATGTTGCCAAATTCCTTGAGGCCAAATAGCCTCGCGCCGTGTGCCGAATCATTGAAGACGAAGCTCTGTTATCTAAGTTAGCTTCTAATACGACTTAATGTTTTGCGCCTCGGGTTAACAGACAGTTGTGGCATATATAGGAACTGCACGAGAATTCGTCGCCGGGTCCGGCTGTTGGCTACAACAGTGTTAGCCGTTAACGACTCCTCTAAATTCATATAGTATCGAGTAAGGTTCATACCCCGCGTGGAGTTGGAGAGTTTCAAAGTTCTTGCTTAATTCCTCCGCCATTGCGACTGGTTTTGACTAAGGTATGTTAAATATTCAACGGATATGGAGGGTCGTCTCTCGTATAAGTGGGATGATATATGGGCTTGGAGTGGTATCGAACCAGATATTGCAGCCCAGTGACTCCGAGAGGAGGGAATAGAGAAGTATTTGAATTCGAAAGCTACAAGGCTTACTACAGGAAGGGTATAGCTTGGCTAACTTATATGTAGATATATACTTGCTCATCATAAACGGCTTCCAGACACAGGTACCTACTCTACCCGAATCGTCACTCTTAAGACCCCGTTTAGGGAATTGTGGAGTTGGGGTAAAAAGCACGCCATCGACTATCGTCTATAAGCTTGCTCTTGTAAGGCATTTTATCCCGGTTAGGATGGAGGGGTGATTAAGAGAAGAGTTGCACGTATCTAATTCTATTAGCGAGCTTATATTTTGGCCGTGTAAGTCCTTGTAGTTCGGCGACCTCCCTGTACGACACTTGCTTTTATGCTAAGGGCTTTATGATTGGTTATACTTAATTGGATGACCGGTGAGTCAGTCTTGTCTCCTTCCATCTTGTAATAGTTTTACTTAATAAACATTCTCTAACTATCTAAGAAATTAACTTACTGTTTATTCCTGCTTGCCCGTCAAGGTATTGACTTACAAGCAATTGGGGCAAAAAAAGGGGGGATTGCCGCGGGGCATCCCACGCAAGCCGCTATGAGAAACAGGTACCTACTACATAAAGCTGATGAGCTATGGCGGGGTACGTAAAACATCATCCCATAGCTATATTGCGACAGATTTAGTATTCCTACACCAGTAAGTAGGAAGGATATCGGGGTAGGATTTCTGCATATGTAACCACTGACTACGGTTAGATTTATTAGTCCATCTAGATTTCATTAGGATAAGGCTTGCCGACATCGCTGTTTCAAATCCTAGCCCCTGACGAACAAGATTCAAGATTCCATATTCAATGTTCAGGGAACCAATCAATTCAAAGTAACAGTGGTGGTATATTGAAGTTAATCGTTCCGCCTTCGTAACACGGGTTCTACCATATGAGTTCCCTTTAGTTATAATAACTATTATTTTTTCGAATAGTTCCTAAAACGCCCATCGAACCGTCCCGTGGACCGTGGATATACTAATCGGCTAATCATCTAGACCAAGCCTGAATTTCTGAGTTCCCCAATCCTCTCATTCATAAACCCCCCGTTCCCAACCCCGAGATTAGCAGTTCTTATGACTGCAGGGTATAAGTACCCGAGCCTTTGCCCATGTGCAAATAAACGTGATTCCAGCGCTCGATATCTTTCTGGTCCGCTTGGAAGTCGAGCGACGGCCGGTACGGCGAAAGAGGAATGTCCGTATAGCCGCGACTACCGACGGATAGCCCACCGGAGCTTACGCGGCCGGGGCCTCCTTCATCTCGGATGGCTTTAAAGGGCTCTGGGACTTGGGTCCTCGCTTGGGGAGAAACCCCCCCTGGACTACCTCCTTTCCCGCAAAGATGGCGAAGGCGGCCCAGAGCAGGAACTCCATAGCACCGAAGGCAATGCTAGCCTGGGCTGAGCCACACACGCTGCCGCGGCAGAAGAGAAGCTTGCTCATGAAGACAGAGAGGGCGATGAAGCCAGCGAAGTGGAAGAGGGCGTTGCTAGTCGCAAGGCCAAACGCTGCCAACGGGTGCGAAACTGAGGCGAAGTTAGCTTTTGAAGCACTCGTAGTAGTCGCCTTATTTTGATGTTTGAATACTTACTTTTGGGAACAAATCTCGGCGCCAACTCGAGGTAGAGGACAGACACAATTGTGTATAGCGAAGCAAATAACAATATGTTGATCTGAGAGGGAGAAGAGGTCAATGTATCCACATTGTACCAGTGAGCAACTATCGGATTCATGTTAGTTCTACGGGTCAATTTCCAATCCCACTATCCCCCCTCCATAATGTTAGACATACCGTAAGCTGTGAGGCCCAGTAGAATAATACCAAAAATAAGCTGGGCAGCTCGAATTGCTAGGATAACTATGTTTGAAGACATATTGGCGGTAGAAAGTTTGGGTATACGGTTGGGAAAACGAGCGTCACGATGCGAAGTAGTCGTCATAAAATCGGTATTGTAATAATAATAATAAATTTGCGCCGGGAGGACAAGGTGAGTTTATTTGTACGAATAGCAAGAGCAAGCAAACAAGCGAGCAAGCAAGGAGCGACAGCGGCGGCAAAAAAGAAGAGAAAAATATATGCTAGGTTATAGGTAGAGAACGGAAGAGAGCACCAGGCACGGGAACAATACACAGCTTGTTGTGGTAAAACAGGAAGAAGATCGAAGAGAGGAGAGAGAGAGAAAGAGCAGCAGCAGCCAACAAAAACCTAGCGATCATGCGACCTAAGGGGCATCACTGGCTAATTATCAAAGATTTTCCCGAGCGAGTCTACACTTAATCAGGGTGAATATGCTACAAGACCCCCCCGGCCCAACGATGATCGCGCGCGCTCACGCCGTTACACTAGAACGGCGGACTGAGCTATGATCGCTGGGGGGGGGGAGGCGACTGGCGAGACCACATGAAACGCCAGCGATCAGGGATACGGCCTATGCGCTAGAGATTGGACGTCCCGAATGGGGATATGACTACGCTCGGAACGACGATTCCAGCCCAATCAACTGCCGAGTCGGTACGACCAGGGGGGAGGGTTCGTAAATGCTGGTGAAGCTTAATACACGACAAGAGTTTTTTTTTTCTCATGTTTCTAATGTCGCTGTCGAACGAGGGCCGGATGCACGGACCTTTTGGGGGTTGGGGGGTTTTATGGATGAGATGGGATGGGGTATTCGATTTTTTACATAGATCTATCTATTATTGCGATGGTGGGAGTGCATATCTAAACGTAGGTATGTAAGCATGTAGGTATGTAAATATTTTTTTAAACTATTTACAGCCATCGCGGACTATAAGTAACTATTAATTCAAGATGTCTTGCATTCTACATAAATAACTAAATAGGAGATTTGAACTTTGAACCTTGAACCTTGTCCGTGCTGGCGGTAAGGCGTAAAATAGTAGGATAGTAGGGGCTTACAAGACGCCTGCTGGGCGCTTACATGCAAGGTACTCAGTAGTCAGTAGTCACAACAACAGTTTTATTTCAAGGTCGATTATTTATTTCTTACTAGGTATATGAACTTGGATCAAAAGTTAAGAAGAAGAAGAAGAAAAAAAAAAAGAAAAAAAAATTGATAACTACCTAGTAGGTAAGGTATCCGCTATGCAAGCGCACAGAGAACGTTGAAACATCGATCGTGGGGAAGAAAGCCAAAAATAAACAAGAAGAGCCTTGGAAAAAAACAAACTTGGGTTGGTTTGGTTGTGTCAGATAATTGATCTGAATCTTAAGCACATTCTTGGCTGGCCCAAGATATGTCGTGCAAGAGTTCGAGACTGGTCTCGAGTGGCCGGCACGTACGCAGCCAAGAAAGACGTCTGGGATGTTTTTATGTATGTTTGTACATACGTTGTGGGGAGTGTATGACTTGTGAATGGAATGTGTGATCGTCTCTTCAGAGCATTCCGATCCTACTATTTTGGTGGTGTATCGATCGTAGTTGTTAGGTTAGATGACTTTAATTAGTATAAAATGGATCTACACGAGAGGTAATTAAAGATATTCATACTGCATTTCTCATCGGGGAGAATAACTAGGTATTTATATTATATCTCCGTCAAGTCTCAATTATTACCATCTGCCTGTAACACATAAATACTCGTCTATCTTGCTCCAGACTGTATCAGCCTGGCTACTTCTGGAGATCTTCCCCGGAGTTGGTGGGGCCATTCCGGAGACCATGTTCCTTCCGAATAGAGATCTAAGATTCATCCCGAGAAAGTGGATTCCGGTGTACGGATCCGTAGGAGACAGCATTCACGAATATTTCAAGGTTTTAAATCATGTGGCTGGCTGTCTTCTCGTGCTTTATGCTAAGGGCATTCTTCTGACATTGGCATGATGGATGTCTTGGTGTAATAAGTTAGTGAAGATTCGAGATATTCTTCTTAGATGTGCTTTAGCCATAGTTAAGGCATAAGAGGAGGGTTGGTAATGATTGATTTTATAGAGTTGCAAAAACAATCGGCAGATATCTTCACTTTATTTCTAAAATTAAAAGATACAATGATAAGGTATTCAAAGCTTGATTTCAGAACGTAATTAAATAGCATTAAGGTCTTCTGCTTGTGATAGATAAAACTTAAGTAGCAACGGCATTAATATACAAATATATTTTTTAATTGCTTGGCCTGGATACTCTGGTTTTGATATCCTTATAACGTGATGGGAAAATTCCAAATAACTCCTGGGAAATACCTACTCTTAGACATGTCTTCCAGTGTGACTCTGAAGCGCTCGGCTGTGTCTTCCAACGATTTTGCTCAATACATATGTCTCTGTCGGGAAGTTATTTCGGCGCAGCTATTCGGCCCCGAATGCCGCAGACCGGCCGCGGGTTAATAAGCCTCACCAAGTCAGATGCCAAGTTGAAGGGATTGAAATTTGGATGTTCAAAAGTGGCTGAGACATGATGCATATGATGATTACCTATTCGTTACATTTGATATGCTACCTAAGAGATTTGAGTTGATATTTACGTTACTTTTAAGCTGAAGATATTGGGCTTTAGTATGTAGGAACGCTGGGCTACCAATTTGCTTAAATTGCATGCAGAAAGGGTCTGCATGACTTGAGTAATGACGTCTGATACCTTTCGAAGAAGGAATAGGCATATGTTAGATTTGTCCAATAAGATCTGACTTATTCGGCAAATCCCCCATATTACTACCCCGAGGTCGAGGGTTGGCCAATTAAATCACGCGCCGTCTGCGAACGCGAGTCCCCAGACCTCGGCTCAGTTGCGGGAAGGTTAACTGGATTTCATGCATTGGCAAGTCTAGCCCAGCACATGTCGAAAAACAACTACTTTTGAAAAAGACCCTTAAAAAGCTGACAGGAACGCCTTAACTTATGTCAGTATGATTTTAGTATAGCAATTGCACCTTCTACAATATTACTACAATATACCGTCCTCTCTAGCTCGGAAAGCTTTAACGATTATTTCTTTTTATTTGTCGGCCTACGTTAGAAACCTAAATCCGCAGTAGGTCGAAGGTAGTAACAGGAGCTAGCGGGTTTCTTAGCTTATCAAGGCAGTAGTCTACGCGCTAACCCATCTTTTCTACCCACCTCGGTATCTATTCCTACTCTAAGTGGGTCAACGGCTGAGTTAGCAACTTCGGAATAAGGATTGCGACTAGACAGCCAGATCAAAGTTTCCCCTTAAGTCCCTTCACATCTCTTCCTTCGTCATTAGGAGCTTATTTTCAATTTGCGATACTTCTGTTCTGATTCATACCTACCACTTCTATCGTCAATTCGTCGTACTACGCAACAAAGATGGCTGGAATAGGACCCGATCCGAAGATTGAAGCTTATATTAAGCAATTGTCGACGCCGCCTCCACCAGGTTCACCTTATTCTCTACCCGTCCCTGGTACCGAGCAAGAGGGTCGATCTCCCATCTACAGGCATTGGCGATTTCAAGATAAACCCTTACTTAGCACCTTCACACCTGAAATACGTACATTTTACGAATTGTTCCAGGATTCCGTCAAGCGATATCCCAATAACAAATGTCTCGGTACACGACCCTGGATCCCGGAAACTCAGTCGTGGGAGAACGGCTATGTTTGGCAGTCCTACGCTGAGGTCGCGGCGCGAAGCAAGAATTTCGGTTCTGGTATATATGAGCTTCATCGCCGAATTGGAATCCCGCCTGGCAACCATGGCGTTGGTATCTGGAGTCAGAACAGAGCTGAATGGCAAATAGCAGGTAAGATATTTTTGCCCTTGAAATAGCTAGGAGGATCAAGGCTATTTTCCCGACAGTATTTGCTAATATTGTTTGACGAAAGATCTCGGATTGAGTTCCCAGTCGCTCTTCTCCGTCTCGCTATACGAAACTCTCGGTCCTGATGCGTCCGAGTACATCATCAGGCATTCCGAACTTGCCTGTGTAATATCCTCGCTACCTCATATAGCAACCCTCCTCGCCCTTGCGCCCCGAATACCCTCCCTTAAGTTGATCATCTCCATGGACCCCCTGGACGCTGGGGAGCAGAATGGCTACTCTAAAAAGGCGCTGCTGAACGACATCGCTGCACAGCACGGAGTCCAGATATGGTCGCTCGAGGACGTCGAGAAGCTCGGGGTGAAGATAGCTCACCCCCCTCGCCCCCCTCGCCCAGAAGATATCCTCACTATCAACTATACGTCGGGCACTACTGGTGATCCGAAGGGCGTGATGCTTACCCATGCCAACTGCGTCGCAGCGTGCGCGAGTGCTCGTTCCAGCGGATCCTACACTCACAAAGATATAAGCATTTCATACTTACCTCTGGCTCATATATATGGACGCATGATAGATCAGTGCTCCTTAGCTTCCGGTTCTGCCGTCGGATATTTCCATGGAAATATGCTAGAGCTGGTTGACGACTTGAAGATTCTAAGACCTACCGGCTTTATATCGGTCCCTCGGTTGTTCAATCGATTCAGCCTAGGAATCAAAGCGCAGACCGTCGAAGCTGATGGTGTGAAGGGCGCTCTTTCGCGGAGAGTCATTGAGACAAAGAAGGCTAATATGAAACTCCCGCCTGGCAAGGCATCCAACAAGCACCTTCTTTATGACCGTATGTGGACTCCCAAGGTACGAGCCGCAATTGGCCTAGATCGATGCCGTTCCATGGTGAGTGGAAGCGCGCAACTCGACCCCGATGTTCACGAGTTCCTCCGAGCGGCCTTAGGAAACTTTTTCTGCCAGGGCTACGGTCTTACCGAATCGTATGCTGCAGGATCGTTTCAGCTTGAAGGTGATTATTCTCTGGGTAACGTAGGTGGCCCGATGCCTGGCATAGAAATATGCTTGGAGTCGCAACCTGAACTTGAATACCTCGTGACGGACAAGCCTAGGCCACGAGGAGAATTGCTATTACGAGGTCCTTTTATTTTCCAAGGCTACTTGAAGAATGAGGAGGAGACCAAGAAGGCTTTAGAGCCTGATGGATGGTTCCATACGGGCGATATCGTCGAGATTGACGAGCTCGGCCGAATCAAGATTGTTGATCGTAAGAAGAACGTTCTCAAGTTGTCTCAGGGAGAATATATCTCTCCCGAGCGTATCGAGAATGTGTTTATGGGTAGCTCGAACCTGATTGCTACTGCCTTTGTTCACGGCGAACCCAGCCAGTCGACCCTAGTTGGCATCTTTGGTGTGGATCCGGTTACATTCGGTCCGTTTGCTAGCAAGATCTTAAAGAAAACGGTAGCTTCCGATGATATTGAAGCTATTAAGGTGGCAGGCCAAGATCCTCGTGTGGTAAAGGCCTTTATCAAGCATCTCGACGGTATTGCCAAGAGTCACAAGTTCAACGGATATGAGCGTGTGCGAAACTGTCTCCTCGACGTTGAACCGTTTACGGTGGATAATCAGCTCTTAACACCAACGTAAGTTCTTGAAACACATTTATTAACTTGTATATCTATGCTAATATTATACCTTTTAGTTTAAAACTTAAGAGACCTCAAACGGTGAAGAAGTTTAAGGACGAGATTGTCCGTATGTACGAAGAAATCAATGCGGAAACAGCTTCCGTTAAACCAAAGTTGTAATTTTGCAATTACGACTCGAACTTGTTTAAATACAAGTACTTTTGCAAACGATGTATTTAATTTGTATATATAAATAAAAATTATATAAAAATATTTTAAATTTAATTAATTAATTTACGTTAAAAGTTTATTATTAAAATATTAAAAATTAAAAATAATAATTTAATGTTTATTTTTAAAATTTAAAATATTTATTATTTATTATTAATTTATTATTAAAACTTAATTTTAAATGTTAATAACTTTATATTTTTAATTTTTAATTTGCGGATTTAATTATTATGTAATGCAACTAATTACCGATTTCAGTTTACATCTTCGAATTGTTACTAGTGGAGATCAACGCCTATTCATGATGGCTAACAACCTATCGAGGACTTCTTCTGGTAGGGGGGCTTCTATAGATTTAACTACTATTAATGATGAAGATGATGATCATGTTGCCACAAATTTAAGCCGACCTTATAGCTCTCCGCAAGAACGCCGCAAACGTCGTTGCTCTTCACCTAACTCTCGTTCAACAAAAGTTAACGCGTCAAACGCGCCGACTTCTACTCATATCAAACCTCGCTTCTTATCGACGTCGCCTTTAAACCCTCACACTCACACAGCTGACAACCACTCGTCTAAACGTCAAAAGCTATCGAATAGCACCGGTCATAAAACAGCTTCCCCAATACCAGACACAGGGGCATTGACAAAATGCTTGCAAACGCAGGTATTCCCACACCTCGACGCCGCCGTCAAGCAGCTGGATAAGAATGTCTTCAACGTCGAAAAGCTCGGCGGGAAAGTTATTAGTACGATCGCCGATGACGACTTCCAACTACACTTCCACAAAGGCAATGGCTGTCTCCCTCCGAATATCGAGTCATCTATTATTGGGCGCATTTATAAATTAGTAGCCGAATTCACGGCGGGAAATGTGAGTTTTCCCAATCTCAATATTCCTTTCCAGGGTAGCACCTCTGACATCTTATAGGAATTCCGACACCATCCTACTACTCGTGCCGTTTCACAGTCGACACTGGTGCCTGCTAAAGGGTCCATAGCAAAGTCGATCCCGAGCATTCTTCCCTCTATCGAGAAGCCACCATCCGAGTTGGCGTCGAACAATAATGTCGAGGACGTTAGCGACGACTCGTATGACGACGATAGCTCGTGTAGCGATGAAGCGTATCTTTGTGAAACCGAAGAGAAACTGAATGACATTATCGAAGATGTTCTTCAGGAAATCCAGAAACATCTCCAAACTCAGTCAAGAAAGAAACAGTTAGCTTCACCGCGGCATTTACGGCCAAGATCAAAGATTACACATCCAAGCAAAAGCCGCGAGCCCAAAGGGGAAGATCCGCTCGCAGACGTGAACAGCCGATGGTCAAACCTGTCCGATATACCATATCAAGCTTCAAAGTTTCGGGGTAAGATCAGATATGGGTTAAGTCATGGTTGTCATATCAAGCTTCACTCACACGACCTACGCCATCCTACTGTTTACCATGTCGACTTCTGCGATTTCGAGACCAAATATCTTCGATATGTAGCAAGGTCTCTATGTAACAGGGTATCTACTAAAGTTGAGAGGTCAGACACCAAGGATTTACGCCATCTGACGAAGAAGTTTGGAGACCTTAGAACTCTTATTCTCGGAGCTCATCGTCGTCGTTACGACCAATTTGATCCACCACCTTGGCTCCTACTGCAACGTTCTACAGAGAGTCTTCACAACTTCCTAAGTGACGTGCTTCACAAACAAGTGAACCCAGAGCCTATATTATTAACTTTCGCACGAGATGAGAGAAATAGTAAGAATGCGAATATTATCAAGAGAGCGAACGTTGTGCCACTATCACTATACGCAAGGGAGATGGCGGGCAACCGCCTTGGGGGTCTTAGGGTCTATCACTCTTATACCACAGTTTTCACAAGCAATAGGGAGGACTTTTTAGAGCCCAAGGTTGAATGGACCAACTGTGCTGGGGATATTATGACTATCAGCTGGCTGCCGGATGCTACACGCTTCGTCTGCGGCGCGACCACTCATTCCGACTCACACAATCAACAGTATAATAAACCTGGCAACCTTCTATTCGGCGATGCGTCATTAAAGACATTAAGAGCGTATCCCGATCACCGTATACCCCGTCCGCTCGTTGCCCATGGTGAAAATGCTTTGGAAGCAATGAGGGAAAGTCAAGATCCTTGGCTATTTACGTCTGTGGTCTCGTCAGATTATGATCCCGTCTTTGACTTTGCGTTTACCTCAAGCTTCGACAATACGGTCAAGGTCTGGCACACAACTAAAGGGGCTATAGCACTTCGCGAGACGTGGCACCACGAGGGACACGTTAATTTCGTCGTGACGAATAAAAGTAAACATGGTAGTAAGGTCGCCACAGCCACCGATGTTCCTACAAGAGCAGTACGGGTTTATTATGCGCAACGTGACAGGTCGGGCAACTACTCGCAGGCTTACAGGTATAAAGAGTTCTCTTGCAAGCGAGTACATGGTGAAGACTACGCCCCCTCGGATAAATGGGCCTACTTCCCGTCTGCCATCCGCTGGGGAATAGACTCAAGCGTGAACCATCTCCTACTGATCGGATATTCACCAAGGAGCCTTAACAATGACGACAGCGAGATTCCTGAAGAGAAGCGTTCTACTGGAGAGCTCTGTTTATGGGATATGAATACATATACCGAGGTCAAGGTCAATAGTGCAGCTACTGCGAATGTATTCGAGGTTGTGTGGCATCCTAATCGGCCAAGCTTTGCCGCGGCAACTTCGGCGTCACAGACTTCTGAGAAGTTGGAGGAGCATATTCGAACGCAGATTCGTATCTTTGAGTTGAACGAGGCCTCGGGTCAATATAGCGTCATCAAAACACTCGATTGCCCTGCCATTGACATCAATGAGCTTGCAATCAGGTATGAACACACTACCCCTACCAAGTTGCCCAACGTAAGGAGCTAACATCAGATACAGACCCAACAGTATTCTATACTCGTACATCGCCGCCGGCTGTACTGACGGCAAAGCCTACGTCTGGGACTCGGCCGCGAGCGAGGACCAACCAATGTGTGTCCTCGAACATGGCGGTAAGCATCGGATTTTATACACGTATAAATCAAGACATTGGGCTAATGATATATCAGATCCGGTTGAAGAAGTTATCGGAAACAGAGAGCAGGAAGACGTTGGGGTTAAATTTATAGCGTGGGCCACATCCCCCGATCGTCTATATACAGGTTCATCCGACGGGTTTGTTAAGGTGTGGAATATACGACAGGGGGAGGGAGAGTTGGTGAGAGACCTAATCGAAGTGCCAGCGCCCATCACAGCCGGTGCTTTCTCACCGGACTTCACAAAACTTCTTATTGGAGACGGTAGTGGACGAGTATATCTAATGGATATGGAAGACGACGAAGAGAATAACGGCCAGGATAACCCAGCCGCCACTTCTTCGGGGGTTGTCAACATGCAGGTCAATGGCAGGCAACGCGCAATTCGTCGGCCTCGCCCCTTTATTCCTCACCCCGAAGTCCCCCCTCCGAACCAGGACGGGGACAACAAACATTCAAACCAACCTCAATACCAACTAGGTCAAAGACGAGCAAGGGAATACTTGGAAACATCACACCTCACTCTCCATCCCGACCCCACCATCGGCGCGGTTCAAGGCCCAGCGTACCCCGAAACAGGCCTCTACCGAGCAGAAGCCCATCTCAACGGAGATCCCCAAGCACCGCTCCTAAGCAGATTCGAAGGTCTACAGCAGGCCAATCAGTCCTTCTCCAGAACAACCAGGTTCCGGAGACAGAGAAGCGTAGATGACATGGCGTGGGACTTGCAGGCGCGAAATGCGGCTGTAGATGCGGATGTCGAGGAGATGTTGGATCCGGATACCCGTATGGCGCTTGAGGCTGAAGAGGCGGAGTTTGGCGAGGCGTTGGTGGAGCTCGAGTATGAAGATGAATGATGTGGCTACGATGTGGATGAGGAGTAAGAACCTACCTAAAGGTCTTGCGAAAAGGGGTGTAGATGCGGACGGTGAGGAATGAGGAATGAACTTGTAAACTTGGCTTGGCTTGGCTTGGCTTAGTTAAAAGGAATTTAGCTTAGTTAGGTAGCTAGTTATGCGTTAAGTTAAGTACTTATGAACGACGGAAGAAATTATATTAATATTATTAATTACATTGTAAAACTTTTTATTTAATTGGAATTTTATATGTTTAATATCATGGGTTGTAAAAATGAAATTTGTTGTTTTTTAAGTAAGTTTTTTTAGATTAATTTTATATTATTTATTATAAATAAATTGTGTTATATTATATTATTTTAATTTCGTTTCGTTTTTGCTAGTTATATAATAAGGTATGTATGTATAAAATAATTAAACATTTATTTAAACTTTTTATAACTACCATAAGTATTTAGGTTAAATAAGTATAATATCGGACATGTATAATAATGACTGTTATTTATTTAGGTACTTATTTAACCGTAAGCTCCCACGCCTTTTAAGACAGTCCGAAATTACAAATCGATAATTAACTCGAAAACCCTAAGGTTTAAATATATTATTAAAATAACGACCATGTCATAAGCCGCAAGCCGCAAGCCGGGAAAGGGTTAATATGGAATATACTTTTAACGCTTGGAAAACGGGCCGGTAGTAAGGTAATTTATCTATTCCATGCAAACCCGCGGGAGGGGATTGGTTAAGTCCATACCACTTATTAGCTACCATTAACACCCGCGTTAACCGCCGGCCTTTTGCCATTGCCCGTAATGCTACTTACGGTATAGAAACGTAAGTTGGCCTATTTATTTATATGTAGGTACTTAGGTATGTAGTCAGATCTATAAATGTTTAATAGGCACCCAGGTAACATGTGTGGCGAATGTACGGGATATAAACCATAGGTTAAACGAGCTCGAAGGACAACTTATAAGGCCTACATGCATGCATGCATGATGCAGCCAGTTTACCTTGTTACCACTCTACAATGTGACAGTGTAGCGTAACTACTACTCAATAACGGGCAGCCTTTAATATAAGCTCAACGGTGCTCACTCGGTTATATCCAACCATATACCCTTAGTCATGTCAAAGAGAGCCTAGTGTACGAATTCGCATGCTTAACTCTTCGCAAGAAAATTATTCTCAATAACTATGAAGCTACCTGGCTTCAGAACCCTTCAGAACAAGGAGTTGTCAAGAGTGCCGCCCCTTGCCTTTTTTTTCTTGTCCCTAACGCCTTTTCTGCTGAATACTATACATTATGCAATCTGTATCAGCATTGTCTTACTTGATAGTGCAAGGCAATGCCAAAGTCGCGAAGATGAAGAAAAGGAATACAATGAACCAAACATAGCCTCCCCCCTCCTTTGATGCAGCTGTCCATCGATCTATACTCGAAGTTGACTAACCTAGTATAAATGTGACGTCAATATCAACGAGGACCTGCGCCTAACTAAAGGTCCTATGAGGCCCAACGCAAAATACCACCAACGCCGTTCCATGCTACGTGATTCGTAAAGTGGTTGCAGCTTGTACTATTGAAAATGATCTCGATCTGCAACCGTCCATTAGGATTATTCGGAGAGAAAATTTTGAGAATTCCCTAGAAGCCTAGTGGGTACCAAGACCCGGACACCAATTCAACCCAATTAGTATCTTCCAAACCCATTTTCATTCGACCAGTCCTATTGGTCGGCAGGAGGCGCTGGAAACGCAAATCCCGGAGGGAAGACGGGCATTCCGTTGGGACCTGTTCCGATACCGAAAGGGAACGCCGGGACAGCCGGTCCGGTAGTAAGTCCATTCATGTCACTCTGAACATCCTCTTGTCGCGGGTCCCGGTTTCGTCGCCATCGGGTGAGGTCTCCTTCGTCGCTGTCACCTGGGCCACGGCTGGACTTTGGCCCGTGTCTTCCGCCCTTGTCAGTCTGCATGCGGCGACTGATGGCCTTCGATGAGACACCAGCACCAATCTCGATGTCTGGCTCCTCAACTACCATGCCTGACTCGATAGCACGACCACCACTTCCACCATATTCAGCAGTCAACATCCACTTTCGGTCAGCCTCGGTCAATTTGCTGATGGGTATGACACTAATGCCTGTTTGATAGTCGCTACAGTCACGAGGACCAAACCCTACTCCCCAACGAGTCTGTCTCCACGTTAGTAATGCAAGGCGTGATAATAACTCTCGACACTACTTACTCTAAAAGTGCTGCTCTCCATAGCCTCCTTAGCAGTCACGGCATCTCGACGGGTGACCATCTTAACAAATGCATGACGCTTGTCTTTGTTGACGATGCAGGTCTGTACTTGGCCATGGCGGTTGAAGACACTACGCAACTCGCTCTCAGGACAACTATGCGCATTAGTTAGTTTACAGCGCATTTCCTCGTGAATAGATATGTGACTTACGTGACACCCCCTACGAACAACGTTCTACTCAAGACTAGAAACCGTGTTAGTGTATAGGATTACAATAGACATACAAGTTATTTTTTACCTTTGATGTGACCCTGAGGGATAGTCCTGTCAAACTCAACCCATTTAGCCGTAGGCTGGGGAAAGCCGTGTGCAGGGCTTGGACTACGACCTCGGCGTCCAGGACTACGCTGTCGATAACCGGTGCCTCCGGTACGTCCTAGACCAGGAGAGTTACGTCCGTAACTACCATATTCACGATCAGAGCGACCACGAGGAGAATCACGCGCATCCCAATGACGCTGAGGTGAACGCGACCTCGAACGATTGCGATATCTATTTGGAGATCTCACTTGCTGAAATTCGTGGTCACGTGATTCTTCAGGTCGAAAGCCACCTTGACCCCACAAACCAGCATACGGAGGCTGACCTACCGGGGGTACTGCAGCTGGATTAGCAGCAGGGGGTGTAGAGATACTGTTGCTCTGCATGCTAGCTATGATGGCTGGAATCTTATCGAACGGCACGCCCTGGTCGGCGAGAAGCTTGATCAACATAACCTGCTGCTGGACACTGGGGTCCATACCAGGAGTCGGTGCTGCAGGGACAGCAGAAGCTACACCTGGAAAGCCCGCGGCTTGATTACTAGCATTCACCTGGGGCACAGGGGTATGAGCCTGAGTCTGAACTTGACCTGGTTGAGGGAACGGGTACATGCCCGGTAGATTTACAGGTTGTTGAGGTGGTGCTGAATAAGAAACAGGAGGCTGGCTTTGGGTTAGGGGAAGAATAGGAGGTTGAGCTGCACTTGTCTGTGCCGGCGGTACGCTGTACGCGCTAGCTGGAGCCTGAACGTTGTTGTTGTTGGTGGGCGTAGCTGTGACATTTTGTCGGGCAATGTTGGCGAGGGCCTCCATGATTGCGTTCGGAGCCTCGACAGCATGTGGCTTATTCTCGGTCAGACCAGGTAGACCAGGGCCGGGAGGAGGACTGCCAACCGGTGTGGTGGATTCGTCTACAAGAACAAACAAGGGTCAGATATGTGACCTCAAAACAATGCAAGAGACGGTGAAGAAGTGGGGGGTTTCTCTCTATTGTCAAATGTCAAATTTAGGATCGGGAAACCTACCTTTCGCAGCAAACGATTTCATCTTTTCTTTGAATGACTCGATCATAGGCCGAGGAAATGTCTGGCCTTTCTCCCAGATGTCAATGAGCTTTTTAATCTTATCCTATACGGAACGGTTAGGTAAGTACTTCTTTTAGGTCAATGTTGCAAAAAATGTGTCTTAGTCAGTTAAGCCCGTAGGCGCGCAAGGCGCGAGCAGCAAGCAGCGAGTTACCATGGCAATGGTAATGGCAATAGAGATATAGCCTAACACTAGGAAATAGCACGACTAGATGTGGCTTATCCTAGGAGCATCGTGACTGAAGCAGATGCTATCGCCAAAACTACGAACTGTATGCGACGACGAATGTATGATAAAGCGTACCTTTTGTTCTCCGGGGGCGTTCTGAAAGATATCATTCATAAGCACAGGAAGCAGTTCCGTTACTCTATGCACGCCAGCAGCGTATGTTCCATCCTTTGCAGAACTATTGATAGGCTGACCTTGATGTTTGGCTTGGTCAACCCATTTGCGAGTTACGGAATCTACGACGTAGAGCACTCCTAACTTATGAGTTGCGGGGGCTTTCTTGAAGTGGGTGTAGATCTTCTGGATGAGTACGGATTCCGACTGTGACGTAGATAACCAAATTAGCATCTATTCATATACGTGCGCCGATGCATCGACGTGCGCAGTTGTGCAGTCTAGTCTTACCTGGACGTTGTCGACACACAAGCTGGTCAATGCCACAATACGGGATTGGGTAACTCCGGGTGGTTTTAGATTTTGCATGGCATTCAAGCCAGCCTCAAGCTCTGTTACGGGCGACGACATGATTGCTCTAGAGCTCTCTTGAATACTTGGAGAGAACGGCAAGCACACAATGTACAGCGAGAACAGGCTCGCAGCACCTGTGTAATGATATACGATAGAGTCGCGATAGTCACCCAAGTATTAAGAGGGTTGGTTTTATCTTTGCTTCGTCTAGCTTTTCGGGTGATTACTTGTATTTTTCTTGCCGCGACCTAACGAGTTACAGCCGTCAAAAGGCAAATCTAGGTAAAAGTCGATGAATTCCAAGTGTCCTTTTTCAATGTAGTAACGATTGAATGAATGATGAAAATGTCCAGCGATGCCGAGTAATTTGATGCGACAGTGAGAAACACCACTAAAGCCTTTTTTGCACCTCTACTACGGCCTGGGGGGAGCTTTGGTCCCGGTACGAGTGTCGATTGTTTGTTAGAAACTTGACTGTGCTGTTATGGTAAGCTGAGAATAGTGGCGCGGATTGAGATACTGGCGCGATCAATTTGATACAGCTATATGAAGAAGTCGGCAAAATTTACAGGGTGTTGATGCGATGCGATGAAAAGTTGATGTGGGATATTTACCGCGGATGGGGTGGGAAGTGTTTAGGAAAGAGGAGACGCCGCAAGTTCTAAAAGCTTTAACTTGTTGGCTGGCAAGATTTTTTTTTTCAGTCGCGTGTTGCAGAGGTGGGGGGTTGAGGGAGCACTTCGTACTTGCCCAGCCACAAGTACCCACTGTTCTTTTCGCACTTGCCTTACGCTTTACTTGCCTTGGTGCTTTAGCGCTACCTAGGTACCTTGCGCTACCTTAGTACTTAGGTACCTATCCTACAATCGAGATCAGAACCAAATTTTGCATGAGCTTTAGGTAATAATATGTTTTGTGACCGTCCAGTAGATTTATATTACACACGTTCTCTACGACAGCAAGGTATGTTATAGCGCATGAGATGTTACCCCAGGTAGTAATATGTGACCAATACGTGTTTTGATTGTTATCAAGTAGGGGACTAATATGGATATATGTCCAACTAAGCAAACACTTCAAGTCTTATACTTCAAACTATCCATATCATTCACTAGCCTCATATAATTCAATTACTATCTATCATGGATTATCCGCTAATACATATAAGAATAAGAGGGCAGTATTTGCTAAATCACTACATAATGCAGGGTGAATGTATTCAACAACAGCTGTCCACCGTTGTCGGGCATCTAATCCTACTCTCGATCCTACTCACGTAAGACCCGAACAAACTGTAGAGGCTTTGCAAAGACTGATCTTAACAAGGCATAATAATACACATCTAATTTGAGTACTACATCGTAGCAACCAACTTTTTTTTTCCTTCTCCCAACGAACAGAGAATTGCTTGCATATTTGTCTTTATATGTAGGTATGCATATACAAAAAAAAAAAAAAAAAAAAAAGGTGAAGCTAAATTGACGTCAACGTCACAAGGCAAGTAGGGGACGTGTGCGTGTGATGGGAAGGCTACATATCGGGAAAAATAGGCCGTTTACACAGGTTCTATTCGCGGATATGCGGGCACTAAACATCCGCAAAAACAGCTTCTATTGGTTCATCCTTTCTGCCGTAGTAAGTTTTTGGTGAGGCTTCGGCCCCAATTGGCAGCGACCTAAGGGAAAGTTGAAAGCACGTAGTGATAGAATATGTACATGTGTCATAGGCGGTAGATATAGGATAAAATCAGGTACCCTTCCGTAGTTCGCAACAGATGCCGGACCCGCTAAATTTTTCTTCGGGCTTCCCCCATCCAACCGAGACCGACCCTAGTCCGTCACCCAGTCAATTAACCAATAACCAAGGTAAAGGATACTTTTTCACTCTTGAGGCATTTCATCATTCTTTTTATCCTTTTTTCACGAAGCCCTATTACCTCTTCCAACTTCCTGTTTTCACCATCATAATTTAATTGCTTCGCGCTGCATCATCAGCCATGGCGTCTACCCTCCGTCTAAGCTCCTCTGCCTTTCGAACTACGCTGCGGGCCCCCAATTTTGCGGTCCGTACCACAGCGTTCAACGCAGCACGATGCTATTCTTCTTCTAAAAGCCAGGTAAGTAAAATTCCAATTGCCTTGTGTAGCATCTTAAGCTTACCAATTCATCCAGACCTTGAAGGAGCGCTTTGCCGAGCTACTCCCCGAGAAGATTGAAGAGATCAAGGCCCTAAGAAAGTAGGTTTCTAATATTTAAAAATACATTGCCCCACACACAAAAGCTCATGGTTCGTGCACAGAGAGCATGGCTCTAAGGTCATCGACAAGGTCACCCTCGACCAGGTCTATGGTGGTGCCCGAGGAATTAAAGCTCTAGTATGGGAAGGTTCAGTCCTTGACTCCGAGGAGGGTATCCGCTTCCGAGGCAAGACGATCCCCGAGTGCCAGGAAGTTCTTCCCAAGGCCCCCGGCGGCAAGGAGCCCTTACCAGAAGGTATGAAAAAAAAATTCTCGTGATGTAAAGGGCGCCGGCTAATTATTCTAGGTCTTTTCTGGCTGCTCCTGACCGGCGAGGTCCCTACTGAGCAACAGGTTCGCGACCTCTCTGCTGAGTGGGCCGCTCGATCCGATATTCCCAAGTTCGTCGAGGAGCTTATCGACCGCTGCCCTACCGACCTCCACCCTATGGCGCAGTTCTCCCTTGCTGTCACCGCACTTGAGCACACCTCGTCTTTCGCCAAGGCTTATGCCAAGGGTATCAACAAGAAGGACTACTGGGGATACACCTTCGAGGACTCGATGGACTTGATCGCCAAGCTCCCCACTATTGCTTCTCGCATCTACCAGAATGTCTTCAAGGGCGGAAAGGTTGCGCAGGTTCAGAAGGACAAGGACTACAGTTTCAACTTCGCCAACCAGCTGGGCTTTGGCGAGAACAAGGACTTCATCGAGCTGTTGCGACTATACCTGACCATCCACACTGACCACGAGGGTGGCAACGTCAGCGCCCACACTACTCACCTTGTTGGCAGTGCTTTGAGCTCTCCTTTCCTATCGCTCGCCGCTGGTCTAAACGGTCTTGCTGGTCCTCTTCACGGTCTTGCCAACCAGGAGGTCTTGAACTGGCTTACCGAGATGAAGAAGGTAATTGGTGATGACCTAAGCGACGCTAAGATCACCGAATACTTGTGGTCCACTCTCAACTCCGGCCGAGTTGTTCCCGGTTACGGCCACGCCGTTCTCCGCAAGACGGATCCCCGATACACCGCTCAGCGAACATTCGCCCTAGAGAAGATGCCCAACGACCCCATGTTCCAGCTAGTCAGCCAGGTTTACAAGATCGCCCCCAAGGTCCTAACCGAGCACGGCAAGACCAAGAACCCGTTCCCTAACGTCGATGCTCACTCTGGTGTCCTCCTCCAGTACTACGGCCTGACTGAGGCTAACTACTACACTGTCCTATTCGGTGTCTCGCGTGCCATTGGTGTGCTACCGCAGCTCATCATCGACCGTGCCGTTGGTGCACCGATTGAGAGGCCCAAGAGTTTCTCTACTGCTAAGTGGATCGAAATCTGCCAGAAGCTATAAGGAATGAGGAACGCATTTTTCCTTTCGTCTGAAAAGAGCATGTTTCACAAACGGAAATAGAACGGTCTACCGAGAGCAGTGGTGTATCACGGGGGTTTGAATTAGAGATTCTCCTAGCGATACCAAAAAGCTGCACTTGTATAATAATACGTCATGATTGAATTTTGTATAGGTAGATGCAATTGAACATTAACTACTTGCAACATTCCACTTATTGTGAACATACTTAAGTTCATCAAATCAATAGGTAACTTCGTAGAAGCCATCAAAAGCCATATGGAGTGTAAGTCTAGCAGATTCGATCAATTTGGTGGCACTTGCATATATGTACGAAGCCGATGATCTAACGATAACGATATTAATAGAATATTAAAAAATCTGGGAGATTTGGGGGAAACCCGGGTAGCTTGTTGAGGTAGAATTAAGCTAGCAAACATGGTTGGTTGATGGGGAAGCTGCGAGATTATCGGGCGGCGTGCGTATCACTGGGATCTTGGCAATTGTTGAGAGAGCGTTCAACAAAGTTCCCGAGGGATCTGAGGCCCCGGAGATAGTGCTGATGTACTTGCTATACTTATTTATTATATAGCTTGGTAATACTTAGTGGCTTGGAAAAAGAAAAAAACAATCCTGTCAGCTGAAGTCAGGTTGAAAAAATACGGAATATATTATTCGAATTGTTGAAAAAAGGAATAGGAAATCAATATGAATCTATATAATTGACCGTATGATATTTCAAGTTGCCCAGTAATAAAGCAATTGAATCTAATTTACAAGTGGTTACCTACGTTAACGCTAGTAGGTATTAATTCCTATTCCATTGGCTAAATACAGGCGCTAGAATATATTAATGGTACCTATCATTCACCATATGCGGCCGAGGCAAGTAACTCTAACTATACAATAAAATTTTCCTAAAAATATAATAAAATCAATTTTACGTAAAATAAGTTAATATAATACCACCTACCTAATTTATATTAAGATTAATATTATTTTTTAATAAATTTATAATTTTACATAATTGTAAATTATATATGTTTATTTTAAAACTATTGCAATTTTTTAAAATAATAATAATAATAAATAAATAAATAAATAAAATATATTATTTATTTAATTAATGTTGATAATTTCTTTAAGGTTTATTATAATTACCTTATTAATTAAAACCTTATTTTATTATATAAGGCTTTAAATTAATATTACTAACTTAATTTTTTTAGTTTTAAATTATTTAAATTTTCTAATTAAGTTTTTAGATTTTATTTATAAAAAGACTTTAAGAAAAGTTTTAAAAAAGAGGATATTGTTATTTTAATACGATTTATAGATTTTGTTTATATTATATAAAACAGTTGATAAAACCTTTTGCAATATTATTGGTTAATAAAAATTTAGCGTATTTATTGTTAAAATTTTAAAAATAAAACTTAAAAAAGGTAAATTTAATAAAAATTATTATATTTATTATTATTAATATTTATATAATTGTTTAAAACAATTAAATAGTTATATTAATTATAATTGTTAATAAGTTTTATATAAATATAATTATCTTTATAAAATTATAATATTATATAATAAAAAACGTAATATTTGGTTTATTGTTATTAAAAATAATATCTATAATTATAAATTAAACCTTAATTTAATTAACACTAAATATTGATAATTTTTACAAAATAAATATAATTTTAATATTACTATTTTACAGTTATTAAAAATAGATTTTTTAATTATAAATAATATCGCTTATTATTTATTAGGCAATAACTTTAAATTTGATAATTTAAAACTTTATATAAAAATTAAACTTAAAATTAATCCTAACGATTTTTTCGATTTAAATATTAATAGTAATAAGTTATTTATAACAATTTATAATAAAAATATTATTATTATACTTTATAATATTTTAAATATTAAGTAATAATTTTAAAAATAAATATAAAAAAAATTTATAAATATTTAACTATTAATAAAAAAATTATAATAATATAAAAAAATTTACAATATTAATTATAAAATTAATATAAATTTAATAATTAAAAAAGTAACTTATTTATTTTAAACTTTTAAATAATATATTAATATATAATAATATAATTCTAAGGTTTTATTATTTAATAATATGTATAAGGTAATGTTAATAGTTTTATTTAATAGTTTTATTTTATATTTTATATTAATTTATATATAATATAAGTTAATTGATTTAATATGTTATTGTTAAATATTATTAATATTATTTTATTATATATTAATTTTTACGTTATTTTTAATTTTATTTTAAATAAAATTAAAGCTAATTTTATATAATAATTAGGGTATTTAAATAAGTTATAAATATAGTATAAAATTCAAAAACCTATTATAATATTAAATAATTTTTTAAAGGTATTTAAAAGGGTTATTAATTTAATATTTATATTATTATTATAATAATTATATATATAATATATTATAAAAAACATTACCTATTATATTATTAAAAAATAGGTTAAATTAATAATAATAATAAATAATTTATTATTTAAAACTAATAAAAAACGTATTATTAATAATAAAACGGTTTTAAATAATAATTAATTTGGTTTAAACTTTCTTTTATATAAAGGGCTTACCAGCAACAAAAATAACAAAGGTAATAAAAGTAATAAGGATTTCGAAAAAGTTAAAAATAAGTTAAAAACTAACGAAAATACCATTAATATTAAAGCTAAAATCTTTTTTTATAACTTTAAAAAAAGGTTTTTAATATAAAAAAATGGCTTAATATTTAAAAAGGATTTATAAAAGTTTAGAAAACTATTATTTACGTAAATACAAAAATAATATTTTGGATTATATAAACTTTATTAAAAAAGAAATTTTAACGTTAAATATATAAATAATATTTTTTTTTTTAAAAGTAAATTAAGTTAATTTAAAGTTTAAAAATTATTAAATATAATTTATTAATATTTATTTTTACTATTTTAATTATTATTTTAACTTAAATATAATAAAATACCATAATATAACTATTTTGGATAAAAGTATATATAATTATAACATTTTTAATTTTTAATATTAAAAAATTTTATAATATTTTAAATAAGGTTAACTAATTATAAAATTTATACATTAAAATAAAGTTTTTTATTAATCTATTATTTATTTAATTAAAAAGGCGATAAAGTATACAAACTTTATTTTTTTAATTATTTTATAAATTTTATATTTTTTTTTTTAAAATATTTATATTTTTAAAGTTTTTTTTACTAATTAATTTTTTATATAACGTTTATTAATTATTTAATTTAATATTACTTCTTTTAACGCAATTAATATTATAAATTTACTATATCTTAAATACATAATTATAAGATTATAATAATTAATTGATTTAAGGTAATATATAAATATTTAAAACGTTATATTAAATATTGTTATTGTAATTTTAATATATTATATAATTTAATATATAAAATTTATATTAATTATAAAATTATATACAAATTAAAATTTTAAATAGTTAAATCTTAAAATTTTTTTAAATATTATTAAATAAAAATATTTTATAACGTATTATATTATATATTTCTTAAGGTTTTAAAGCAAATATAGCAACAATATAAATTAATATATTAAAATTATTTAATTTAATATTATAGTAATATTATTTAATTAATTTATAAAAATTTATTTATAAAATAATAGGATTTATTTTATAAATACGTTTTTTTTAACTTATTATATATTAAAAAAAATAAACTAAATCCAGTTAAGTTATAAACCTTTAAAATAGCTAATATTAAAAGGTATTAATAGTTTTATTTTAATAGCAAATTAAATTTAATTAAGGATAAAATAAAAAATTTAAAAATTTAAAATTTTAAAGTATTTTAAAATTATAAACGCCAAAAGGTATATTCTAAAGGGTTATTTTTTAAAACGTTATAGTAAAATTTAAATAAAATTGCCTTTATTAATCCCAAAAAATATAAGTTTAATATAATCCTAAAACCTTAAAATTAAGTTTTAAGGTAAATTAATTATAATAGCTATTAAATACTGTTATATAATAAGGCTTCAACTTTAAATATAAAACTTATTTAACGTTAATAAAAGTATAAAATAAAGATTAATTAATAAAGGGCTATTATTACCAATTTAATTACGTTAATTTAAAATTAATAAAATTAATTAAATACAATAAATTAATAAATAATAACCTTAGTAATATAATTACTTTAATAATAATAATATATATAATAATATATAATATCTTTATTACTAACCTTAACGTTAATAAAGTTTAATATTATATTTAATCTTTATAAGTTATAAAGTTTATAAAACTATTAACAGTAATTTCCGAAACTTTTTTAATAACTTTAACAATCTATAATTTAATAGTAATAAATATTTATTATATTTTTTTAATAATTTGTAAAGTAATAAAATTAATGGCTAAATTAATATAATCAATTAAATTAATAGTTTTAGCTTTTATATTATTATTTTAATTAAATATATAAACTTATATTAAATTTAATTATAAATAAATTGATTTTTATTTATTTATTTATTTTATTTTATTTTATTTTATTTTATTTTATTTATTTATTTAAATTTAATTAAATATAATTATATAAAATTATAGATTTATTAAAAAATAATATTAATCTTAATATAAATTAAATAGGTGGTGTTATATCGGCTTATCTTACGTGAAATTGATTTTGCTATGTTTTTAGGAAAATTTTATTATGTGGTTAGAGTTACTCGGCCGAGGCTTCTTGACCTTGTTAACCTAACTGGCTTTGCTGACCACCGCCCCTCGTAGCTCCCTCCGTAGTACACTGCAGGCTTACGGCAATCGTAATCCGTTCACCGACACCAATCATACGCCCGTTTCTGCTGAGAAACCCCCCGACTCCGATCCCTTATTGCCTTTGCGTTTTGACTTCCCCGTCTCTCCCCGTCTCACAAAATCAACTTTACCATCCATCCATCCATCTTCTAATTTTTTTTATCCCTCAACGTCAATTGTCATCTTCTTCGAAAGGTTAATCCGTCGTCCTCTCCCCCCCCCCTCCTCCCTTTTACTCCTACTTGCGAAGAAGCACCCGATTGCCTTGGTCAGGCCCCTTTCCGTTAAACGAATCCTATCTGGAAATGTCCACCGCCACCGTTGCCGCCTCCGGGGCCGTCCCCCCTCTGACGGAGAACAAGTTGGAGAAGAAGCCCATCAAGTTCTCGAACTTGCTGCTCGGCGCCGGCCTCAATTTGTTCGAGGTCACTACGCTCGGCCAGCCCCTGGAGGTCTGCAAGACCCATCTCGCTGCGAACAGAGGCGATTCCTTCGCTTCTGCTCTGCGCTCCATCTGGAATCGTGGCGGTGTCTTTGGATGTAAGTCGCCATCAACTCCATAACTTTGCCATTGAAACCCCCATCCGAGTAAAATACACCGCTAACATGTAGTCTCCCCGTCGCAGTCTACCAGGGTCTCATTCCTTGGGCCTGGATCGAAGCCTCGACCAAGGGCGCCGTGTTGCTCTTCGTCGCTTCCGAAGCTGAATATTATGCCCGGGTCGCAGGCGCTTCGGATTTTGGTAGTGGTATCATCGGTGGTGTGACGGGTGGTGTCGCACAGGCATATGCCACCATGGGTTTCTGCACCTGCATGAAAACGGTCGAGATCACGCAGCACAAGCTAGCGGCGTCGGGCGTCAAGCCGCCGAGCACGTTCGAGACGTTCATGGGCATCTACCGCAAGGAGGGTATCCGGGGCATCAATCGCGGTGTCAACGCCGTGGCGATCCGCCAGATGACCAACTGGGGTTCGCGCTTCGGTCTATCGCGCTTGGCCGAACAGGGCATCCGCCGCATCACCAAGAAGGAGAACGGCGAGAAGCTTAGCGCGGTCGAGAAGATTACCGCTTCTGCTCTAGGTGGTGGCCTCTCGGCCTGGAACCAGCCGATCGAGGTCATCCGCGTGGAAATGCAGAGCAAAAAGGAGGATCCCAACCGTCCCAAGAAGATGACGGTCGGAAACACTTTCAAATACATCTACGAGTCCAACGGTCTCAAGGGCTTGTACCGCGGCGTAATGCCGCGTATTGGGTTAGGCGTTTGGCAGACGGTTTGCATGGTGGCTATGGGTGATATGTAAGTTTTTTTCTTCTCTTTCTTCTTTACTTCCGGCGCGGAAAAGAACAAGAACTACGTTGCTAACTAGAACCGTGAAACAGGGCCAAGAGTTACGTTGAAAAGCTGACCGGTGATAAGGTCACTGCTAAGCATTAGGCGGCGTTTTACACGGGATGGGATACCTCGTATGACGATAGAATAAGACACGGGACCCGGAGGTGCCCTTCTGGGGTTTTGCGGTTTTGTTACGTATAGAGTATTATTTTTATTTTTATTTTACGTTCGGCCGGTATTGTCCGGATTGACATTTGTGCCTGGTTGAGTAATATCATGGCGGCATCTACCTAGTTTTTGTTACGATCTATACTAGAGGCTCGGTCATCACAATACAGAGTGTTGTGGTTTTGGGTCGGTATATTTGCACGTGTTATCTTTATGTATATGTTTTGTGATGTGGGTGTCAATGTAGCATGTGATTCAGCATGTTAAGATGTAATGAGTTGACATGTGATATTTCCGTGACTAGCAGTGGGCGGTTACATTCTATCGACCCCTGTAATTATCTAGCTATACTTAATACTAACTATAATATCGTTTATTAATGTGATAAGAGGCATATATATATATATATATAGATACTTAGGTAGATTTCAGTAGGGTTATCGCGAAGTTGTAGGTCTTGGGATATACTGGTTAGCAATATCGCGGGACTTGGATAGATATCCAAAAATAGCGGCAGGGAACATGTTGCCGAAAACCAGATTGGATTAGGATAGGTACCTTAATCGGGAACACGAAATACAGTTGGCGTATATAATACTTCATTCACCATTAAGGTCTAGATGAGATTAATGTTAACACCTCTAGTTACCCCAGTTGCCGTCTCTTTAGCACGAAGGGGGAAGAGCATCAGACGCTCCTCTAACGTGTTCTTCACCAAACTAAATTAACTACCTGTTTCCTTTACTGCTCCTCTTCTAGGTCCTACCCCCAGGCCGAGAAAGACAGTTTCTCAGAAGCAACTGGTGTGCTGTATACCCTGAGTATAGACTTGAGGTCAGAGGCCAGAGTGTATTTGTCAGGGTATAAGTGGGTTAGGGGTAGGTTCAGGGGTAGATCTTCTGGGATTGAGTATACAAGGGGCGCGCAACGCACTCGTAAGAGGATAGAAGGCAGGTGTTAATAGTTCAATTCTATCTAGTTATCTTAACATTCGCTCTACTTATGACGTTCATCAAGGGTACAATATCTGACAAGAGATCTGCGATGTCGAAAGCCCCGACTGAATATACGTATTTTACTTGTACGGGCAATAAAATCAAGGAGCTCTACGAAACTACTAAGGATTAGCTTCTGAAAAATGACATGCAACCTAAGGAAGTTATTAGAGGAAATAATACATAGCATCCATAGTACTCTTCCTTCAATCCAGCTTCCATCATCTGCAAAGCCTCGGCGTGGCGTTTCTCCATATCGATGTCGACGATGAAGTCCCACCTTGACATAAACGACTTGAACTTGCTCGAGACCAATCTGGTTTCCTCACTCCTCCTCATTAGCATATCACCCGTTATCCGACTGGACTCGACGATCCGCTGCGTACGGGGGCGACGAACTTGATCATATATATACCTTCAAAGCCGTAAGAGTATCTTCGCACGCCCGAGCAAGGTGGAGAGGGTGAGACTGTCTTCGATAGACATGTCACCACCAGACCCTTACCATGGTGTTGTCGAATGGGCAGTATCGCCAGCGATGCACATTCTACCCGAAACATAAGTATGCGCCTTGGGGTGCTCCCAGAGGTATAAGGCTTTATGTTCAGGTTGGTTGCAAAGCAGCTATATGCTTATTAGCATTTTCACACTAAATATAATATATATATTGCCTTAATGAGCCCAGAGGTTATCATACCTCATATACAGCTTTATTAAGGGGAGATGGGTACTCTTAGAATAACTGCTTGATCTCGTCGACGCCTACAATACGTTCCCAGCGGTCCAACGACTCGCACTTACTTTCCGAGTCAATGGATACAATGGCAAATCGCACCAACTCGCCGTCACTTAGAATGTTGCGCATTAGAAAAGCGTTCTGACCGATCCAACTATATTCGCGGGCGTTCTCAATGTCTACGAGCTCTTTACCCAAGATTGCCTGAGCCTTGCCGAGCGGTTGAAGAGCCATAAGGAGCCAGCCACCGCTGTTGCGAGGAACTGTCGCAATATCGTTCTCTCCCAAGATGAGTTTTCGAACGGTGCTATGGACGCTATCGATACTTATGAGGATGTCGCATTCATGTGTAGTTCCGTCGGTGAAATGAAGTGTGATTAACCCGTTCTAATCGACTTTGTCAAGCTTCTTTGAGGCATGCATCCGATTCTGCGGAATACCAGCGAGCAGTTCCTTTACAACGGCTGCCCGGTGGACGATGCTCGTGAGACGCTTTGCTTGGACGGTTTCGTCAGCCTCGTCGGCAACACTCCCTGCTCCTTCGCCTTGAGCCAGCATTATTCGAACAGTCCGCATCGGGACAGCGCCGGCTGAAAGACCGATAAGCTGGAGAGCAGCTTGCGCATTCCGGGCGATCCTGAAAGCCATACCGGCTTCTTTGAATTCGCTGGCGGACTCGAAGATATGTACATCTAAATGGGGGAACTTGACGAGGGCGTGGAGTAAGGAAGTCCCTGCCGCGCCGCCACCAACGATGGCAATTCTAATAGAAGTCATGGTGATAAAACTGCGGTCTTATTCAACCCAGTTGCTGTGCTGATTCTAACGTTTACCCTCATATACACGAAAGGTGCTCACAACTCCTAAATATCAACTGATGCATGTATAGTAAGACTTCCTAGAAGAAAAAAAGCCCCCATGTTATTAGCCAGGGAGGTAGCCGATGTAACTCCCTCTTTTGTGTAAATATATATCATCCCTTGACTTGAATTGCATATGAGATGTGGAAAGGTATCGGTAATAAGAGTATTTCGGTGTAGGTTAGAGGCAATATCGTGGGGACGGTTGGTGGGATGGATAACTCCAGAAGAGTCTACGTAACCTACATTTTAAACATGCAAGGAGCATTTGCATTGCCTGGACTTAAATATACACAAAATATTAAATTCATTTGCACAGAAGCGAAGCTCCTCCAAGGGTCTAATGCGACTGGTGTGAATGGAGGTCTAACCTATATGTCCAAGTGTCGAGCTGAAAATAGTATAAATGTCTAACCTCCCATCACATCATAAAAAATGCCTAGAAACTCTGATTTGATCACTTTCGATCAATTTAAACGATATTATCGATACCACTTAGTATGCTTTATCATCATTGTCTTGAACACAGATTGACATAACATCGTTTAGGGGGTAATGAACTATGACAAGAAATAGCTACTTGAGCATACATAGATTATTATAGGAATAAAAATAACCTGAAAACTGAGTTTACTACATTAACTAGAGTATGGACACATTGTATTCTATATTAAAGGGGTGTTGAACTCGGAAGATTAAACATTGTGTTCTCCTTTACGACATAAATGATAACATCAACTATTATATTATTCTCAGTATTATATAACAGGAACTACTTGTCATAATATCATAATGTCACAATGTCATAATGTAAAAGGTAACAAACAATCAAGTAGTTAAGTATTGATGAGTGTAATATATCTATCAGTTATCTAAGGAGATATTTGAATTAGTAACATCTCAGACGTAGATGGGTAACAACTAGAAAACCCGAAGCATGTTTTGTAGTATCCTAAGCGACACAGGTGATTTTGCCGCTATCCGTCTTGATAGACCTGCTGGTCTACATTATGGACATATATATAGTATTATAACATCAAGCGCCAAAAAACAATCTTATCAAAGGGTGGGTGCGACGAACGTTGGCGCCGTGAAGAGCACCTAAATTAGGTACATACGCACCTATACATCATGCCACCGAAACGATATTAGATCGAAGTCCTTTCTTGTTAAAAAGCAGTGCTCATTAATCGCAGAGATGCAAAGAAAGTCTTGAAACCATTAGTTATATTATTCAATAAACCCTCGCAGCATAAAATGACACCAGCTAAAGAAAAGGAGAAAATACCATTTCTTACCTCCGGAGCCGACCTTGACGGCCAGGAAGCACAATCCAAGAGGAACTACTTCCTGCGAAGGTATTATAGGCCGCATATTATTCTCTTTATACTTCGCTTATTTACTCTTGCTTGCTTTTAACGCAGTCTGTCTTGTCCTCCAATGCTACATGCGCAAGGACACGCAACGATGTTATATCAGATAGCGGCTCATCTGTGAGGACATTCGATGACTGCCTTTGGGTGTGGGCCGATGATAGAATACTTACCGCGAAAAACTTGGAGACATTCAATGCTACGTCGGTGGTTCCGTTCCGTTTGACAAGGCCGATAGGATTGGTCCGGTGGACTTATTGAATACGTGAGGCAGTGGAGCTGGTGTGTAGTTGACATTTCAACTCTAGGATCGTGAAATTACCATGATGGGAATTCTAGTCTTGCTTTTCACAACATATTTCCTAGGTACCTCTCTGGTATAGCGCCCGATCAAGCCCAAGTCAAACGGAGAGAGATGGTTTGGAGGATAGGGGGGTTGTTAGCGAGGACAACTTTCGGGCGATGTAGCAAGTGAAGTAAAATCAGTCGTACATGTATGTGTAAGCTCGTTTACGATAGCTAGCCCTATACTAGGTATTTATTGGAGATTTGCTTTCCAGATATTTGAGTGAGTAAACCGATCCGAGGACTTATATTTAGTTTAACAGGGCGTGGTAGTGTGGTATATTAAAACACCGATGTCATTTTCGTACTAAACGTACTAGATATAAAACACGTGCTAGGGGCCATGGCGGTATAAGGTTGGGACTCATAGCTACACTTATGATATCTGTCGTAGCGCTGGCATAACTATGAGTCCCGGTTGTATTGTGCTGATTCCGGGCACATTTCATCGGCATCTCGTTGGGTAGATACGGGGGGAATTCCAGATCCTCAATGGTATGAGTATTGGTGTTAGAAGAGTACGAGATAATGTGAGGGTTGGATATATCCCGTGAGATTTGGACCTGGTAGCTCGATTTGGCAGAATAAATAATCGGACTAAATACTACTATGACCTATTACTTGAATGTTAGGTGGTGTGATTTTTCTATTATTTTTGTCACTCCGAGGCAACGAGTTTTCTGAAAGTCAATATTGGGGTTCCTTCAATGACTGAGTGATCATTGCTAACATGATGATCCAATATAATATCCTGGTGGATAGCTCACGTAGAAAGTGTCAACCACTACATAGACAGATCAATATCAATACGGCTAGTAGCAGATAACTCGCGATTTCTACATGTCAAAGATGAAAAATGAAACTTACCACCGTCATCGTGATCTTGGAGTGAAGTGAAAAAGAGACTCAAGCCTCGATCTCAATCTTAACCCCATTCCTCACCTCAATCTGCCAAGTCGGTGGTTTCACGGCTATTGGCTTGACGAGAGGAGCATGTGGTCTTGGTATCGCCAGAAGAATGTACGAATCACTTCCACTTATCAAGCGCATGTCTCAGTATACGCCAAAAGGGGCCATTGGAGCTTATGGAGAGCCGTTCATTGACAGCGGTCGAGAACTATTATCTCGGTCTAGGCCCGTGTCTCTCTTTTCAGAAACGCCTTGCAGTATTCATCATCAACACTACAGTGCTCGAAGTTGTACATTAAGAACATTGAGTGTATCGATACTTTTGACTGGACATTTATACGCTTGGGCGTATATTATCTGATACTAGCTAGCTAACACTAACTAATTAACAGAAGCACGCCGTCTACGAACAAACATTAAACAGTTCAAGTGACACGGTCTGGTCTCATGAAGTTACACGTCGGTCCATTATTATACCGGACTCTTTTCGCCTCCATTTGGGCTTTGGGTTCACGCTGTTACATGCATACCTACGGTACCAAAGCACCGCATAGGAGCTTTCGGTGGGGGTAACGGGCCGGTGCATTGGTGACGTCGCTTTGGGTATCGAATATGCGAGTCGTTATTGCATACCTCCCTACTAACCCATCATCGGGTACCGTCGTGTTGCATCCATACGTCGTAGAACGAAGCAAAAAAGTAACATAACATAACATAACATAGTCAAACCTTCTATAACTATAGTTAACCATACCACCGCGCGCGATAAGTTTCCCGCGTTTAATAAAGGAGGTGTGTAGTAGTGTAAAGGTTGTATTTCGGCTTATACGCTAGGCACATACGTCATAAGGAGGCATTGGCGGTCAAGCACGAGGAAAAAAAACTAAAAAAAACTTACCGCAACCGCGCATCGTCATCACCGCCGTCGTTACGGGAGGTCAGGTCCACTTCGCTTTGTCGCAAAATTGTCCCACCGCGCCTTATCCGCTGACGAAAGACCGCTATGTGCGCAACGCAATCGTGGCGGTGGTGGTGGTGGTGGTTATTGTTACACCGAGCCGTGCATGGGCAAAGTGCGTGCAAAGTTCCCATACCATACACCATACCATTAGGTACACTACGAAAAACCCCATGGTTCTGGAGTTTGGGGGTGGGTGAGTTGAGTGGGTTAGGTGGATGGGTATAGTGGAGGAAAACGAGGGATGAATACACTACACTTACACTACATACACGCGGTCTAAAAAGACACGGGCCAATTCTAGGATCCTGGGTCTAGATAATACCTTGGATAATACTAGGTAAAGAACCGAATTAATGCCCCCTGCCGAGCCCGAGACGGCCCGTAATGTATTCCCCTACCAGTTAAAATTGACCAACGGCGAATCGGATGGGCCGCCCTTCTTCCTTTACTTGTCTCCGGCTCTTGAGACATTTTTGGGTTGAACGGAAGTCTTGGCTTCTGACGCGGTTATGTTGGCTTCTGCCGACAGGCTGATAGGATCGACCAGCTCGCCCAGCTTGCCCAGCTTTTGCCTAGCACGCCTTGAAAGTGAGGCTCCTTGGTAATTTCTTGCCTTTTTTTATTTTTTTTATTGTTTTCTTCTCTTGTCATTTATTTACTCGACATGTTTATTTTAGGTTCTGACCTTCTCCTTCGGTATCTTATTATTACAAACGTTTTATTATTATCATTATCGTAGCTTGGCTCTGTACGTTTGCGCGGCTCGCGCTTGGTGCTGCAACTCTATTGCTTTAATTGCGATAGAGCGACCCTGCCAAGAACGTCGATGATAGAAAAAGGGCCTGCTGTCCCCGATGGAGAGGAAGATCGTCGTGCTTCGATCTTGGCTACCAAGTTTACACAGCTACCATTGGCAATGCAGAGAGGGATGGCGAACATTTGATGTGAATAGGTACTAGCAAAGCCAAGCTTCCGATCCAACTGATTTATTTGTTTAAAATATTGCAATTCCTATTGACCAGAAAGGGCCTTAGGGGTAGCTTTTGGCATCTTTATCGTCTCTTGGCATGACGTGCAACTGTACGTGCTAAGAAGAGATTGTCTAATGAGGTTTGTTCTATCGAATAATAGCACCGTAAATAGAACACTGTATGTTATATTCGAAAACAGCAGCAGGATAGATACGGCTATTTGGGCTTACCAGGACGCTAGGTAGAATACGTATGTATTCTTGTATGTATATACTTACATATGTATGCCTATGTACATATATTTGATCATGTTAGATGTCTGCCACGATTGCTTCAAGTTTGGTTCTACGCATGGATGTATTGTACGACGGTAGCGTCGGTACGTGCCATACCCAAAAGTTTTGGGGGCGGGCGTACGCTAGGAAGAAGCAATCACCTTGGCTGCGGAGAAATCGAGAAACGATTAGATCTACCATGACCTTCAGGGCTACTGGGCTGAAAGGGGGCTTTTAATTGTCGGGGATAGTATTAAGCTTTCTTCGTTGTTACGCTGGCCTCGACTGTATTTTCCATGTATATGGACTTTGCTAAGGCAAATCGTCAACCGTAGCGGCGAAATTAAAAGTTCTTTTTCCCGCGTACCCCGTTCGTTAAAAACGCGGTCACTTAAAATGTATTAGCTCGATAGCGTGGCAAAAAACTAGTATCTTCTTAACGACAAAGCCAAGGGCTCCACGTCTTAGATATAGTTATGTTAAACCAACTAGAACCCTTCTTGCATCGATAAATAGTTCGAGACGTTGCTCTATCAATCTTAGCTCCTGTGACTTGCTAGAATCGGAAAACTTGAACCAATTGGCCGGGAAACCTTTGTAGTCGCAATTTTTCTAATGGGTCTAGGATGTATGTTCCATGTAAATCTCGCAGATGGCATGAGTAAGCACATATTAATATGAAAAAAAAAAAAAAGACTCACCAAAACCAATGGCGACTATATTGGTTAATAAATGAGGCATATTCATGATGATATTCCGCAAAACGATAACATGTTGACCGCATAGAACAACTATCGAATTGTTTCAAGTTCCATCAGCGAGTAACTAAGCTTTTTGTAGCCGGGTTTCATGGTAACTTGCGTGCATTAAACCCTTGCTTCGACAGCGCATAGCGTCTGGGGCGTTTGTTATTTCGTAGAATCGGAGAATCCCATGTGTCACAAGAAGTTCTTACAGCATCTGATTCGTACAATATAGATGATAAGGTATGTACATGGATAATGTACGTATTTAGACTAGGCGCGGCTCCAATAGGGGTTGAGAAATAGGAGACGTAAGTAACGCCTCGCATAAAGCCGTGGACGAAACGAGCTTTACGAGGCTAGATTATTCTTTTATTGCGTAAGCCGCTACAGCGCCAACGCGAGCGCGAGCGATTGTCGGCTGCTCGGAGACACGACGGGCATTGTCAAATATCGGAAGTCAGGTACATGTTGGGAAAGGGTCCTCCCCGTACTTCGTAGCGGATAGGCTTAAGGAACCCTCGGAGACCAAGCTATTCTCACCTCGGCAGACCGTAAACAAACCAGAAATTGCTCCTTGGGGAGAGGAACCACATAATGTCCGAATAAAAGCCATTGGACCACTGACAAGGAGTTAAAACGTGGGCCGCTAAATGGGAAAATCTTTTAGCGACACGAGCGGCTCGATCCTCGGATCCTCCCAGTATCATTTTACGGGATCCTTACTGTACCACCTAGCCCCCATGTGGCCTGGCTATCCTGAATCCAGAAGCCTGCAAACGGCGAGGCGGACGCCCATTTAGCGCAATCACGTACTCCAGACGGGCACACCCCAGTCGTACGAATCCCGATTTTCGAGATTACCTTTTGTCGTCAACCTGATTGGCGAAATTACCTTACTAAGGTTCCAGATTTGTATGCATATTGTAAGTCCTGATATTAGGAGGTTATTACTGCCCACGCGACTACTTTCCTTGCAGTGAGCGATTTGTACGTCAGATTCATTTACGAGGTTTTTTTTTTTTTTTTTTTTTGATGAGCAGACGACGCATATGATGAATGTGAAACTGCGCGATAATATTGGCTAGGCCGGTGCAATATGATGAACCTTTGCGCAAATATGAAGCAGACGGCTGTTTTCGAGATGGCGAAGATGCCGATGACCGAAAAAAGGCCATGGGCGATTTCTGAAATCTAGCTGTTTCGTCTAGACTTGGGCCTAAAAGACCTATATGGCGCAAAGGCCATCCGAACTTATTAAGGTTGACTTATTGACGATGCACCCGGAACTAAGGCTCTCCGTATATACGAAGGGGCACAGAGCGGATATCGGATGTAGAATTGACGGTGGCCACGAGAACTACAAGCGGCAAGCTTTGTGGAGTTACGGCCATACCGAACGAATACCCATCCGAGAAATTGCGGCAGACAAAGGGTGCTTTCTCCTTTCACCGAGCTTGCTTTCCCGGAGCATGTCGGTGAAAGCCTTGCCGCGGGAGTAGAGGGAGAAAATTTAGTTGCGAGAGTGACATGTCCATACATGTGGTCTGTGACCTGTAGCTGGGGTACGTGTCTGTAGTGTAGGTCTGGGAAAATGCGGGATTGGTCCCCCCATGGGCATTATGACGTATGAAAGTAAGCCACATACGCCAGATAGGTCGTCTGAAATTATAGGAATTGCTACCATCATTCAGCACCGGGTTCAATTAATCCACGCCGCGAGCATTTGACGGGTCGCGTTCCCCTAGCTAACCTATGCCCCATTGCTATCGATGCCCTGAGGCTAGTAGACCGAGAAATAAAGCCGCATTTGGTAGGTTACCGACAGGCAAGGCAGTACGTATAGTACTCCACGTTAAGAATGACGATTGTCGGTTGATAGGGATAGACTGGGCATTTCCCGGATCCCCCAATAGCGAATTGGGAGAGCTGTAAATAGTTAATGGCATGGTATGCTCTAATAAAACAACTCGATACATTTTGTTTCTTAGCAGGATCGACAGGACCGGGTGGGTTCCAACGCCTTTCCGCTTTCGAAAGCAGCTTTGCTCATCGTCTTGAATGGAAAATGGCTCATAATGCTGGTAAAGATAGCAGTACATATGTACCCTGGATTACCTATTATGTATGTACCGCGCATGTGTGGCCTAGCGTTCTGCTGCTTTGCAGCTTTGCAGATGGTGTGGGTGTTAGGGTAGCATAGCACAGTAATGAGGCGCACTGACTCGCCATTCGACCGGCTTTCATCGCTTTCATCGTACAACCTGGCACTGTGAGAGACTAACATTTTAACATGAATGGACATGGAACATGGGTGGCCCTAGTTCGATGGCTAACAGCCCTCGCATAAGCCCATGGATCCCATGGGTCCAGAGAGATAAACCGTGCTTCCCGAATGCAGAGAGCTTAAGGAATCTTGATTTAGGATGAGCCTGAAGACCAGAGGAGAGAAAAAAAAAATCTCACCAAAACAATTAAACCAGAACTATTCGCATGCCAACCATCGCATAAAGATAGACGAATAGGTCCTGAAAACATGTCAATTGGAAAGAAGAAATGCCTCTACAGCTCCAGAGGTATTCTCTTTAGAGCTTTGACCGTAAATTAGTTGTGGAAAAGTCGGTGCGCGTGTTGTCATCATGGGCGAAATCGAGTTGTAAATTCCCGCAAGATCAGAAAGTTCATGGGGTGCTCCTACTCTTTTGCTCTGGAGATGGGATGTGGAGTCGAAGCTGTTCAGGTACCGAAAGGTGGAGCATGCAGGGACCGAGTCACACTGTGACTTGTACTTCCCTATCTGTAGTAGAGTTCTTAAGGTGTATACTTTACCTAAATCAGTAGTTAGAGAGGTACAGTTACAAAGCCATCCACTTAGTATTGCGTGGGATGCATCGTACCTTCGGCCCCTGAGTACTAATGGCGCATAGAAGCAATTTCCCCATGGACAAGCGTAGTTAACCTAGCTACACATGCATCTGAATGTGAACGTCAATGTCAACAAACCTTAAGGTTAACAGGGTAAAGTGTACATACACACATGTCCATTATGACAGATAAAGACTTTAGTGGTGTAAAGACTAAGTACCTTATGAAATTGTTACGACTATGAGAGTTTATGTAGGTACCTCCTACACTATTTTGAGTTATTAAGATGCCATTGTTTCTTAAGCTTTGCGGTGCAACTAACACCTCGGCAACGAAGGTATTCTACTACAAAAATCACGCGTGCGTATGTACAAGCACGTACCTTAAACATTGAATTTAGAGGGTGGTATTCTGAATATCGCCCTGGCTTGGCCAATAGGGATCTATTAGACGTTAATGAGTGGATCCAGTGGAAACGCACAGAAGGCAAGTCCACACTGTGTTAGTCTGTACTGCTACTTCCATGTAGTGAGCCATTGGAAGCTTGGTCGACTAAGTGCCCCACTCTCGGAATTAGCTGCTCTCTCTTGTCACTCTGTTTCTCTCACCTTATAAAGAATTTGCTCTCCCACGTTGGACGCGCTTTTCTCTTTTTTCCTTCCCATCACGTTGAAGACTTTCGGCTGCTCTGGCTTGTCAATTCCCCCCCAAGGTCGTCCGTGGTGCCTTCCCGCCAAATCTCCCCTCTCCCCTCCTTCTGCGTGATTAGTCTGAACGTCGTCTACCTTACTCTCACGACAATCATACTTCACCAAAAAAACAATATCGTCAATTTTTACCTACCTTTCAACCTAATCAGCATTCCAGTCGGATCCTATTGTCGCCTACGCAGTTCGCCTATCCTGGACTAATAATAATAATTACCTGGACTCGGTCCCTCAAATCTCTATTTAATCTGGTTTGACATTGAGTATCGCTCAACTGTCATAACCGAAACTCGCCGTCATGGCCGAGTCAAACGCCGCCGCTCCGGCGCTTCATACCAACATCGAGTCGGGTAACTTCGACGAGAAGGAGGCTCACCGCGCCCAGAATCCCACTGTTGCCAAGCCTGCTAAGGGTGAGGATGAAGAAGAGGATGAGGACATTGATGCCTTGATCGAGGACCTCGAGTCGCAAGATGGCAACGCTTTCGACGAGGAGGAGGAAGAAGAAGGACAAGCTGCCGGTTCCGGTCGTGTTGTACCGGAGGAGATGCTCCAAACTGATACTCGCGTTGGTCTAACAGAGGGTAAGTTTAGCATTGCGACGCGACTTCAGGCATATGAACTAACTTGAATACAGCTGAGGTTACCAACCGCCGCCGAAAGTATGGTCTCAATCAGATGAAAGAGGAGAAGGAAAATCTCATCCTCAAGTTCTTGGTGAGTATTCATAACATCCTGTGCAATACCTATCGTTTCCTAATCTGAAATAGGGTTTCTTTATTGGTCCTATTCAATTCGTCATGGAGGCTGCCGCTGTCCTTGCTGCCGGTTTGGAAGATTGGGTCGACTTTGGTGTCATTTGCGCTCTACTACTTCTCAACGCCTGTGTTGGTTTCATTCAGGAATTCCAGGCTGGTTCAATTGTCGATGAGCTGAAGAAGACTCTTGCCCTCAAGGCTGTTGTCCTCCGTGACGGAACTCTTAAGGAGGTTGAAGCTCCCCAAGTCGTCCCTGGTGATATCCTCCAGGTCGAAGAGGGTACTATTATTCCTGCTGATGGCCGAATCGTCACCGATGATGCCTTCCTCCAGGTCGATCAATCTGCCATTACTGGTGAATCTCTCGCCGTCGACAAGCACAAGGGTGACCAATGCTTCGCTTCTTCGGCTGTCAAGCGTGGTGAGGCCTTCATGGTCGTTACCGCCACTGGTGATAACACTTTCGTCGGTCGTGCTGCTGCCCTTGTCAACCAGGCTTCTGCTGGTTCCGGTCACTTCACTGAAGTCCTCAACGGTATTGGAACTGTGTTGTTGATTCTGGTCGTCTTCACCCTTCTGGTTGTCTGGGTTTCTTCTTTCTACCGATCCAACCCTATCGTTGACATCCTCCGTTTCACCCTTGCCATTACTATTGTTGGTGTCCCCGTCGGTCTTCCGGCCGTTGTCACTACAACCATGGCTGTCGGTGCTGCTTACCTTGCCAAGAAGAAGGCCATTGTTCAGAAGCTTTCCGCCATCGAGTCTTTGGCCGGTGTTGAGATTCTCTGCTCTGACAAGACCGGTACCCTGACCAAGAACAAGCTCTCTCTGTCTGAGCCTTACACTGTCGCCGGTGTTGACCCCGAGGATCTTATGCTTACTGCCTGTCTCGCTGCCAGCCGCAAGAAGAAGGGTATTGATGCCATCGACAAGGCTTTCCTCAAGTCTCTCAAGTACTATCCTCGTGCCAAGGGTGTCCTTTCCAAGTACATTGTTAAGGAGTTCTTCCCCTTCGACCCTGTCTCAAAGAAAGTTACCGCTGTTGTCGAGTCCCCTCAAGGTGAACGCATTACCTGTGTCAAGGGTGCCCCTCTGTTCGTTCTAAAGACCGTCGAGGAAGACCACCCTATCCCTGAGGAGATTGACCAGGCCTACAAGAACAAGGTTGCTGAATTCGCTACCCGTGGTTTCCGTTCTCTCGGTGTTGCCCGCAAGCGTGGTGAGGGTGCCTGGGAAATCCTTGGTATAATGCCTTGCTCTGACCCCCCTCGTCACGATACTGCCCGTACTATCAACGAAGCCAAGCGCCTAGGTCTCTCCATCAAGATGCTTACTGGTGATGCCGTCGGTATCGCTCGTGAAACTTCTCGTCAACTCGGTCTTGGTACCAACGTCTACAATGCTGAGCGTCTTGGTCTTGGTGGCGGTGGTGACATGCCTGGTTCTGAGGTTTACGACTTCGTCGAGGCTGCTGATGGTTTTGCTGAGGTTTTCCCCCAACACAAGTACAATGTCGTCGAGATCCTTCAACAGCGTGGTTACCTTGTTGCCATGACTGGTGACGGTGTAAACGATGCTCCCTCATTGAAGAAGGCTGATACTGGTATTGCTGTCGAGGGTGCCTCTGACGCTGCCCGATCTGCTGCCGATATCGTCTTCCTTGCCCCCGGTCTAGGTGCCATCATTGATGCTCTTAAGACTTCCCGACAAATCTTCCACCGTATGTACGCTTACGTCGTATACCGTATCGCTCTTTCTCTTCACTTGGAAATCTACCTCGGCCTGTGGATCGCAATCTTGAACCGCTCCCTCAATATTGAACTGGTTGTCTTCATTGCCATCTTCGCCGATGTTGCCACTCTAGCTATTGCTTACGACAATGCCCCCTACTCCATGAGCCCTGTCAAGTGGAACCTCCCCAAGCTTTGGGGTATGTCCGTTCTCCTTGGTGTTGTTCTTGCCGTCGGTACCTGGATCACTGTTACCACCATGTACGCTCAGGGCGAGAACGGTGGTATTGTCCAGAACAATGGTAACATGGATGAGGTTCTTTTCCTTGAGATTTCTCTTACTGAGAACTGGCTGATCTTCATTACCCGTGCTAATGGTCCTTTCTGGTCTTCTATCCCTTCGTGGCAGTTGACTGGTGCCATTCTCCTTGTCGATATCCTTGCCACCTGCTTCACCATCTGGGGTTTCTTCGAAAACGGAGCGTTGACTCACATTGTCGCCGTTGTCCGTATTTGGATCTTCTCCTTTGGTGTCTTCTGTATCATGGGTGGTGTTTACTACATCCTCCAGGACAGCGTTGGATTCGACAACCTCATGCACGGCAAGTCCCCCAAGGGCAGCCAAAAGCAGAGATCGCTCGAAGACTTCGGTAAGTTACACTTCATCACTTTTTGGTTTCATGAACTCTTAACTAATATGTTTCATAGTCGTCTCTCTCCAACGTGTCTCTACTCAGCACGAAAAATCTCAATAGTTCGTCTCCCGATGAAACGGACGAGCCGCTCCTTTTGCGGTGGTCGTCGGTCGGGAAGGCTCTTAATTGGTGTAACATACTCTTGCCTTCGGTTTATAAATTAGATATATTCCGCACGGGCTCAGTTGTTCACTTCATTTCCTTCTTGTAAACTGAAATACCACGGCGTATAGGCCTTCGGTTACGTCATACCCATGTCTCTTAGACTTAATTACGTACGAATGAAAGAAATATAAAATATATGACTATGTCAAATGTGAAACCTGGTGTTGTACTTGTTGCATTCCCTTGAAATTGACTGAAGTTGTGACCCTTTTTTATTATTTTTATCTTATGAGGTAGTGAATTTTTATATGTAAATAGCAAAGCATTCATGAAAAGGTCCAGTCTCAATTAAGACTATTCTTATAAGCGTGTTACCTTTATCTGTGTGCGTTATACTGCCTAGTGTAGTCAAATCGTTATAGTCGGTATTGCCCCAGTCTTGATAAGAGTATAGCGCCCCGGTACAATGGTATACCGCTATGCTGGTACCATGTAGTTGAATGCTCTTATCTTATTCGCTCAAGTACCTGCATCTAGTGTAGCATTTGAATGATCCCTAAATGAAGGCAATTATCTACCTCGAATTCTTTTTTTATATTATGCAAATATCACAATTATCAAATTTCCTGGATGGGAGTTCAAGTTATATAAACGTTCCTTCCTGAGATATTTCACAGGTTCGTTATCGCATTATCCCGCCTAAATACTGCAGTCTGTTAAGTTTGGCAGTCACGACGTAGTTTTCTACTTTCACCTTCTGCAATACATCAGTTTTTCTCTCCACAAACCAACCACTTTCCTTTACAAACTGACAACATTCTTGTACCAATTAACATTTTTTCTTCTTCTTACGATTCGGAAATATTCCTTTACCAATCAATCATTCCCGTGTACAAATCAGTAACTTGCCTCTAGAAATCGGCGATTTCTCCCTACAAATTACCAACATACCTATCTCTTGATCGTCAACCCGTTTTTTTTTTTTTTTTTTTTGCAACGTCTAACTGCATACAACCCGTGAACCACGTTCTAAATTTGAACAAAATGCCTCCCAGAGAGATTCCAGGATATTATTGGGGTAAGTTACCTTGTTTGCCCTTTGATAGCTAAAATATTGGTGATATGTTGTGATTTTCTAGCCGCAATTCTGTCAAACTATCATGATATTTTGGGACTACTTCCTTAGCATTCCCATAATGTTTTCATTCCTTTCTATAGGTGATCCTATAATCATCTCATTTGGCCTTATCTGCAATCCTATATCTACTTTCTTTATTTCCTCTATTTCTTCTACCTCTCTTAGTTCCTCTACTTCCTCTACTTCCCCCCTTTCCTCTCTTGTTCACGTCGGCGATCCCAGAACCCCCTTTTTATTGCTAAGGATTTCATAATCCCTCTCCTCCCACCAGTAATTTCATATCACTAACCTATTTCCTCATAGATAAGGATAAGAAGCGTTACTTCAAAATCGAACAGCGCAAGACGGCGCCGAGAAATGCAGTCTGGTCTTCTGATAGTGTCAAGAAGCGTAAGGTCGAGGACGCAGAGGCTGCTGAGCATGCCCATCAAGTTGTGCTGAACAAGAAGCGCATTGTTCGTTCCGAGACCCTGGAGCACCCTCTCATCGGCGGCTTCCTAAACCGTGAGTTTGGTGTGCCTAGACGCGATCATATCGCAACTTCTTTTTCGCATGGCATAGTTGAGAAGGGTGCTGTTGAGTTCACCTGGGGCCCACAGCAAACCGCGCTCACCCACATGGTCGTCACCAACAAAGGTCCCAAAGGACTATGCAAAGTCTACGCAAGTAAGTTTATGATATATAAAGATCGCCGACTGCATAGGCTAATTCTATAACCCCCAAGGTCCCGATGGAAGAGTATGTGATTCGGCCTATACCTTGAGAGACATCGAGTCAGGCAGGTACGGAATAAGCTATAACCCCCTATATTCTATATTCCTCTCTATCTTCTAGATTTATAGATATACTAATATAGCCTTCGATAATAGACTAGGTTCAAAGTTCCGTGCCCGGTTACATGACGGCCAGTTGAATGATGCACAAGCCCTTCATCTAGGACCAACCCACGAAGCTGTCCCATCGCCGATGGCAAGCATCGGCTATAGCAGCAAATATGATGCCACTATTGTTATCCCTCGCCAGTTCCAAAGACCTGACCCCGTCTTCGTTCGCTTCAACAGAGATGCACACAACGTACTAGCAAATAACCTCATAACCCGCCAGCCCCCCGTCAACCCCCTCCGCCATATAGAGACCCACCTTCCATGGAGTACTAGTGAGTAGAGTGATTGGATTGCCTTAATTTGTGAACAAATGCAGACAGTATACTAACTAGACTTAACTATTAGACTTTTCTACATGCCGAGATCAGATAGAGGCCCTCTCATTATGCATAGCTCCATCTACCAACTCCGATCTACTTTGCGTAATTGGTACGACTCACGGCCTAGTCTACTACAACAATCTCGGATACATGGCAGTGCCGTTTGCCCTAGGTAGCTTCAACCTCAGCGACCCCAAGGGCCGACCCCCCACCGCCGATACCTTTGGTATCACATTCAAGGATCCCAACATTCTCTTGTTCGGCGGTCGTCCTGGCCGTTTGTTCACTGGGGACCTACGGTGTGAATATCCCAAATGGACCAATATTAGGGTCCGCGACACCATCACCCATGTCAAACAAGTCGGCGAGCACAAAGTCCTGGTTGCCGGCCTACGAAACATGCTCTCCGTCTTCGACACTCGCTATTATGCATCTGAGCACCTGCATACAAAACCCAGGACCACAACCACCCCCTTCCTCCAGATCGCTGGCTATAAGAACGGCCCGTACCTCGATCTCGGGCTGGATGTGGATAGGGACTCGGGTGTTGTGGCAGCGGCCCATGATGATGGGAAGATGGCGCTGTACTCAGTGCACACCGGGCGTCGACTCCGCTGTGCGGATGTCGATGGGATTGCAGCGGGGAGCCCGATCCACTGTGTCCAGTGGGAGACGTTTGTTGGCGATAATGCGCCGAGCTTATTCGTGGGCGCGGATCACCGCGTCGGGGTTTACTCGTTTGGGGTTAGGGACCCTGACGCGGATGAGTAGGGTCTTGCGCCTTGCGGTTTGGGTTGGGTTGTGGGTGCCGGTGCCGGTGCCGGTGCCGGTGCTTCGTAAGAGGTTGTTTCTTTGGTTGTGTGTTTGAAGACTATCACAGCATTGCATTGCATTGCATCACACGGCATTGGAAGGCGTTTGAATCACTTGGCTTTGCTTCACTTGGCTATTTGCACCAATAACAAAGGATCGAATGAACGGAAAAGGGGGACGGAAAGAATCTTTGCATTTTTGAAAGGGGGATAAACATCTTGCACATCTAGCTTGGCTTGTGATTTATTTGTTTACTTTAGATGGATATACCCGATCTTTATTTCATTAGGGTTCATAGTTGCTTTAGCATAGGGGAGTCATAATTGATATTCTTGCTTGGCTTGAGTATTTATGCCTTTTGCCTATTTGTGACTGTTTTTGTTATTTTTACTATTGTTGTTAAACAGGGGGAGTGAACAAGTGGATGCTGGTGTCTGTAAAGAATACTGTTGTTTAGATGGTAAAGATGCGTAGTAAGATGTCAGTTACCTAGGTAAGTATAAACCTACCTTGTACACATATATAATAAGACGTTGTTGTATTGTGTATGCATGTAAGTCTGTCTGCAAGTAGAGGAAATGCGTTAACCCTCTATTGGCTTAAAGTAGTTATACTTATTCACCGTGAAACAATATATATATAGATCGCCGCGGTCACGACTTGTATATGGATTTAGAAGTGTTCCCCTATTTAGACTAAAAGAGAAATAACTAAGGGGGGGGAAGAAAGTCTAAAAAGAGATCATAGGATAAATGGTATACCGGGATATGTTTTACCATTGCCCACTTCATTCCAGACACAAGCTTTACTTCTCTAAAAGAATAATATCATATACGGTTGCTTTTTAGATTCTCTCCGACAGGCATTGTATAAGATGGTTTACAAGGCTAGGTATGTAGGTAGGTGTATAACTTGGGCTAATACGCTATAACTAGGTTCGTTTATACTCACTCTTCATACTATAGCTTACTCGGGAGACAGGGATGTTATTAAACACTATTGTATTGAAATATTGAGCTACGAGTCATATATATATATACCTACATATACTCGTATTATATAACTAGGTGGATAGATGAACTTTTTATACCCCCATGACAATCTACCTTATATATCTCCTGACCCAAGGACATTCCTTAGGTCTTATCTTATTTCTATCCAATCCCTTGTTGAATATAGCTAAACCTTCTCAAGAATAGCAGGATCCTGATACTTGCTGTATTATCCCCGTGAGAGGCTGTATATATAAATCCCTCTTTTATGTGTTGCGTATAGCATAGACGGAATAACCCCGTGCCCGCCTTATATAGGTTCGTATATATGGATAGATATATATAGATATACTAAATTAACCACCGCTAAACTGGCCATCCGCCATATCCCCCGGGGCGCTAGTACATCTTTTGAGATTATACGTACCCCTGAGACGAGGAAACGCCTTATCGAAAGATTCGCCCAGCGTCCAGTTCTCGAATCTTCTCAGGTGACGTTCGAACACAGGGTTGATCAATAATTCGTTCCCATCCGGGCTCTGGAGTAGCGTGTCTGTGGCCTCATACGGCCAGTTGAGGGAGATGGTAGTTGTGAATGGGATGAAGAAGTTATCAAATAGAAACTCAACAGGATTATACTCCTTTGCGAGCTTCTCTCGCATGTGTGGGAAGGGAAGGTGGTCTATCCACGCCGGATGGGCAATTTGTAGCTGTGCTGGTGTGGGGAGCGCAAAAGGGGGTAAGAGGTCATAGTTCTCTTGCGTAGGGCTAACTTGCCACCGCATGACGAGAAACATATAGTAGAGCACAGCTACGCGCTCCGGAAGCCCGCTCATCCCTGGAAAGGCCGCTAATATGTCTGTAAAGACCTTGGAGAGTGGATGAGAGAATACGCTGTTGGCTGGGTTGAGTAGCGATGAGACGGAGGGATATCTCGGACCGATTATGTCCCGCGTAGGAACGCCCTCTGCGGCCCGTTGACGTCTCTCTTGTAGGAACTCAAGAAGTAGGCTATCTAGAGGACAGGTCGACGGGCCGTTCTTGATAGGGGCCGAGTTGCCAACCCAAGACGACTCAACCGGCTGGAATACATTCCGCGGTGCGTACTCTATGCGATGCTGTTGGTGTTGGTGCGGTCCGCTATTGACGATCGCATGGTTCCGAGGGGGCGGAAGCAAGCCGACGTTCCAATCATGTTTCGTAGGAAGGTGCTGATATCCTGGTGTATCTTGTGCTCCATTTACCCCGGTTTGCATCCTATTCACACGATGTGAGGGGTCAAGAAGAAAATCAAGTTTGAGCTGCTCACCAGCACCAAGATCTAAGTTATGAAATAGATCATGTCGTTGCTGGTTTAGCATTACCTGGGTGAAATGTGGACTTGGATGAGCCTGTGATTGTGCTTGGCATGGTGTATCTGCTGCGGAAGGAGACGTAGCGCTCATGGGTGTCGAAGCATTGTAACTGGTAGGAACAGAGGGCGAACGCTGCGCAGTCTGAACCGGTGTGATATTAGGGATAGGAGATGCGTAAGCTCCATCGACTAAAACGAGAAGGTTAGTCTACTGTCTACCTATTATTTTTCATAACATTATTTGCTTGATCAAACTAACTGACCTTGTTGATTAGATAATATAGGTTGTATTAAGGATAAGACAGAGGCCAGCCGGCCTTTAATCTCGGCATTCTCAGCCTCGATAGCCTCCTTGGCCCGTATAGCGGCCTGGAGTTCCTGATATGGTTGTTGTGAAGTTAATTCGCGAATCCGCCTCTCGAGAGTCTCGATCTGATTCTTAGTGCGTTCGCGGATGGCCCTTTGCGCCTCCCGGTCTAAGGGAAGGAGATAAAGGTAGTTAGTAAGGGGTATAAAAACATATGTAGGGTTACATTAGATTAGAGTAATGTCACAATTAGGGAAAAGTTATTATATTTATACATCTGGGGCATAATTACGACGGCTCGGCTTACGAGGCTCGTTGGATATACGACGAGATGATAGGGTCTGGAATAAGGATCTGGAATATGGAATATGGATCTGGGTAAAAGTCTTTAAGGTGTGGATCTAATACCGTTTGCTCTCTTCTTGGCAAGCTGCTCTGGCGTTAAGTTTGCTACACCCCTTGAGCTGGGACCGGTCCGGCGTTTCTTAGTCCGCTGATCTTCGAGATAACCCGAGACATGGTCACGGCCCGCCTGGGAAGAGGCGTTCCCAGAATCGGAGGATTGTCCATTCTCCTGGGAAGGACCGGGTTTGTGGAGATGACCGAGGACGTCGGGTTCGGTCCGACTATTCTCGGAAGGACTACCGGTAGTTATGGGGTTAGTGGAGGAGGAAGCTCGATGATGGTTAGCGTTGGTGTTGGTGTTGGTGTTGGTACTGGTACTGATGCTGATGCTGGTGCTGGTGCTGGTTTCGGTATTGGTGTCAGGATTGACGAAGGTGGAGAAGGAAAAAGCTTCGTTAGCGGAAGGGTGCATATCACAAAAGTACTTATGATAGTACTATAATAGTACTAAATGTACAACAGATATTCCCGTAGTACGGTAATGTAACTGGAGTATCATGGCATTGGTAGATTGGGTAGATTGGGTAGGCGAGAGAAAGTGGGCGCAACGCTGGTGTCGGGGAACGGGGAACGGGGTAAAGCCTGATTTGGTTTGCGTTAATTGACTGGTCAATTTTAAAAACTTGTCCACATGAAGATCGCCTTTCATGATTCAGTGACACCAAGTGGATCCATATCGGTTTAGTTGACCTACGAGTCAGGAAATAAACCTGCCGACAGAAACCACTAACAACCGACGGTCCCGATCTATCTTTATTTTAATTGGTTGAAGTTACCGATTAAGCTGTTAGAGCTCTAGTGGGCCTACTTAATAGCTACCCCTAGTTGCAGCTCGCTTGTTAATTTCCCTAATAGTCTTTTTTCCCTTTAAGTACCTCATGTAGTTCTAGCTATAGAATATTAGGTAGTTACTTCTAATTATCGCCGACTACGATGAAACCGTCTCTTGACAGGTACCTATTATTTTAAGTGAAACCACTTTCAGCTCCATCGTGTAATACATTTGTATAACTATAGCGTCTCTAAACTACCTATTATGTAGATAGTAGCTCTTAGTGTAAACCACCAACCATGATAAATGCGCCCCGTCTCGTTTCTCGTCGAAAAGCATCAACCTATTACATCGACTATGTGCGGACAAACCAAGGAATGCGTGCATACACGCCCACGCCCACGCCCACGCTATCCGCTTTATTTCTTCTCTTAGTCCTATTTGTACACTTGAATCCCATTAATCCGCCGAAGCTCGAGCAAGAGCTTCGTGCAGGTGTGGCGGGAACCTATATCTCAGCTGGCTTGTGTATGTCGTTAGATCCATGCTGATCTGCTTGAGGTTGTCACACATCATCCGTCGAGTGCCTTCGTTGCCGCTGAACTGCCCGCTCATGAGCCGCTCTCTCTGTTGGATGCAGCACGTAATAGTCCACATAAGTAGGTTCGGTACGTTGATGGCAACAGTCTGGGACAGTCCCGAAAATGTTGCTGCGTAGTGTCGGATCCTAGCCGGATCGCCGTTAGCATCCAGCGGTAGGATCTCTAACCCGCGTATTTTCTGCGTCATTAATTAGTATTTAATATACCCACAACGGGCCGAGAATTAATAAAACACTTACATCTAACGCCTCGGGCCATTGACCACCCTCGACCAAGCTCTTGATATCGCTCATTTGCAAGAGGATATGACACGCGATCCGGTTCTGTTCCTCGACTCTCGTATAGAACATGGCGTCCTTTTCGTACATCGACATCATTGTCATCGCGAGCTGGATGGGATCGTCGATAGATGCCAGACTCAAGCTGCTGCCAACTTGCGCCTCTGGGTCCTTGCCATCTGTTCGGGGTTTAACTGGCATCAAGCGCATGGGATCCTCGCCGATCTCTAGTGAGATGGCCTCGCTTAGCGCGCGACTCACTATAGTCACTACACTATCATAGTCTCCAGCTAAATGATACAACAGCACTGCATCCGTTGTTCGCCCGTTATCATCCGCGAACCGGGCTGCCTGTAGCGTAACGGTCTTCACGAAGTCATCTTCCTCCCGAAGACCGATGAGTGAGGCACGTTCTTCGACGAGACCTGTAATGCGGCGCCCATCCGGTCTAATATCACCAATGAGTTTACTAAACTCTCTGGTCTCTAAGATAAGTTCTCGCAGAGCCGCATGGCAAAGCTCTGCTTGTTGCCGTCCCGCTTCGCCACCCAGGTCTGCATTGAGGCAGATCAGAGTTAGGTAATCGACAGCCGAAGCAACGTCAGCGGCTCGGAAATCGCGCGTGTAATATCCTAGCATCCGCCCAAAGCTTAACTGTGGTCTGGAGCGAGTATCGTGCGATAGAAGCGAGTCCGCCGTGGTCCAGGGGTCCGCAGGGCGTAAAAGACCATAATATTCGAGGCCTATGGCGAAGTGGATAGCATCCACGTAAGAGAAAGCATACAGGTATGAGATAGCTTGTTCGAACATGCCCGAGAGGATCTGTAGGAAGAAAAACATGCCGAAAGTGCCATTATCGTCCTCGCTAGGAGACTTTGGAAAGTGTTTGAGGCCGATATCCCGGATGCTTGTTCGTAGGTCCTGTAATCCGTAAGACTCTGCAGCTACTTCGGTTGCCTTGTCATTCTCGCGAGCGAGGTTGAACTGAAGCCATATCCAATCTTCAATCTCCGTGTTCAGGCCGTCAAGGCTGCGATTGCTCACGTCGCAGCGTCCCACAATCTTATAACAAGCCATTCGGTACGGGTCGATGGAATTCTCCGGTGCGTTACGAGCTCGTTGGTTGTACTCGTTATTGCAGCGCTCCTGCAACTGACGCCTTAACCGCCTATCGGGGCTACTAACATACTCGAGGAGGTATGATGCAAAGGTACGATCAATACTCCGGAAAGTAGTCGACTGGGCCTTAACATAATCAGCCGCCTCGGCAATCTTTCCAGATCGTAGCAGATAAAATACGATAGCCCAGACGAATTCGCCGTCGACTTGTTGAAGATCGATGTTATCAGGCACAAGGTCTTTCCGCGAGTGTCGTAATCGAACATATGCCTTGATCTTGCTAACGACGTCCGGGCGACCTCCCAAATTCGCTTCTCTTGGGTATTTGGCGATGACGTTCTCGATCTCCTGGAAAAACTTCCTCTCTAAGAAGGCGTTCGCGCCATTAAGAATTCTTTTTCGCATTTCTATTGATCCGGAGGACTTGTCATTCACATCCAAGTATTTGTCCTTGAATTGGCGTTCCTTTGCCGTGGCATCACCCGCGAACGTCTCCGCTTCTGGATTTTCCCCGACGATAGTCATAGCAGCGTGATAGGCATCGACTAATTGCTGAGCATGTCTATCACCAGAATTTCCTGCCACCTGCGCAAGCTCGTGTAGGATAGGGTAAGGCTGCTTCTCGATTCGGCAAAGATTAAGTTGTCGAACTCGTTCCGCGAGGCGCCCCTGTTTCTCTCTGAGAAATCGATCGTCGATCGAAGTAGCACCATTTAGGGCACTCGGGGTCCCCGTTGCATCCTGGATATCCGTAAATTCGGTCTTGTGACTACCAATCTTGCTGGGAGTGCCAATGACCGACTTCTGAAGATTTGACCGTCCAAATGCGCTGGACTTGATACCTGCTACCGAAGACCGCGCCGCCTTAGTTGTTCGTCGCGACCGACCAAAGCCCGCATGCGACTCTCTGTTGGCTGCTCCCGGCGGTCCTTCAACGGGTCCATCGTCTTTAGTCTTGATGCCAAAGTGTTCGTAGATACGCTTCCTCTGTGCCTCCCACTCCATCGTAACGTTATCTTCAAGGAAATTATCGAAGTCCCTAGCCGATCTTTCCAGACCGTCAGCGATCATACTAAGAGTCGTCTTCTTCTGTATATTCGAGAGATACGTATCGATGTCAACGTCCACGGCGGGAGTGGACGTAGGGCGGTCGACGCGGCCTCCGATACGGACGTCGAAATCGTTCAAGTCTCGCACCGCTGCTGCCGGCTCGACGCCAGACGCGGCCAGGATAAAGCGAGCTTTGTCATGAGCTAAAGGGTCCGCTCGCGGGCCTAGCTTTCGAAGGCGCTGACGAAGGTCTCCAAGACCAAGCTGAAGGCTGGGAAGATCTTCGAGTGGTGATTGTTCGCTACCTTGCTTTTTGCCTTTCGAGAGCAAGCTGTCGAAGTACCCTGTCGTGTTACCCTGGGGTAGCCCGCTGGCATTTATCTGACCGACTCCAAGAATAGATGATAGTCCTTGAGATTGTCCTTGAGCTTGGTTGTTTGTGGGCTGTCCGGTATAGCCGAAGTAACTACCAGCGGGCTGGGTGGTTGAGGCACCAAACATGCCTCCTGCTTGCTGCTGCTGCTGCTGCTGCTGATTACCGGTATATAGTCCACTAAGTCCTCCCGCTGGAGGCTGCTGTTGACTTGAAGGAGCTGTACCGAACCTGTTAAATAGGCTGCTGGTTTGGTTCGGTTGGGCCGTAGATGATGTACCGGCAATATTTGCAAACGGAGATTGTCGTTGTTGCTGTTGCTGTTGCTGCTGCGCAGGATTAATAGTAGAACCAAATAACGAAGATGTCGGCCCAGTAGAAGCTGTATTGGCCGTTTGGTTGACACCGCCAGTGCCTAATGTCTTTCCGAACAACGACATCTCGAAATGAAAATGATAGGTCGGCCACTATTGGGAGATGGTCGGGTTGCTGCAATTGGCAGCTGAAAGAATGACCCAATGAATGGGTTGTATGGTTGTAGATTTATTTAGAGCTCGGAATTTTATGGCAAGGCTGAAAAAAAACAATCAACAAGGCAAAAGACGTTGCGGGTAGCTTCTGCACGGGCCATGTACCACGCTAACTACGCGTCTTCCGAAATGAGTAGTAGCCACTTATAAACCAACAGCACCTACCAGAATTGCGTTTAGGTACCTAACGCATAAATATCGGTATAAAGTTAGAAATATAAGCTAAGTTACTTTTTATACACTGTTAGCTTTTAAAGTACCTATGTAATTTACACACAGTGCAGCACGGCGGCGCTTTCAACTACATGACTTGAGTCAAACTGCAGCAAAAGCGACATTCCTTTAACGGTCCATGAAGGAGTATGACATGCTTTCTACAGTTATATATAATTAATTTGCAATGGAGATGAGAGAACACCCTATCTCGTCCTAGTAACGATGGAAAGAAGTTTGATAATGTGCGCGGCCTAGCGACATGGTTACCTATTTACCAGAAACGCCCAAGCCCCGGGCGACTCGACGGGCCACGGCACCGAAATGCTATCTAAGCTCTTCAGTGTTTCGAAAAGGGTTCGCCCGGTCATCGTTCGGGTGCCTACTGGTTACAACTTGGATAGTATGTCAACGAATCCCCAGCACTACTTGGAGACCCACTCGGCGGTCGATTCGTATATGGCCTTCTATAGGTGTATCGTCAAGTGCCAAAAGATCAGTAGTAAATAGGTAGTTAATCAGAAAAGGTCAGACTTGGGGAGTGTTAGAATCTACAATAGATCAGCCCAACTGTAAACTTGTTATATTTCCAAGTGTAGAGCTACATATCTCGGATTATGTATGTATAGAGCATGTTGTTGACCTCAAAGACTACATAGATACTACCTCGTGTTTATATCTAACTTAAAGTCAACTATTACTTAACTTGGTTAACTAACCGTTTCCTTGCGTTCTTCGCATAACTAAAATATGCATAAATAACTCTATAAACCGCAGAACTTCCAAACACCTAACTGATTCAAAGTAACGAGTGTGTTATATCCAATTAATGAAGACAAGGTCGACGTAAAACCTATAACCCTCTGTCATGCATAATAAGGTATACACCTGGAATGTGTCCCATTATGAAAACCAACCCCTTGGGAAGTCAACTGGCAGACTGATAGCATCAAGCAATTACCTTCCATTCCAATCAATCACTTACATTTACTTCCGAGACTATCTAAGGCAGTCCTTCAACAACAACAACAAACGTAGCATATTTGGCTTTACAACCCTTAGTCTATTAATTCACATCAGTTTGGCAATATACGCGTATGTATGCAGTTAACCTAGTCTAAATCACCGATTGTATCCTTATGATAGTAGTCTATCTACAGGTGCTCTACCCTCTATCAACCGCGCCTATCCGTAAGTCCCATAGAGCTTTTCATTAACACCTGGTTCCCGATAACATGCCCAGTAGTCCCCTTTTGTCTAATTTCCATATTCAAGACCCCAGGTACTAGTAGCCTGGTCAATTTTAGAACGGTATTCCCGCTGGGTCCGGCACTGCTCCAGGAATACTTCGTACTTGGCGTCGAAGAGTTTCTTCTCGTTTGCGTCACTCCCGGGCTTAACAAGTCGACCCGGTTTGCTCATTCGGTCCATAATACTCCAGAGATTCTCAGTCTTGCCATCGGCATCTGCGCTTGCTGCCTTTGCACCGAGCATGGCCGCCCCGTGCACCACAGCAGCGTGGACGTATCGGGGAATCAACACCGGCATATCGCAGACAGTAGCGATGAGATCCATAAGCATATCGTTCTGACATTGGCTGCCGGACATGAAAATAGTTTGAATGTTGTGGCCTGCCTTGTTCATAGCCTCGATGATCTGTCGGGTTTGCAAGGCAATGAACTCCATAGTAGCATAATAATACAGGGCGAGACCATCAACGCTGGAGTCAGAACTGAGACCAATTACAGATCCTTTCATGTTGGGATCCGCAATAGGCGATCGGTTACCCCACAGGTCGCCGTAGAAGAAGAAATGTCGTCCAAGGTAGGAAACGGTAGGAGCGTTAGTCTTCTCAGCTAACTCCCTTAGATGACCATTCATGTAATCATATACGTTCATGTGCATAGCTTCCGCGAGAGGTACAATTTCCTTATGTGCCGGATGTGTCTCGAGGATGTGCCTTAAAAGCTCACCTGTTGCCGATTGGCCACCCTCTGCTAACCAATAATTAGGCAGGAGTACGTCACGGTAAGGCCCCCATACTCCATTGACGAACACAGGTTTCTCAGACATGGCAAGATGGCAGGTGGATGTGCCAGCTACAGCAGCAAGTCGGGTAGAGGCTTGGGCGAGATCGTTTGCTGGGGCGCTCTCGTCGGCATGACCATACTCAGTGTCGACCTTTGCTCCAACAGTACCGACCCAGCCGGCATAGGCATCAATTACACCACTGCCGACTGCGATACCAGCCTGCAGCCCGAGCTGCTTACTAGCATGGTCAGACAAATGACCAACTAGTTCTCCTGCGCTAAAGTATTTGCCGTTCTAGGGGATGAATTAGCGAACTGTCTCGATATAGCAGAGGACCAATTGGGAAGAGGGGAGGAGAGCTTACAATTCCATGAACGCCTCCCATGCGCCTGAAATTGTCTTTGGCTAAGTCGCTTAGTCCGATCTCAGTGAAGAAATCTTCTTGCCAACCCTTCTCACTTTCATCTACGCCGATAGGGACGTAGCCTTGCTTGCAGACCGTGCTGCAGAAGCTTCGGTTCTCGTTGCCAGTAGCCAAGTGAGTCAACGCATCTGTCAAGTCGTAGAACTTGCAGCGGTCGAATAGCTCCTTGGGCATGTTGTTCTTCAGCCATAATACTTTAGGAATCTCCATCTCAATGCTCATCTTGCCGCCTACATATCGCAACAGGTTGTGGCCTGTAGCATTGATCTGGTCCGTCTCTTGGACGGGACGGTGGTCTAACCATAAGATAACATTGCGATCGTTGCTGTCGTTCTCGAAGTCCGGACCGGTAACAGTGACAGGTTGGTCATCCTTTTCAGAGAAAACTGCGAGCGAGCAAGTAGCATCAAAACCTAAGCCCTTGATATGACCAACGTCGACTCCGGATTGGTGGACAACGCGTTGCACACAATGGCAAATACAGTGCCAGATATCGGTAGTTGATTGTTCCTTAAGCTTTGTTAGGTCCCCACGTCATACTGATCAAGACAAAGCAGGGAAGGGGGGATTCCGTTGAAAGAACGTACATAGTAACCTTGTTGGGGCTGCCATAGCTTAATGGCCTCGGAGGCTAGAGCTTTAATGTCTCCAGATGAGTCTATCAGACAAGCACGAGCAGACCCGGTACCAACGTCAATACCAATGTAGTGATCCTGCATGGTGATTATGTTAATTGACTAAATCCACGAAGCTGCATTGATAATGAGGGAAGAGTATTTATAAGAAAACTCTTATAGAAACGCACGTTATCCTCGAAGTGAATTATATTCCGGGTACTAGACGGGAACTCTTTGTCAGAACCTAGCTTTGACTTCTCGGTTGTACAGACGATTAACCGATCAAACCGTCAAACGGCCAAACGGTAAAAAAGGAAGATTAAGGACTTGGGACTTGGAACTTGGGACATGGGACGTGACTAACTCCATCGTGGGGGAAGGTGCTGCCTCAAGTCAGCCACTTCTGCATCTGCCTCTGCTTCCGGGCGTACACGGCAAAACGAGTGAATATGCGAATAGAGTTAATAATCACAATAGGAAACTTTAATCCCCCCCCAATTGTTTGGGTAGGACACAATGCCGAGCTAGACGTTCTTTCCAATCGCTGTCCAACAATTTCGAATCTTTTGTGTGTCAGCTCGAGAAACAAGTCCGGTAATGAAACAATTCGCGCAGGACGAAGGTAAGAAACAAGCCCGATGGGAAAACCGAGGAAGTAGGAAAAAAATATTATTATGATGTATAAGAGTATAAAAAGGGTACCACTAACATTACATTTCAAGCTGTCTTAGGTAGAGGTATGTAATAAGAATACTACTAGTCTAAGAAGCTACCCCCCCTACCCCCCCCCTTGTTACTTACCCTTGTTACCGCCCCTCCCCCTCCATCAATTTTCCCAGAAAAATGTATAGAAACTTTTAGAGTGGCCTGGGTCAGCCTGGCCTGTCTGGACCTTTGGGCGAAGCCGGTGCAAATCCTACCCTTTTGCAGGGTACACCGCAGTACCGTACTGTCGTCACAAGGTGGGGGATGTGGGGACGGAAGCCGCTAAAGCCAAGCGATACCCCGCTAATCTTTTCCCTAATTTAAACCGCCTTCCCCTCCGCGCTCTCTAGCCGTCTATAGTCCGTCAATGCCAAGTACCTACCTGTACCTCTTCTCGTCGCCTAACCTCCAGACTCCCACCTCTGATAGGTATCGTGACTTTTGTTGGGTGACAAACCACTCCACAAAATTTTCGGGTGAGCCGACAATAACGTGGGAGGGCCAAAAATTTTACATACCTACCTCTATGTTAGGTACACAGGATTTATTGGAGACTACCCTGACTACCAATGCACAGGTCTGACATCTCAGAGAATTTGCACTAAGCGAAAAAAAAACCCACATTACAGCTGTACGACAGGGTTGACGAATGCTTGGATGTCAGGATGTGATGTACATACCGGCATACATACATAGGTAACCAGCATACGTCCACCGCCAACTTGGCTTTCGGGCGTTTGCAGTAAGGAAGTCCGGTATTAGGAGGGAGGTCACGATGATCTGTGGTGTGGCAAACCGCCACTCCCTGCCTCTCGGTTGTAGTCAGAGTCCTCTGGTTCGTCAAGCACCCTCCGCAAAGGATGCCGATCAGCCAACATGGGTAATCCATTTAAAAAGCCGCACTTCCAAAGCAGGACTCAACATTGTTTTGCGTGGGAGAAATAGTAATACAATTAAGACCGGAATATAGAATGGGACTGACTGAACGGGTATATCTATGCGAAACTCCCTATTCCGGGCTATAAGAGCAAATTTTTAGCTATCCTATGCCATTCCTCTAATACCTAAGAACACCTGTATAATTGTGTAACCATCGTGAAAGTCGTCGACTGCGTCAATATGTTCGTTAAGAGATTAGTATGTGTATGTGTGTCTTCTTAGTCTGCGCCGTCACCGTTTGCCGGTGATCGTGACGATCCCAAGCACTCGCAATGAAACTTCCGATTGTCACCTTGGTTATTCTGCATCCCCCGGCTGATCCTCAACAAGAATTACAACCGTCAAGGTTGCTGCGTAAGCTTCGCGGATAGCGCACGCCATGCTGTGTCGCATTAGCCATCAATCAATCAATCAATCGATCAATCATCCATCATCGTCGTGCGACGAGAACAACTCACCAAGTCTTGGTAATATCCGCCACTACTGCGCTGAGTCCCCAGTGAGAGCACCACGCCCGCGCCAAGACTTCATTGTCACTGCCGCCGAACGCCTCAACCACTAGGACTCTCTCCGCGTCGTCCCCTCCCACGATGGGTTCAAATTCCGGCGGCTTGCTTCCGCCAGCTGGCGTTGAACGGAAACTTCTTTCCCTACAATTAGGTTTACCCCAGTCTAAGATATCTACGAGCTCGTCAACTTTGCGGGGAGTATAGACATAATCAAAGAACAGAGGGTGAGGTCCGTCGGAGCACGGCCAAGCATTGATGAACGACACATCAAACGTAAGGTGAAGTGGCCAAGACACGCCATCAATAGCGAACTGTATCGACGCGTCGAACCATTGAGGGCCCGAATCCTGCTTATCGGTAGCTTCCTTGAGAATAACCTGCTCAAGTAAGACCGTATCGACTATATCATCCGTGTCAGGTCTTAACAACTCGTAATCCCCAGCAGGGTAAATTTCAGACCGTGGTCCCAAAGGGTCCGATCTATCACTCATAGAAGTTACGTCCTCTGGCGTTAGAATATTCTGTCGGGGCTTTTTCGAGCGAATCCGGGCAATCTGAGAGCGTCCCAAGTCTTTTGTCGGTCTAGCTGGACCAACCCATCCAGCAACCTCGTGGCATGTCGGCGCTAGTACCTTGCCAACGATACAGGCCGATCTCCAGTAAGTATAACTATTGCGGTACTGGAAGCCACAGTGGGGATGAAGGTGCGTAAGCAAAGCAAGATTGTCAGTCGCCTTATCGGGGTCGATATCGATCAAAGAGTTCATAATGAGAAAAGGGAATGTGGGCTACATGAAAATTAGTAAATTCAACAATGTCGTGAATAAGGGGTAAATGGTAGGTTCATACTCCTGGTAAGACTAGACCGCTGAAGAAGGCCATCGCATGCGAACTGACGATCATCAACGACCCCTCAGTATCTCTCTGCTTGAGCTCGCTTATCGTGTCGGCGAGGTTCGGCCATTTCATCATCTGAGCAAATCTTTTTAACATGCTGACCTGTCTCCTTCTCATCTTGAACCGTAGTTTGATCTGATCTGGCTCCTCGCCGTAATCCTCGATACGCACAAAATCCCTCCATCGCCTAGCGAGAGCCAAATTCCACTGGATTCTCGGTGGTATCTGCGCCACAAGTCTCTCCTTGGCCGGATCCTGATGCTTTTTCGAATTGATCCGTAGTTCTAGTTCAAGGCTCAAGAGTAACTGGTAGAAGAATTTATGATATTGTTGCTGGTTCTCGGGGCCCGTGTCATAAATAAACTTTGTGACAACCTGATTCTTCGGATTCGAGAAATCAATCCAATCTGGGCTCGAAAGGCACATAACCAAATCCGTAATCTGCTTCTCCATCGTCTTATGCGGGCTGAAGAGCTTATCGGGGTCTTTAAGAAATCGTTTATACAGACGATATAAGACTTCGTCATTCGCATCTTCTAATCCAGCCTCTAAATCCTGTAATCGTTCGAATATGGAAGCTAAATCAACTTCTCTCGGCACAACTCCAGGGTCACGAAGCCCGATCGGTGGTGGGATTGCGCTAAATATATTTGCCCAATGATTTAGGGTGATAGTACCCGGCCGTCTTCCGAATCCAAAAGCCAGACTTGGCTGTTCAAGAGTCTCCCATGGATATTTAGGTTGACCGAAGCCTTGTATGCTGAGGGTTGTGAGTTGGGTCATGGCATCATGCTGGTTAACGGTATCGTTGTCATCACCGTGGTTACCAGCTGTCGTCGTGTATAGACCGAAGTAATGATCTGACGCATGAGGGATAGGCCGTTTATGCCCCTTGTGCGCTGGAACACCTCTTGAGATGAGCTCCATTGCGTGGCCGAGGGTGAGTTGATCCTCCCTAGAGATACCGGATGGGGGCCATTCTGACAAGGGTGCCGGTTCGTACCTGTGGCCGTTTGGCTGCTCCCTACCTTTACCTTTTGAATCACGTGGATCCGGACGACGCGGCCGCCTACGAGAATTAATAACATCGGGTCTATCAGACCGATGTCTTCGTACGGGTATGTCGCCCTCGCTTGCCCGTCTCGATGGCGGATCCTTCACCTCGTGACCCGTGAGTAAGGCATCAACTTGCTGCGGGGCGGATACATACCAGCTTACCGCTCCCCTGTGCGTTACTAATCCTGCGCATCAGACCACTCAAAAGTCCCTTCTTCTTTGTTTCGGACATGGTTGGTTCGTGGTAGATCTTTTCCAGGCATAAAGGTAGATGAGTGAGGAGATGTAGAATATTTCGATATATCTTCGTTGCCGACGTTGCACGATGTAGGTACGCGTCAGTTTTTGTGGCTGGGCGCAGCTACATGTAAAGTGTTAAGAAAAGACAGATGAAGCAAACAAGGTAATTGAGTATAGGTACTTGACTCGGTACTTGGGAATATATGAACTTGCGATTTGTTATTATTTCATGTAAAAATAATAAGAAAAAAATGAAACCGCGGAATTGTTAGATTAATACGTGAATTTTAAGAAAAATACCTTAAGTAGGTAGGTTAAAGGTAGTTTAGGTTGATATCACACCAAAACCAAAAGACTGGAGTTATTATTTTTAAGTTGCAGAACTACGGTAGGTAAATATGCACATTGACGCGCGAAACAGGAAGCTGCAGGTGAGGAACGTGTCATGCACAATCCAGCAGAAATGTCCAGCCTCATGGACTTGGTCACTGACTGCATCATGCTGAAACAAGACATTGCATTTGGAAGCAGCCATTCAGGAAAAAGAAGTCGCTAGTTTAGCCATGGCAGCTGTGTGGATAATAGCTTCTAAGCTTCTACTATATATGTAAGCTTCTAAGCTAATTGCTTACATAACCCCCACCACCCCGATTTATTATGTACGACACTCCTTTTCTCCATCTTCACTGCTGGCGGATTACTATTTGTGCAACTCTTTTCTCCTTATATTCTACTATCTTAATAAAACCAATGGTATGCTAATAAGTTTCTTATTATCCAAATATATACTCATACTCTCGGTATATTTAGCCGGCCTATGCGTACAACAATTTTGACATATCAAATATAAGGGCACCAATCGAACCATTCATGAAGTATAGAACGAACAGATTCCTTACACATCTCTCACAAGAAGGTATCATAGGTAATATATGACACCGTCCTTTGAGCTTTTTTTTTATTTTACAAGAGCTCCCCAATAAACGCTGCTTCAGTTTCGTTCGACAGATGATTATTCAATCTTGCAAACGCGGCTCGGTACTAAACGTAAAAGGATAGGTCAGTTTTCACCTAAGATAATAGAAGAATAATATGAAGATGATCTTACCGAGAACACAAAATTAAGTATCAAAGCGAGCATCAAGGCAGCGCTGATGACTAGCGGCCCTATCATGTTATCGAAGTCCTTGCCACTACGATCTACGATCATGTCGCGGCGCTTGTGCAGCATAAAGTATCCCCATCCTCCAGCGAGGACAGCAATCACGATATACGCAATACCCATACACTCAGCCAGGAAGTTCTCCCCCGCTGCTGTGTATAGACTAATTGCTAGGCTACCAAGAAGAATGCAAATGTGCTGCCATTTGAGGAACGTCCGCTCGTTAGCGAGCCAGACCTTTGGTTCAACTTGAAGTGGCCCCGCGTTCTTGAGCCAGACCTCTGGTTTTGTAACACCTTCGGGAAGTTGTGCTCGCTGGCGTTTTGCTCGAGAATACCGGGAGAGGGAGAAGCCGGGGAAAACAGAAGAAAGGGTCCCATAACTCCTTTGCTGAGTGGAACCATTCCCTGTACCGTCCTCATCATCCCGTCCACCGTGACCATTTACAGCAGTCGGGGGTGCAGACGTCCTAGCTTCTCTAGCGGCTCGCTCAGATAGATACGACTTTCCAACTGGTGAACTTGTTGCTGGTTTATAAGAGCCAATCCTGGCGGCAGCAGCGCCACCGCCTAAGAAGCTGCCTACAACCATGGCATCTTCTGCCTGCTGCGCTTTCCGTTGCTCCTCTTCATCGTGCGCCGTCTGGGGGTCTTTGCGGATATCCGTCTCAAGATCGCTCAGCCAAAGCGGTAACTGATTAACATAGTCCTCGAATAGGGATGCAACTCCGTGTACGAATTTGGAGAATCTTGGCGCAGCATGGACAAGATGAGAAGCCATTAGGTCTTCTATCCATCCCGGCCGCTTGCGCCCTCCTTCCTCCTTCAGCTTGATCTCGAGAAGTGCATAAGGAAATCTTGACACCTCGCTCTGGTTTATATTCTTGAAGGGATATTTCATATTATTTTCGTCGATATCCCGCCGGTGCCACTCCTGAGGATCGCGACACGGCCTATCACGGTCCAGGGTGTCCTCACGGATAAAAGCGACGTCAGTGTCGATCGAAATTCGGACGCGATCATCGGAAGGCTTTTGGAACGCCGTACGGGTATAATTGGCCCGTAGGACAGGTTCTAACTTGGCCCTGATGATAAATTCCTGAATTTCTCCCACAGTAGTCTTGAAGGACTCGATAGCTTCGGCTGTCTGGCCTTGCCTTTCCATTTTTTGGATAGTCTTATCCATTTTATAATCTCCGTCGATAAATTGCTTAAGATATTTGCTTTTGATCATGAATTTCTTTTCTTCGCTAATGCCATTCTCGTGGACTATCTTCTGTTCAAGGACAATCTCCGGCTTCGAATTTACTTGCCCATACCAGCGCAACCTCAAAGACGAAGCATCGACTTGGCGGTCCACCTTTCTGCCGTATAATTCGAACTTGGAGTTGTCAAAGTAGAGCGACGTGATCTTAGGATCTTCGTTGCCGTCGGGATCTTGTCCAGCTTGTTGGGTGTAGACAAGAGCAGGTAAGTGTCGCAAGATAGCGGTCTTGACCTCGAGGAGGTTTTCCGTATGTATCCAAACTGTGAATATCATGTTAGCTCGAATGTAGAGTTGCAACAACCTTGACAGCTTACATTTGTGGGCGGTGTACCGCTCGCCATTATGCACCTCCGGCTGATTCTCTAAGCCAAGATCCAGAGGTTGCCCCTGCTCACCTTCGTCCAGATTTTGATTGACAGCATAGTACATCAAAGACAGCTTCGTAAGGAGAGGCGTATATGCCTGTTCCGAGTTGAAACCACGATCCGACAAGCTGACCCGCATCATGGGCCGGACCTTGTAGCGGTCACCGCGCTTGCGATCGTGCTTCTTCGCAATCTTGAGGAAACCAGTGTAGTTTGCACTACTATACTTTTTCAGCTCCTTAATCTCGTTGGTGATAGCGTCCAGCTCATTCTTAAGCTCCTTCAGCCGAGCGGCCGTGATATCACTCTTAGGCTTGTCGTCGGAGGGTGTCATCTCCTTCAATGTCTCGAAGGCAACCTCGGCGCGTTCCTTCAATCCGCTGACGGTCTTCTCTTGGAATTGAGCCACCTTCTCCAATTGTACGTTGAATATCTCGTCGCAGAACTTGTTCTCGTCGTCTTCGGTCCAAGGTACATCGTCGTCCTCCTTCCTATCCTCTCGTAGCATCGTCTTCAGTTTCGCGTAGTCTATGTACTGGTCCTTCCATGGCGCATATATGGACTCGCGAAGAGTCTTGCCGAAACGCATTGTTAGGGGGGCGGGTTGTCGAGATAACGAGATTTTCTTGTTGTCGGTCGTGTAAAAAAATAAGTAATTGAATTTTAAATAAAGGGAATATAAAACTAGAACCAATCTCAGGCCAATTGAACAGAAACCAAGGTATAAAAAGATGCGATCATGTGTCAAACGGACCGTTTTGTAACGAGATATGGACTTTGTACATGAGGAAATTTAGCAGAGGGCGTGTCCTACACAGTACAAATACATAGTACAATCGGCAGCGGTGTTTCGAGCTCTTTGCGTCAGCGGGGCTCCGGCTAGTAGTTCTAGTCTCGACCTTTGAACAGGGGACCGCGAAACCTTACACCCCATCTCCCTCCCGTTTATTATCCTTCAACAGCTCCAGACTCTGTAGGGCATAGTTGATTTCTCGTCGTCCAACTTTTTTTTCTTTTTTTTGCCAATGAGGTCGCGTGCTCGTGAAACGTGCTTTCTTAAACATGTGAATTTAAAATGACCTAACGATTACGCTAGAGAAGAGATGAAAAATTGCTAGTTCTCATACTAGATGACAGCAGGGAAAAAGAAGAATTTCTAATTGCTAGTGAAGCTTTATGGTATGCAAAAAAGTTGGCATGAATGTTACTAATTATTGAAAAAATATCAAAGTTAGATTTTCATAGGTTAAGTGAGTATTTATTCATTCATCTAGTTATAAAATACTAGTTATTCAGTCAACATACATACTACATAAACCAACCAACTACATGATAACCAGGACGTAAGATGCAAATACTAAAACATATAAAAATCAAATAATCTCACCACCATTCTCCCCATCCAATCAATATAACTACCTACATAATAAAAATCATCACACATCACACATCAAATCAAGCAAACAGCAAAATGCTATAACTAGTTATAAAAACATATAGTTATATTCTCAACTAACTACACCCTCCTATATACAAGTCCATACACCCACCACACATCTCCCGTCCTTAACTAGGTACCTTATCATATAATAACAATACTGCCTACTTACACATCATAAAATATAAGTTGCAATAACTCCGTGCTAGCAGCGACCGACGTGTGAAGAAGGTATAGAGGTTGGTGTGGGTATATATATGTGTGTTTTTTTCGTCGAGATATCCCCATCCCATCCCATCCCTTTCCCATTCCCTTGCCATTCCTTTTTGAAGATGAAAATGAAGAGGGAGAGAGAGAGAGAAAAAAAAGCCAACGCGACGCGAAAAAATAATAATAAAAACAGGCATTCTCATCCCTCCATCTCGCCCTTTTCTTCTTCTTCGTGGTATCGTATCGTGATTCAACTATTCGTAACAAAATCGACGTCCCTCATCTCCCCCCCCCCCCTTGAATTTTTGATAAAAAAGTAAAAGCACCGAGCCTGTCCAAAGATCTATGTGTTTCGACATAGCTAGCTGTACATACGCGTTCGTCTTTTCGGATTTTCTATTTTCGTTGAAGAAAACTTTTTTCCGAGTTTTTTTTTTTATAGATTATTCTTAATTTGTTTTTGCTGGGGGTAGTACATTTACGCCGCGGCGACGCTGAAGATCTCTTGCGCGGTGCGCTTTACGATACCACCGGTAACGGGTAGGTTAGTGTATTGCTCTAGGTACAGATCGACCTCGCGGGCGGCTTGTCGTCCTTCGTTGATACCCCTGAAATAAATGATTAGTATGAGTTTAATTAATTTAATTACGAGAGAAGTGGATTAGTTGACTTACCAGACGATTAAAGACTGTCCACGGCGGCAGTCACCGGCCGCGAAGATGCCAGGCACGTTGGTAGCGTAGGAGCCAGCAGGGGTCTTGACGTTCTTCCGGGCATCCTTCTCGATCTCGTCACCGAGAACGCGAGCCTCTGGGCCGAGGAAACCCATAGAGAGGAGTACAAGGTCAGCTGGGAAGAACTGCTTGGTATCTTCTAGCTTCTTCATGTCCCAACCGCCAGTAGCGGACTTGGTCCACTCAACACGGATGGTGTTGATACCCTTGACACGGCCGCTACCGTCGTCCACGAACTCCTCGGACATAATACAGTATTCACGAGGATCCTTGCCCATATGCTGAGCCACTTCCGTGTGACCGTAGTCGACACGGTAGATACGGGGCCACTGCGGCCAGGGGTTATCACGGCCACGCTGCGGCGGAGGCTGGGGTAGAAGCTCGAAGTTGATGACCGACTTAGCACCATGACGGACTGAGGTACCAATACAATCGTTACCAGTGTCACCACCACCAATGACCACGACATGCTTGTCCTTGGCGGAAAGATAAGCATTATCAGCCAGCTCGGAATCGAGTAGGGACTTGGTGTTCTTGTGCAGGAACTCCATGGCAAAGTGGATGCCCTCGAGGTTGCGACCCTTGATAGGAAGGTCTCGAGCAACAGTGGCACCGGTGGCAATGACGACGGCATCGTTCTTCGCTTTGAGGTCCATCAGAGTGATGTCCTCACCAACAGCAACTCCAGTCTTGAACTGTACACCTTCGGCAGCCATGAAGTCTGTTCGGCGCTTTACGACACGTTTGTCGAGCTTCATGTTTGGGATACCGTACATGAGCAGACCACCAGCTCGGTCGGCACGCTCGTAAACAGTGACGGTATGTCCGGCTCTGTTTAATTGGTCGGCACAGGCAAGACCAGATGGCCCGGAACCGATGATGGCAACCTTCTTGCCAGTTCGGACCTCGGGCGGTCGCGGAATCATCCAGCCCATCTCGAAACCACGGTCGATGATTGCACACTCGATGGACTTGATACCAACAGGGTCCTCATTAATTCCAAGAACGCAGGCACCTTCACACGGCGCGGGGCAGACACGGCCAGTGAATTCGGGGAAGTTATTGGTCATGAGCAGACGGTTGAGAGCGTCCTGCCACTGGTTCTGGAATACCAGTTCGTTCCACTTCGGGATAATGTTAGAGATAGGACATCCCGTCTCGGATTGACAGAATGGAACGCCGCAGTCCATGCATCGCGCTGACTGGTACTTAAGCTCGTCTTCGTTCAGGCGTTGAGAGAGCTCGGCCCAATCCTTGGTCCTCGTCTTGACGCTGCGGTACTTCTCTGATCGGCGCTGGTATTTCATAAATCCCTTGGTCTTATCAAGAACTAGAGCACGCTTCTTTTCGGCAGCATTGTCACCGACGGTCTCTTCGATATCCTGAAGTTTGGCAGCTTTCTCTTCCTTCTTGGCCTGGACACCAGACACGATGGGGAGGTTGTACTCTGCACGCTTGGCCTCGGCGGCCTTGGCAGCTTCCTCCTCGAGGACTCGCTTGTAGTCTACCGGAAGAACCTTAACGAAACGCGGGAGCGCCCTGTTGAAGTCTACGAGGATGCGAGCAGCCAGTTCAGACCCAGTGTAATGGTGGTGATCCTCAATTAGTCCACGAAGGAAGGCAATCTCAGTGGGGTCATCGACCTCAGAGGCCTCAACCATCTCCGTGTTGAGCTTGGCAATGAAATCGTCGTGAATGTCAAGAACATAAGCGATACCACCCGACATACCAGCAGCGAAATTGCGTCCAGTACTTCCCAAGATGACAACACGACCACCAGTCATGTATTCACAGCCATGGTCACCGACACCTTCAACAACGGCTGTAGCACCCGAATTCCTAACAGCGAAACGCTCGGCAGCGACACCTCGGAAGAAGCAGGTACCGCTAGTAGCTCCGTACAAGCATACATTGCCGATCAATATGTTCTCTTCAGCCTTGAACACAGCCGAACGAGGAGGGTAGATAATGAGTCGACCGCCTGACAGACCCTTGCCAACATAATCGTTAGCATCACCTTCCAACTCCAATGTAACACCGGGAGCAAGGAAGGCGCCGAAAGACTGGCCAGCAGAGCCCTTGATGTTGACATGAACAGTGTCCATTGGCAGACCAGCTTCTCCGTATCGCTTGGAAATCTGGTAAGATAGGGATGTGCCCATAGCTCGGTCGGTATTGACAATATCACACTCGATACGAGACGGAAGTCCCTTGTCGAGGGTCAACTCAGCTTCTGAGATGAGCTTGTTGTCAAGTCGGACGTATAGACGATGGTCCTGCTTTCGGACGTTGAAAGTCGCAACGCCAGGTCGGAGTTTGTGGGCAGGAGTAAGGATAAGCGAGAGGTCGATATTCGCAGTCTTGTTGGTTCGCAGGTCATCCCGGACCCTTAGGCACTCGACATGTCCTACCATCTCGTTGATCGTTCGGAAACCAAGTTGGGCCATTATAGCTCGGAGCTCGTTGGCAACATAGTAGAAGAAGTTAATCACATGCTCAGGCGTACCCTTGAACTTCTTGCGAAGCTCCGGGTCCTGGGTAGCGATACCCACCGGGCAAGTGTTAAGATCTAGAGATAATTAGTAATTTGCCTACAATTATTAGGATTTTGGTACACTTACGGCACTTCCTCATCATGATACATCCCATGGCGATTAGGGGAGTCGTAGCAAAACCCCATTCTTCGGCACCAAGCAGACAAGCGATGGCAACATCACGTCCAGTTCGGAGTTGACCATCGGTCTGGACAACAACTCGGCCACGCAGATCGTTTAGGACGAGAGTCTGATGGGTCTCGGCAAGACCAAGCTCCCAGGGCAGACCAGCGTACTTGATACCAGTCCATCTGCTAGCACCAGTGCCACCATCGCTAGAAAAAGTCAAGTTAGCATTTAATCTCAAGAGATATTAGAAAACTGGTTACTTACTGTCCAGAGATAAGAATGTGGTCGGCCTTGGCCTTTGCGACACCGGAAGCGACAATGCCGACACCAGTCTCGGAGACGAGCTTGACAGAGACACGAGATCGGGGGCTTGAGCACTTGAGATCGTAGATGAGTTGCTTCAAATCTTCGATGGAGTAGATGTCGTGATGAGGAGGGGGAGAGATAAGACCGACACCAGGGGTCGAGTGACGGGTTCGAGCAATAGACTTCGAGACCTTGTGGCCAGGAAGTTCACCACCCTCACCAGGCTTGGCGCCCTGTG